CTCTTGGATGTCCTCTTGGAACTGAAGAAGCATAGCCATGCAATTAGTCCTGGGGACCCCCATAGATTAGAAGACAAATTAACTTTCCTCTTTCGGGAACCCGAGCCAGTGTCTGTTCTTATTGGCATGCTATGGCTTCGAGGTGACCACGGGTCAGATATACAATCCTGGCTAGTGACCGAGGATAGGAATGCTTGGTTGGACACCCCTAACGGAAAATCCTGGCTGAATACCTGTGAGGGACGAGAATGGCTGGAGACAGATGAAGGAAGGTTCTGGGAGGAAGGTTCAATGCCTGACTTGCAATCTGTGTCAGACTGGTCAGATTGCTCTGAGACCCAGGAAGTGGGTGACGAACTGCAGATGGAGCACAGGTCAGAGTGGCTGGAGACTCAGGGAGGATTGGCTCGGCAGGCCGATCAAATACCTGAATTACAATCTGTGTCAGACTCTTCGGATTTGTCTGAGACCCAGGAAGTGGGTGACGAGCCGCAGATGTTAGGCTCGAAGCCGGCTTCGATATTCCGGTCGATGCGAGGTGGAATAGAACCCTCTATCCAGAAACAAAGGAGGTCAAAAAAGTCGTTGCGGACTGAGGGAGGACGAAAGTGGCTGGAGACCAAGGGAGGAAGACGTTGGCTGAAGGCTTGGGGAGGAAATCCCTGGCTGATGTCTCCGGACGGGTCAGATTGGCTGAAGACTTGGAAAGGAAACCACTGGCTGAAGTCTCCGCACGGGTCAGATTGGCTGAAATCCTTAGATGGGCGAGACTGGCTGCAGACGTCCCATGGCCAAGCATGGAAATCCACTCCTGCAGGGTCCGCCCGGGTGACTTTTGACGAACTCTCAAGTACGCTGAAAGCGATCAGCGAGTTTATCATTGTCCCAGAATTGCGTTTGCTACCAACCTTCCAAGTAGTCCAGTCGTTTGAAAGCTTGCCAGATTTCTTGATGCTCCCGGCGTTCCTTGCTTTAAGCCGCCAGCATCATTCCACTGCATCATCAACATATCGTCCACCGAACAGGGAGATCATCCACGCTATGAACGCCTTCATGGCTTTCACACGCAAGGCACAGCACGACAGTCGATTATCTTCATACGCTCTCAAGTACGCCTGTCAAAACTGGGCCACATATCTCTTGCGTGCTCCAGATCCACGGGATGACACGTCCAACCACTTATTCCAGGCTTTCTGGAATCATCACCTCCTTTCCTGGCTCGAACGGCAATGGTGCTTGAAGGGTCTGCGGTCTTGCCTTGTCGTCTTATCTGAAGGGCAGAAATTTGCTAAGGTGTATGTGTAGAATTTTCAACTAGCAACAACTAACACCGCCTTATACATATTCAGTTCCATGTATATTTGAAATTCTGACCTTCGCCGTCTGAATTCATGTATTAACTATGGGAGCGACCATTGCTAGATAAAACTCGATCCAGATGTGCAGAAATCGCTCTTATACACTTCCATGATCTGACATTGCATGATTGCATCTGTCTCGGAATTGTGCATTCGTCGCGACACCGTTCGAGATCGAATCAGACTGCACAGGCGATTTAGTCAAAATCGGTAGCAGGTTCTACCCGTGTCGTGAAACTGTTGGCATACTATAGTAAATGTGGAGTACTTGGATTACGCTTATGATATGTAGCTGCTCGTTGGTAAAGAGTGAATTTGAAATTTAAAGAGGAAAGAACATCTTGACGGCAGATATGCAACCTCGCAGCGCCAGGCTCGGAATATTTGAATAAATACACCAGAGTGACACGATGCAAGTCCTCTAAGTTTATTTGCAGTATTCAGGCTTATGGTTGACGTTGAAGACTTTGCTTCATTCTCAGTTCAGGTACACGTAAAGTTCTAGTCCCATTGTGCCGGTGTGCCAATCTCAGCCTGTCCCTCTGTCCTTTATACATATATATATACATTGTCATATCATATGGAGAGTAGTACTATAAGGAGGAAAACTAGTCTAGGGGACCCCCAGTGTCCCCGACGCATCTCTGGGCGCGCGAATGCCCTGATGTGAGGCGTACCCCCATCAGTCCAGCCGTTCCCGCCGGCCGTTTTAGACGCGCCGCCCTTCGAAGATGAGATGACTTTCATAAACAGGATCAATGTATGTGTTGCATGATGCATAACGCGTACTCGGCCGCTTTCGCAGGCGCTGTTCCCTGTCTATTGGTGTTGCTGTATTGTGCAAAGTTTGAGAAATGTGTCACGTAGCTTGAGTTATTGTCTTTACCTTCAATATTCACTTCAGCACATCCCACGACTGGAAAACGACGACAAAAGAGTGGACGGTACACGAGATTAAGATTGATGGTGAGAGAAGATGAATAGGCGGTAGTCGGAAGCTCGGTGACTGCCAAAGTGTACTTCAGTACTGAATTGATCGGCGAGCAATGAAAAGAGGTTTACGCTGTTGTACAAGCAACATCCCTTCAGGATATCCCACGACTGGAAAACGACGACAAAAGAGTGGAATGTACACGAGATTGATGGTGAGAGAAGATGAATAGACAGTAGTCGGAAGCTCGGTGACTGCCAAAGTGTACTTCAGTACTGAATTGATCGGCGAGCGATGAAAAGAGGTTTACACTGTCGCAAAAGCAACGATCGACTTCAAGCAATGACGCAAAATATACCAGGTAGCTCTGGTTTATGTTCATGGTCAACGGGGAGTCCGTCGGAATCCCCTGAGAAACCATCGTTAGATGGGTAAAACTGCGAGGCGATGGATGCGAATGCGTCCATAGTATGAATAACAGTAAGTGGGTTTCGAAGAACGAAGTTGGAGTGGTCTGTGAGACTCAAAAGCGTATTGGATGGTGGTGGTTGGTGGTTAACGTTCTAAAGTCGCCAGACGAATGACCAATGCCATTTTGTGGATCTGAATGCTTAATAAGAGTCCACAATTGTTCGATTTGTGGACCAGCGCAGCTCGATTCGGCAATTTCATCGTTGAAATAGCGGAGCTAGCCGTTCGTGTCGAGATATGATACCACAGTAGCCTGAGCATTTGGTGATATGGTCGTAGCGATATGGCGTCTGGGAGAAGAAGACTGAAAAATACGGAACCCTGCTTGCAGCTTACTGCATTGGGGTAGCAGCCTAAATGAGATGCACCAGACTTGAAGCTGTGAGTCGGCGCAACGAGACATAGATTGGCCAGCGCGAGCTCCACCGATTTACACCAGTGTGACGAAAGCTCCCATGCTCAATACTGCAAGGACCCGATATACAAGGCTTGTGCAATTCAACCGTCAACGTGTTCAACCAGAGATCCATGTTGAAGCTTGAGAACAACGTTGTATCGAGTGACTACGACATGGCGGGAGATGACAAGGAGAGGACGTAGGTATGTGTATGTAGTCAGGACTATCCGAACGACGAAAGGCGAGACCTTGACTTTCACTGGGATGATTGATGAACGCCATAACGTGACTGCGTCCAATTGGCGATTCGGATGAAAGGCGCCGCCAATGGTCCATAATTTTTTGATGTTCCTGATGTTTTTCAACGATTATCCCATTAGGCCTCAGTGTATAGAAGCGGATAAACCGAACCTGCCGTCCGACTACGATCGATAACCATGGACGAGTGAGTCCAACGCAACCCCTGATGTGACCTGAAATTCGTCGATCCCACTACTGACCATCTTGCCGCCCTTCTTCGACAGCCGACCCTGCGCACGGACAATATTTTGCATCCGTTTCTCTGCGTCGCCGACGTCGTGTTGCTCTGTGGCTTTAGCGGGACGAGAACCGCGGCCTTTGGATGCACCGGTTACTTTATTCTTCCCGTCAGTGATCGTCTTCGGAGCTTCACGCAAGGCAAATGCTTTTGCGAGATGGCCGATGTGGAGGTGACGGACGTGGAAGATGTGCTTCTCGTTTGAGGGATGGGTTGCATATGCCCTCATGTGCGAAGTAAATGCTCTCCGAGCAAGTTCAGCGTTCTGCAAAAAGGCGTCAGCGCCCGCCCGACTTCTCTCCCAATTAAAGCTACCTCTTTGCGCCGCAAAACCCATCGCTCAAAGGAAAGCTGTACTTCTGTCGCGCGCGCCTCGTACTCGGAGCCTCCTCCGCCAAAGCCTTTCGCCAACACGTTTTCGATGCTTGTCCCTTCAAGCGTGATGTCGACTTTGTCGCTGTCCGACTGTTCTCCCGTTGTATCGCCTCTCATCTTCCCCTCCACCCATTTCACCCATTCAGACTCACTTGGCGCGACGACGCTCCAAGCCTCACCACCCTTTCCTGCACGCGCTGTCCGTCCCACTCTGTGCACGTACTCGGTCGCACCACCTTCAGTTGGCAGATCGTACTGTACGACTGCGCGAACGAGGGGTAGGTCGAGACCACGGGATGCCACGGACGTGCAAAGGAGGATGGACGACACGGGTGCAGATGTTTTCGACTTTGAGGAAGGGATGGCCGAGAATCCGCGTAGAGAGGCGAGACGGATTGGTGTGGGAAGGGAACCGTGAAGACGAAAGATCGAGGTACCTGGAAGGAGCGGGGACTGTGCAGTAATAGAAGCATCTACCTTTTTGTCTTCCCCGTCGCTAGTATCGTCCTCGTCAGATTCAGCATCAGCCTTTCCATCATTCATTGACGAATCGCCTAGCAGGCGCCAGTGAAAGTCGACGGAGTCCGTGCAGCTGAGGAATACGCCTCATTCAGCAATTTTATCAATAGCATGCTCATCATCAGCATCACACTGGTCATGACTTTGATCCCAGTTCCGCATTAATCTATTGTACCTTTGTCGGAAATTTCCCACCTCTCGTCATTGAGATAAATTATAACAGGAACAGGGCCTACTCAGGCTGAGATTGGCGGTAATTGAGCCATTTATCTCGAAAGCTTTTGCAAGGACATTCAAATTTTCAAATTCGAGAGTCGAGACATTACTCGATAAACGTACTGGCTCCCCAGGTCGAAGCTCAGCAGCGGGATAGCAAAGAGGCTATGGAGCTGGATTCGTGGACACCTGTTGGTGAACACACGGAAACACATAGAATTTATAGCATACCTGTTTAAAATAACAAGTGCACATGGTTATTACTATGTTAATGAAGTAGCTCAGACGCACTGGCATGTGGAGGAAGAGGAATCTTCAAGGAGAGGATGTTCGAGACTTCGAGCACTGAGCATGCCGCCTCGGAAAAAAAGAATTCCTATAATTTACTTGCAAAGGAACGACAGTACTAGTTATGTTAGCCAGTATATCTATGGTACATCGCACAAGTTTCTGGTATGCTCCGCTAACTTGAGACATCAATGTCAACTGCACTTACTTCTCCAAATCCTCGTCCCTGACACGTTTGTAATGCGTGCGATCTGCACGTTGCAAAAGACCTTTGAAACGGCGGAGACCGTTACCGCACCAAATAAACATCCCCACTCCAACCACAACCACCACAAATAAGATGGCAGCATATTTCAGACGCTCCGACGATCCAGAAAGATCCTCCACATTCTCAGGAGTGACATCCATAACTGGAGAGGGAGCTGACTCCACAGGGCTCGTCTTCTCGTTAGATGCTGGTGTGGGTGTAGAGGCGGGCAATTCAGCATCGGCTGACGAAGTTACGGAATTCACGGGTACGGTGGCGATGTCCTGTTGACAAGCAACAATATTTTATTCGCATCAAGAGCTCAAGGAACAGAGGCAGCTGAATCATAGCTCAGCGCGTAGGGGTACCTCATTTCCTCCATCATCTACAACCGGCTCAACTGGCAGCTGGAAACGTGGAGTGAATACACAGGACATATCAAAAATAAGTATAATAACAAACCTCTCCAGAGTCATAGATGGTGACGTCCTGCAATGGGCGATCGTTGCTGCCCTTAGGTACGTCCTCTGAGTGGGGTGAGAACTTATGGTACTGTAGAGGCAATATAAAGCGAACCAATAGCGTATACAATGTCCATTCCCTCCAGGACTTTTCCGAAGACAACCTGGTTTAACAGCTCAGACAATGCGGTCGTAAAAGTGACGTCGAACTCACGTGTTTACCGTCTAGCCAGCCGGTGACAATAGTGCAAATGAACTGGATAACTATTCAGTAAAGCTCATTGAGAGTAGCCAGAGGCTCACGAATTGAGATCCTAAGGGAATATGTCAGATGACTTAAACAAGGGAGAAAACCTGCTTACCGTTGGTGTCCTTGCCCGCATTAGCCATGGAAAGAGTACCGGGTCCAGTATGCTTGAGCTTGCTGAAGCGGATGTCAGAGTTAAAGATATGAGCATGATCACCAAAAACTTACAAGTTCTCGTCCTTGAAACGGTCGCCGTAGATAGACTGAAAATCCTCCGTAAGCGACGTTCAAGCCAAGACAAATCCTAAATTACCTTTCCACCGGTGCCATCGCCACGAGCTAGTGAGATCGTATCAAGTTGGCTTCAGAATGAGATGATTATGGTACACATACTGAAGTCACCGCCTTGGATCCTGACAAAAGAGACATCAGGCGAGTGTTCACAAAGCAACGGACAAGTAGCTCACATGAAATTCTTGATAACGCGGTGGAACTTGGAGCCCTTGTAGCCGTAGCCGAGCTCCTTACCATCCTTGTCGACACCAGTTGCGAGTGCACGGAAGTTCTCGACTGTCTTGGGAACGGTCTGTGGGGAAATTAGTCAACTGCATATCTGTCAGCTTAAGTAGAGCAACGTACCCCACCGTAAAGACCAATGACGACTGTTTAACATTCGAGCCCCGTCAGATGTATGTCACAGGATTGCCTTAACATATGACACAAACCTCGACCTAGGTCCTGGTCACCATGCCTGATGTCGAAGTAGACCTTGTGGGTGATTTTGGGGCCTTTGGCGGCATCCGCAGATTGCGCACAGAAGATCGCAGCTATAGAAATTAAAATGAGCGCAAGAGAAACACGACCGAACATTGCGCAACAAAGTAGTGAAGTGTGAACGGAGACGTGTCCAAAGCAATTTGACTTTGAGAAAGGTTGTCAAATGTGGGAATAACATTCCCTTTTTGTTTAACTCGCTGTCCTCAAGAACGAGATCATCAAGACTGAAATTTACAAGATTGACATCAGCGCCGCAGGGGAAAATGGACGATGGACTTGTCCTAAACATTGCAGAAGATGCATCTGCAGAACCAATAAAGCTAGCATCAAAAAAATCTGGTCGCTGGACGGACAGGTGAGCAGAACGCTCGATGATATGTATGCAGCTAATTATCATGGCCTAGGTTGAAGGCTAAACGAGTCCAGAAACGAAGGACTAACCAACCTGACCATCATCCTGGCAGCGACGACGACGACCATTCCCGTCCCGCAAAACGGATGCGACCTGACATCCCCGTGCCCGCTCCCAAAACTTCTGCAACGGACCGTCCGGCACTTCCAGCTAAGCCTCCGACTCAGATAATCTCCTCTCTATTCTCGTACAACCCTAAAGTTGAAGCCCCTACACCCTCTGCTGTCCAAAAAGTACCCTCTAAACCGAGCAATGCGCCATTGACTGGGTCAGCCACCTTCGCAGACCTAGGTCTTCACCCACTCCTTGTCGCTCACCTACAGTCTAAGATGAGTATCACGAAACCAACAGCTATTCAACGTGCTGCCCTTCCTATGTTCACGAAACCTTCCTCCGAGGACATGGATGCGCGCGACGTATTTATACAATCGCAAACTGGGTCCGGAAAGACCATGTCGTTCCTCCTACCTATAATCCAGGATCTTCTACCCCTCAGCACTCACTCGTACATTGACCGCTCGATAGGAACCCTTGCTATCATTATCGCACCCACTCGTGAATTGGCAAAACAAATTTCTGATGTCTTAGAGGCGCTATTAACGCTTAAGCTACGCCCAGACGGTGAACAGGAGCATGCGGAGGGTTCTACACGTTATACCCGGTGGTTAGTCTCCGGCTTGCTAAGTGGAGGCGCAACCCGTGCGCACGAGAAGGCGCGTCTACGGAAAGGCGTACCCATCCTTGTCTCGACTCCAGGTCGCCTGCTAGATCATCTGCAAAACACGTCTTCGTTCAACGTTGGGAAATGCAGATGGCTGGTTCTCGATGAAGCGGACCGCTTGATGGAGCTCGGTTTTGAAGACACTATCAAAGGGATCGTTCAGGGTCTGGATGGGAGGAGGAATGCTCGCGTTTCAAGCTGTTCAAGACGGTAAGACATTCGAGGTTGGGGGTTGGGATTGGGACCGGCAGAGACGGACGATACTTTGTTCAGCTACTATTCGTGAAGATGTGCAGAAACTGGCAGGCACCACTCTAAGACGACCGCTTATAATAAAGGGCCTCGACGAAGCAAAGGCGGAGGACTCGCCCGCATCAAAACACGACAACGAGCCAGCTACAATCAGTACCGAGAAGTTCACACCACCGTCGCAACTCTGTCAGAAATATGTCGTCGTTCCTCTCAAGATGCGTCTTGTCGCGCTTGTCGCACTTCTCCGCTCCTTGCTCGCTCAGACACAAGGTCAAAAAGGGTCAAAAATCATCGTATTCCTCAGCTGCACGGACTCCGTCGACTTTCACTGGCGCCTGCTAGGCGATTCGTCAATGAATGATGGAAAGGCTGATGCTGAATCTGACGAGGACGATACTAGCGACGGGGAAGACAAAAAGGTAGATGCTTCTATTACTGCACAGTCCCCGCTCCTTCCAGGTACCTCGATCTTTCGTCTTCACGGTTCCCTTCCCACACCAATCCGTCTCGCCTCTCTACGCGGATTCTCGGCCATCCCTTCCTCAAAGTCGAAAACATCTGCACCCGTGTCGTCCATCCTCCTTTGCACGTCCGTGGCATCCCGTGGTCTCGACCTACCCCTCGTTCGCGCAGTCGTACAGTACGATCTGCCAACTGAAGGTGGTGCGACCGAGTACGTGCACAGAGTGGGACGGACAGCGCGTGCAGGAAAGGGTGGTGAGGCTTGGAGCGTCGTCGCGCCAAGTGAGTCTGAATGGGTGAAATGGGTGGAGGGGAAGATGAGAGGCGATACAACGGGAGAACAGTCGGACAGCGACAAAGTCGACATCACGCTTGAAGGGACAAGCATCGAAAACGTGTTGGCGAAAGGCTTTGGCGGAGGAGGCTCCGAGTACGAGGCGCGCGCGACAGAAGTACAGCTTTCCTTTGAGCGATGGGTTTTGCGGCGCAAAGAGGTAGCTTTAATTGGGAGAGAAGTCGGGCGGGCGCTGACGCCTTTTTGCAGAACGCTGAACTTGCTCGGAGAGCATTTACTTCGCACATGAGGGCATATGCAACCCATCCCTCAAACGAGAAGCACATCTTCCACGTCCGTCACCTCCACATCGGCCATCTCGCAAAAGCATTTGCCTTGCGTGAAGCTCCGAAGACGATCACTGACGGGAAGAATAAAGTAACCGGTGCATCCAAAGGCCGCGGTTCTCGTCCCGCTAAAGCCACAGAGCAACACGACGTCGGCGACGCAGAGAAACGGATGCAAAATATTGTCCGTGCGCAGGGTCGGCTGTCGAAGAAGGGCGGCAAGATGGTCAGTAGTGGGATCGACGAATTTCAGGTCACATCAGGGGTTGCGTTGGACTCACTCGTCCATGGTTATCGATCGTAGTCGGACGGCAGGTTCGGTTTATCCGCTTCTATACACTGAGGCCTAATGGGATAATCGTTGAAAAACATCAGGAACATCAAAAAATTATGGACCATTGGCGGCGCCTTTCATCCGAATCGCCAATTGGACGCAGTCACGTTATGGCGTTCATCAATCATCCCAGTGAAAGTCAAGGTCTCGCCTTTCGTCGTTCGGATAGTCCTGACTACATACACATACCTACGTCCTCTCCTTGTCATCTCCCGCCATGTCGTAGTCACTCGATACAACGTTGTTCTCAAGCTTCAACATGGATCTCTGGTTGAACACGTTGACGGTTGAATTGCACAAGCCTTGTATATCGGGTCCTTGCAGTATTGAGCATGGGAGCTTTCGTCACACTGGTGTAAATCGGTGGAGCTCGCGCTGGCCAATCTATGTCTCGTTGCGCCGACTCACAGCTTCAAGTCTGGTGCATCTCATTTAGGCTGCTACCCCAATGCAGTAAGCTGCAAGCAGGGTTCCGTATTTTTCAGTCTTCTTCTCCCAGACGCCATATCGCTACGACCATATCACCAAATGCTCAGGCTACTGTGGTATCATATCTCGACACGAACGGCTAGCTCCGCTATTTCAACGATGAAATTGCCGAATCGAGCTGCGCTGGTCCACAAATCGAACAATTGTGGACTCTTATTAAGCATTCAGATCCACAAAATGGCATTGGTCATTCGTCTGGCGACTTTAGAACGTTAACCACCAACCACCACCATCCAATACGCTTTTGAGTCTCACAGACCACTCCAACTTCGTTCTTCGAAACCCACTTACTGTTATTCATACTATGGACGCATTCGCATCCATCGCCTCGCAGTTTTACCCATCTAACGATGGTTTCTCAGGGGATTCCGACGGACTCCCCGTTGACCATGAACATAAACCAGAGCTACCTGGTATATTTTGCGTCATTGCTTGAAGTCGATCGTTGCTTTTGCGACAGTGTAAACCTCTTTTCATCGCTCGCCGATCAATTCAGTACTGAAGTACACTTTGGCAGTCACCGAGCTTCCGACTACTGTCTATTCATCTTCTCTCACCATCAATCTCGTGTACATTCCACTCTTTTGTCGTCGTTTTCCAGTCGTGGGATATCCTGAAGGGATGTTGCTTGTACAACAGCGTAAACCTCTTTTCATTGCTCGCCGATCAATTCAGTACTGAAGTACACTTTGGCAGTCACCGAGCTTCCGACTACCGCCTATTCATCTTCTCTCACCATCAATCTTAATCTCGTGTACCGTCCACTCTTTTGTCGTCGTTTTCCAGTCGTGGGATGTGCTGAAGGGATGTTGCTTGTACAACAGTGTAAACCTCTTTTCATCTCTCGCCGATCAATTCAGTACTGAAGTACACTTTGGCAGTCACCGAGCTTCCGACTACCGCCTATTCATCTTCTCTCACCATCAATCTCAATCTCATGTACCGTCTACTCTTTTGTCGTCGTTTTCCAGTCGTGTGATGTGCTGAAGTGAATATCGAAGGTAAAGACGATAACTTAAGCTACGCGATACATTTCTCAACCTTTGCACAACACAGCAGCACCACAATCACACTCGGTGACCAATAGACAGGGAACAGCGCCTGCGAAAGCGGCCGAGTACGCGTTATGCATCATGCAACACATACATTGATCCTGTTTATGAAAGTCATCTCATCTTCGAAGGGCGGCGCGTCTAAAACGGCCGGCGGGAACGGCGGACTGATGGGGGTACGCCTCACATCAGGGCATTCGCGCGCCCAGGTGCATCGGGGACACTGGGGGTCCCCTAGACTAGACCGTATTTTCTTCCTTATAGTACTACTCTCCATATGACATGAAAATGGAATACGTATATGTATAAAAGACAGGGAACAGGCTGAGATTGGCACAAATGGGACTAGACTTTACGTGTACTGAACGGGAATGAAGCAAAGTCTTCGGCCATAAGCCTAAGCCTATATTTGAGACAAGCAGAATTATATATTCCCACTACCTTTAGGGAATAGCTTGCTACGAATTATCGCTATTTTCACGTTTTGGCGGTAGATTTCACGATTTCGTCGCCCCTCTTTTGTTCGCTTTATAAAGCAAATGTTGGTCGTGATCCCATGCCTAATTCCCCCTTGCGCTTTACCACCATAAACCATCAAACTATTCAGTCTATACTACTTGTGTAATTTTTATTTTTCAAACCAAATCTCCTAGCTTAATCCACACGATACACGTAGTTCTGGCTCGTCTCGGCTTCTACCTACCATCTCGGTCTCGCGCTTTATCTCCAGCTAGTTCGTGGTTTCTAGTGGGCCGTCACCAAATGACCGTAGGGAATAGTACCTTAAGTAGGGCTGATCTCGAAGGTTTCGGTCCGATGGCTTTGGGACTTGAGCTGGACGTGACAGAGATTTATCTGGACTCAATTAGGTTGTTCTATCCAAGTCATTTCTTGGTCCGTTCAGGCGCAACCATTCTGTCAAACCAATAGAATCTACAAGTCTTACCCATAGCCCTATTTTCAGGATACAAAAGCGAGTCTTGTCTACCTCAGAGTAGTTCAGAGTCCCTTTTGCAAAGTTCGTGTCACTGCGCACAAGCCATGCTTTTCTCCTTCTTCGTCGTTATTACCGTGACCAGTGCTTTGGCAGCATATAGTATCACGAATGTCACTGGATGCAATAATCGATATTCAATCTGCACAACGGACGGTCAATGCTGCCTTGGCCTTTTCTGTAAACCACACGTGAGCATGCTTTGCATCAATGCCATTGCTCACCCCATGTAAGTACCTTGCAATGTCAACAGAAGCCTGCCACAACAACGATTTTTGCAGTTCAAGCAAAGAACTGGGCCCCTTAAGTTCTAGACCATGCAAAGCACACGTGTTTATTATTTATCCGTTGACTCCAAATCATCGGCCTTGAAGTTCTGCCATCCAGGAGCAACCAATGTGCCAAATCAATTTACAAGTTTTGCCCATAGGGTATCTATAAAGCAAGCCCTGTCGTCCACCTTAGAGTAGTTCAGAGTCCCCTTCAACAAAGTTCGCATCAAATCGCATAAACCATGCATTTCTCCTTTCTCGTCTTCATTACCACTGCTTTGGCAGCATGTATGTCTGTCACTGCATGCTCTCCTCAATTTGGGACCTGCAATATAGACAGTGATTGCTGCGGCAATTTTCGCTGTAGTGCACAAGCGGTAAGTACTCTAGTACTATGAGTGGTTTGCTTTGCATCCAGGATTTAACCCCATTGCTTACCCCATGCACTTTGCAATCAATAGCCTCACAATCATAATAAATTCTGCAATTACTAAGTAGACTGCTCACCGATGGGCTGGCAGAATGTACTAGTATACAGGACATGATGGTGAATCCGGTCTTACAATGGAGACGGGTAGGCCGAGGGAATGTATTCTCGAGGGACACGGATGGGCTGCAATCGGGGGTCCGTTTGGGTCCTTGGTCGTCTGATATGGGGTTGCTCGATCAAGCGTGTGCTTTGCATGGTCTAGAACTTAAGGGGCCCAGTTCTTTGCTTGAACTGCAAAAATCGTTGTTGTGGCAGGCTTCTGTTGACATTGCAAGGTACTTACATGGGGTGAGCAATGGCATTGATGCAAAGCATGCTCACGTGTGGTTTACAGAAAAGGCCAAGGCAGCATTGACCGTCCGTTGTGCAGATTGAATATCGATTATTGCATCCAGTGACATTCGTGATACTATATGCTGCCAAAGCACTGGTCACGGTAATAACGACGAAGAAGGAGAAAAGCATGGCTTGTGCGCAGTGACACGAACTTTGCAAAAGGGACTCTGAACTACTCTGAGGTAGACAGGACTCGCTTTTGTATCCTGAAAATAGGGCTATGGGTAAGACTTGTAAATTCTATTGGGTTTGGCAGAATGGTTGCACCTGAACGCTAACGTGTGATGGCATGTGACATGATGTGACTAGCTGTGACCCGAACACTAGTAGAGGATCGTCCGATGACCATCGTGGACCAGAACACGCTCGAATGATGTAGAAGTAAAATAGCATGTCCACCAAGGTTCTTCGGGTGTTTCAGTGCATGTTTGGGCATTGTGTCGTGGTAGTTTTAGAATGTCATACCAATTATGTGTTCCCCCTTAGTTTGTCACGCAACAACTCAAAAGGGCTCATAACATTCGTTTTCTTAATGGCACTTTCAATTTCAATTTTTTCAAAAATCCAGCCGCGCAGCATTGTGCGCAGTGTAAATACAAAGAACCCTGCGCGATTTCTTTTTGCAAAATAGATGTTTTACCATTGCCATTAACATTTCAAACAAAAGTAACGCTTTGTCACGTTTCGTTAGCGTGAGCCATACCTTGGTTTTTCCCAGCTGGTTGTGCCTGGCCGCATGGGCAAAACTCGTGCGAAGGGAGGTGGCAAAGCTTGGCACAAGTCTGGACTCGCGGTCTCAATACATTTCTAATTGCCACCTCACTTTGCCCCGCAAAAAGCGCAGGCTGCAAGGTATAGCCAGCAAAAGGGTTTTCTCGGGCGCGAGCCTGAAAAATCCGATGAATACTCCACGAACTAGCTGGAGATAAAGCGCGAGACCGAGATGGTAGGTAGAAGCCGAGACGAGCCAGAACTACGTGTATCGTGTGGATTAAGCCGGGAGATTTGGTTTGAAAAATAAAAATTACACAAGTATAGACTGAATAGTTTGATGGTTTAATGTATTTACAATTATCTATTTGTATGCACTGAAATTTTGTTCGATAGCCTGCTGGCTTTCATGTGTACTTAGAGTATCAACTCCAGGAGAACCGTGGGGTGGGGGAGTGCTGAGCGCGTTCTGGCCTGAAACACGTCGGTGCTGTGCGCGTCGTAGCGAGCACGTGCCTTTTTTTTTTGGTACCCTTAGCCGAAGTACGACGTGCACGCTGCAGTTATGAGTTAATACCACCACGCGTTCCCTGTGCACGATCTTTTTGACCTCTTCAGCCTACTAGACCCAGATCTTGTAATTATTCCACGAAATGTCAGTTGATGTCCGTTATGCAGCATTCGCAGGAATCACAGCGATCCTCCTTTTCGGAACACTCTACTCCGTCGCATACGACACTTATCTCGATACCTCCAATCCCGTCCTCACACATCTCCCTCACCACCTACATGCAACGCACTACTTCGCAAACAAATCCAACATCCTAAACTCATACTTCATCAAACGTGCATGGGGCTGGACTTCTGCCGCCTTCCTCACGCTCTGGCTCACCAGCCCACCGCACAAGCGGACAGTAAACAGAGTTCTCAAGTGGGGCGTAGAAACGGCCGTGTGGCTCGTGTTCACAAGCTGGTTCTTTGGGCCTGCCCTACTCGAAAGGCTCACAGCAGCCTCGGGGGGCGAGTGCATGGCCACTTTCCGGTCTGGTGACGTTTTCACCGTCCCGTATGAATACTGTCTCACGCGGACGGCGATATCACAAGAGACGCATCCATTCTTGTTTGTTGGATCGTTTGCAGAGTCGTCGTTACGGGTGCCGGATGATAGGTTGCCGGTGATTCCTCGCTTGAGGAAGGGACACGATGTGTCAGGCCACGTCTTCCTCCTCACTATGTCTGTCCTATTTTTGGTGGACCAGATCAGGCCGTCTTTGTACGCGAGGTCGTGGTCGCCTCCGCATGCTTGTGCAGTCGCGTTCAATATCGCGCTTGTCACGATCTGGTTATTCGCAATCTCCACTACTAGCGTGTACTTCCATACGCCATTTGAAAAGTTCACCGGATATCGTACGTTCTGTTTCGTTTTAGGTTCGACGACCGGCTTACTTGATTTACAGTGTTAGGAGTCGCGGGTTACATGGTGACTTTGTTGTATTAGTATACTACCGCAATACAGACATCGCTATGAATGTAACATTTGGATATCGCTACCCAGCCCGCTAGTGTAGTATACCGTAATGTGCAATGTCGACATGGTCCAAAAGTCATGATCATAGTCATGTCAAAGCGTGCGCGCTGAGTACTGCGATACAATGTACACTACGCCAATCATTATACGGTGCGAAATCCATGCAAGTAGATAGTCTATCGTCGATCACAAACACCACCGTCTCAAAAGAATAGCCAACCAATCAAAGCCCACATAACAACTGCAGGCAGCGCAACACTGATGCTGTCGCCTCCCAACCTCCACAACATCCCCCTCCGCTTACCTATGGATAAACTGACACGGTTGTTTCCCTCAGACGCACAAAAGTTTTTCACCTCTCCCCACGTCGGCAGTGCAATCGTTATCCGCCGCCGCCTCCCTCTGAATACGAAGCTCCAGCTCCATGACGGCCACTTCCTCTCTGATTGACGTGCGCTCGGTGAGGGAAGGAACGATGGCGCTTCGTGAACGTCCTCGCCTGAAGGCCAGACATGTTCGTTGTGATGCTGTGAAGGATAGTGTGCGGGGTTCATCTCGTCCTCATGTCCAGCGTGGAAAAGCGGAATAGGGCTTAGGAGCGGTGAATCAAGCGGTGATCCGGTGGCTGATGGCGACAAGGCACGGAATGTAAATATCTCTTTTGCACTAGGGACACGCACTGTAACTGAGGGTGGGAGTGACACCGCCGGACTCGTTGGACCGCTTGACTTCCGCGGGGACCAGTTAGTCCAGATTGCAGATTCTGGGCCTCGCGATGGGGAACTTGGTCTGCTCCTACTAATTGCAGAGACAGGCGAGAGCGAGAGAGTGGAAAAACGACGATGGTGACGGTCAGGTGAGATGTTCAGATATAGGAGCACGATGCCGGTGAGTACGAGAGCGGGTAGGTATATCGAATTAAAGATGCGGAAGGTATCGGGCAGAAGGCAATGCGCATCTGCGAATGTAGAGCCATGGGGCGATACCGCAGAGCCCGGAGGGATGAGAGAGAGGAGCTGGAAGCCCGGGCGTCGGATGTGCCTTGATGGGGAAAACGATTTTACAGTCACTTCCCGGGCGGTGGTCTTTGCCAGTATATTGGCATCTGTTGCGGGGAGTTGGTGGGTCATGTTGCAGTAATCTCGGTTGTCGCCACTGTAATAGGGGTGTAATTTATAAATATGGGAGTAGGTGGATGATATATCTTTATCCACGTACCTGAAAACCACTGCTGGACGAAGTGTGTGCAGAACAAATCTAGTGGTTTGTTTACCAAGCATATTCTGATACCCATGGCCTGCACTGGCTCGTATAGAGCCTTTTTCGCGCAGTGGCCCGCACGATGTACTTGCTGGTCGTGACAAAGGAATATGACTGAATAAGATGATGGGGCTAGATGATGCTAATAACCCCGACATCAGTAACGTTTCCAGAAAATTCAAGACAGCACTCACCCCTGATGGCAACGGAGGCGATGAACTCGATTGGACCACCCGCAGCCGGCGTCCAAGTCTCATACTGCTTTCCCATTCCATGTCGGCGATAGTCCTCGTCGACCAATCCAGGGGCATCGATGAAGATCAGCCTATGGCCAGCCAAGTCGATCTCCTGATTCACAGGACCAAAGTACTGGGTAAAATATTTTCGCGCATTCTTTGAGAAAGTAGAAGATTCTCCGAGACTGGAAAACAAGGGACAGGTCATTAAATTCCCAAATGACCACGTCACACAAAGTCAAAGCACGTACCCAACATCTCTATTCCCTGGGACGAAATAGTTCGGCACAGATTTGTCAATAGTGAATATCCCCTTGAATTCATCCACGTAGTTTTTGTATCTATCAGGAACCTTGAGCGCATGTAAGCAGGTGGTTACAGTAGTGACACGTACTCGTCTTCACTCGTGACGTAGAGTCCAGAGGAAAGCACGTCACCTAGCCATACGACTGCGTGAGGGTGCAGGCGGGTGACGACGCTCCAGCCTTTGCGTAAGTATCTAGTAGAGGATGCACCATAGCCGAGCCACGAAATCCCTGAATGTCTCGGGTTCGGGAGTTGGGGGTCAGCAATCAAGAGGACTCGGGTTGGCTTTTCGGTCGATCCGGCCTTGACAGCATGTTATTTCGAGGACAGTATGATTCAGTTGGACGTACTCACCCCCTTCAACTCCTTGTCAGGCCACTTGCAATCTGATAAACTGTAGAAAAATACACCGAACTCGCACCAAATGACAAGAACGACCCAGAAGAAGCGAAGGAGGTTGATAATGGTGTTTCGCGAAAGAAGGCGCGATTTCCTGCTGCGCTTTTCATGGATAAAGCTCATTCCGCATCACTTGCAATTGAGGAATTGGCAAGTGCAAGGCAAAACCCAGATTCGATTTTGAAAGAAAGAGCAGGTTCGCTTGATTTGGTTGAACGTATAAATTTGGTATAAATAGCACTCAACATGTGGTATTATAGGCTGGATCATCCAAACTACATACAAATACATAAGAACATTAACTTCTCACTCCCAGTCACTCTCTTCCTCGTCGTCCTCATCCTTCTGTACATGTTCCTGTGCATCTCCCGCAGCACTGACGTTACCAGAGACAACATCATAACTGTCCTCACTGCTTTCCCTACTAGGACTCATGGTCATAGGAGTATTGAATTGCGAAGAATTTGGGAGCGATTGGACATCGCTCGTGTCTGCCACTTTGGGTGCCAACGTACGTTGCGATAAGGTTGACGACTCGAGAGCTCCGATGGATCTAGATTCAAGGGCGACGGATTCGTCGTCGTCATCTTCCCAGCTGAAATCTTCTTCCGTCTGGTTTGCTCCTGTGAAGGCATAAATCAACAAAATGTCATGTTGCAAAAGATAAAAAGTTATGTACCGTGAATAAGAGCCTTGCGTCTCATTTCTTCTCGTTCAATCTGATAAACGCGGAAGAAGTATCGTGTCCAGAATTCGTCGTCAGAAAGAATGGCAGGTACTGAGGAAACGATAAGCGTCGACAATTAGGATCGTAGCAGTCAGCGTACCTAGTGCATTGAACGTCTCCTGTAGCGTTTGGCCATCGTCTGGATCAGATAGCGTCCTTGCGATGCGTTCTGACCAAGCTTGAGTACCGGGGTGTTCAACCTTGCTCTGCGCCTCAGATACCCAAGAATGGAACGTCTCCCTCCCCGCATCAGCATCGGGATCAAGCTTGATAATCTCAGGATTACTCTTCAGCTGCTTCAACAGCGCTTGCGCGCGCGTCGCAACAGCCTGACGAGCATCTTCACTCTGCCGCCTCGCCGAAACGCCTAAATCCGTCTCCTTGCCCTTGCCCTTCACATCACCTCCTTCCATTGGTAGCATCCAGACGTCAGATCCATCCCAAACCAAACCCTGATTCGAATATCCACCGCTCTCCTCTGGTGGAATTACTTTCACTACATCTCGCAGGGCTTCACTAGCTTCCTTCATAGCTTCCCGCAGCAGATGTTCGCTCTTGTGTACATATTCCTCCGCCTGCGCACGCGTCACCCCCTGGACGCGCTGAAATTCGGTAGTTAGCGTCGTCCGAAGCTGTGACAGATCGATGCTTTGTGGGTGTTTAAGGCTTTCAGGAAGCTGGGCTTGGACATTCGAGACGATATTAGGCGGAAGCGAAGATTGGAGGCGCGCAAAGAGTGATTGTGAAGTTGAGAGTGAGCCTGTTGCGGTGTGCGATTCCGCGGTAGGCGTCTCAGGAGACGTGCCACACTCGCTCTCGCTCTCTTTGTCAGATGTATCCTCAGCCTCGTTGGCATGGGCGTCGCCAGCAGCGGTTTCGGTCGATATAGCGAGTTTGCCAAGCTCCTTCTGTGCTTGTGTGACTACCTCGCCGAAATCCTTGCGTGCAGTCGCGAAGGCAGTTTCGCTCTATTTAATCTTTGGGGTGAGTTTCAAACATCGCAATCATAGAACGCATGTGAACGTACCTGCTTCCTGAACCCTCCCCAGAACTTTCCGAGTTGGCCAATGACCTGAGAAACCTCTTCGTTGAGGCTCTGTTCTGGGTGAGCATTCACAGGTGGCGTATTCGCACCCGTCCCAGTCAGTCCATAAGTGTCAAGGAAATTCATGGTCGATGAATATTAATGATGATCGATTTATTCAAGAAGGTCACGGTTGCGTGCATGCGGAAGCCAGAAGCAGATCCATTGAGCACCAGATTACGAAATACAATTGCAAAGCTATCAATTCTAGGAATATCGTACAAGTACAAACAAGACCAAAGCCATCAATCACCAGAAACAAGTATCGTATGTAATAGAATCAATCAAGCAGCAACTTCGACACGGGCAGGCTGTTCCACCATGAAACTGGCAGCATCAATAGTAGTACCCACAGGCGTCTTGACATTTTCAGTTTTGTACACACGGCATTCATTCAAGAAATCGGTGAACATCTGCACAATCAAATTAGTAACTGCTGAAGTTATACGACTAATAACAGCAAACCTCAATTGTGTCGAGGGGACCCCCGGCGCTCTCGGGATGGAACTGAACGCCCCATACCCTTTTTCCGGACTCAGCGGTTGACTTGATGCCCTCTACAGAAGAGTCGTTACAGTTGATGAAGAATGGTTCCCATCCTTGTGGGAAGGGGTCAGATAGCTTGAGGGCATATTGATGATTTTGACTGATGACACCATTTAGCATCATCCATGACTCATAATGACTGAAGAACGCAGACCTTGTCACATAAACCCTCCCGGCCTTAATCGAACCTGCAGATGCAAGAGCGAGGACAGGCTGGTTGTGCCCGCGGTTGCCGAACGTCATGCGGTATGCCTCGAGGCCGGCAGCCATACCAATAATTTGATGCCCCATACAGAGTCCAAACACTGGTTTGTCCCACTCCTGAAGTGTCTTGCTAAGTATCGAGACGGCTTCCATGCATTGGCTCGGGTTTCCGGGGCCATTGGTCAGGAAGAGACCATCAAACTTTTCGCGAATGGAGTTGAAATTGTAGTTCCATGGCAGTACTGTGACTGCAGCGTTTCGGCGAACGAGGGAACGCAGGATATTAGCCTTGACACCGAAGTCAAGAACTGCGATCTTAATGTCCCCAGTAGGGTTAAGCTGGTAGGGATACTTTGTGGACACCTGGTCGACAAGGTTCTCAACGGCGGGGTCCCAATATTTCTCGGCGGCAGGTGCAGGGGCGCAAGCATCAGGACCGACAGCAAGGCGACCAAGGGTGGTTCCTTGGTCACGAAGGAGACGTGTAATGGCACGTGTGTCTACGCCAGTGATGGCGGGAATATTTGAGCGGCGACACCATGATGCAAGTGATTCCACCGCGGAATGATGAGAAAATTTTTCTGCGACATCAGAAACTACAATAGCGCTGCATTGAATGCCCTGGGACTCTAGGACCACACCAACGTCGTGGGAATCGATTGGTGCGTTGTTAGATGGAACACCGTAGTTGCCAATGAGAGGCGTGGTGAATACTAGAATTTGACCACGGTAAGAAGGGTCAGTCATAGACTCAGTGTCTAAAGAATAGGAGGATGAGAAGGTGGCGCAATAGATGATCAATATTACGACATACAAGAAGTGATAGATGTCGAGAAGACAGTCTCGCCGAAGATGCTCCTGGGAGAGCCAAATGAACGACCATGGAAGGACTGGCCTGTTTTAAGATGCAAGACTGCTGGTAAAGCTGAGTTGGGGCCTGTGTGTGTTGCAAGACCACGGGAGAGAGTTGTTGGAAGACGAATAATAGATCGAGCAAACATGGTTTATTGATCAGAATCCGATGAGGGAGAATACGAGGTCACCAAGGTAGCTAAAGAAATGCATCAGCAACAATCTGGCTTTAAAGCAATGGACTGACTCGTCGCGTGTGCTCTGGGTGAATGTCATAGACAAGCTTGAACGCTCAAAAGGAGAATTTGCAGCTGAAGATTGCTGACTGTCAGATGTTGAAGCTGGAAAAAAAGAGATCAAAACAACGGCGTTTAAATAGTCACCTGGCGAATTGTTGTCATTGTTTGTCACAAAAGCGCGTGATCAGCAGCTGACACCCTTAAAGGCCTAATTCTTTATATTTGAAAATCTGAGAGTTTGAAAACTTTCTACGCCAGCATGTGCCCCACAGCTGCGCACTGACCCCAGGACCCGGTGACTTGATTTTCAAAGCCACGTTCAATGACACACACTGGTGGGCAGCCGAGGGCTCGTAGCCGCGGGTTTCGGGATATCCTCAACTTTATTTATTCGTGTCTAACCTTACACGACCATGTCAAAATGGTACCGAGTCATGTGTCATTCTCACCGCTAGTCACTCAAGACAGCGAACCGGCGACAACATACTCTTGTTTGCTTGATCAACTGTACAAAGAAAAACGGGTTCTATCAGCGCAAGTATGTAGAAGAGTAATGCAACGCGTAAATCAGATCGTCAGTAACCTATAGACGCCAAAAGTCCCTTCTTTTTCGACCGTAGCTTGCCTGCCCTATTCGCTTGTGGGATATGTGACTGGCCCCCGTCATCAGATTCAGATGACGATTCGTCATCGTCGTCATCGTCATCATCCGCCTGCCCTCCCACACCATTTGCCATAGTGCCCGGACGAGGTGCGACCGAATTACTTTGGGAGAAAAGTTCTGTTTGACTCGCAATATCTGTGAGTCTGCGGTAGAGTGGTCTCGCTTTACGCGTTTTAGCATTTGTCATCTTCCTCTTCTTCCCTCCGGCCTCCGCCTCGGATTCAGACTCCGAGTCCGAGACTACCTCCATGGGTTTTGGGACAAATGCATTATACTGCGAGTGTGGAAAGGGTACTTGACTCGCCGGCAACGTGAAAGGTGACCCGCCGGCTTTGCTTGCTGAATGATCATCAGAATCTTCTCCCGCGCTGTTTTGAGTAGATGCTTGGCCAGCACGTACGCCACTCTGCCCAATAGGAGAACTTTCACGTCCGTCCATCAAAATGGACGACGAAGATGCACGAAGGGGAAAACGATTTGGCAAGAGAAACTGTAGGTTTCGGCAAAGGTTGCGAATGTGACGGTGTTGCGACATGACCGTTCAAGTTTGTGCTCTTTTTCGTTGGTTGCGAAGAGATGCGAAGGAGATCTGTTCGTGTTGTTCCCTTACCGCCGCGAATCGGCGGTTTGTCATTGCCTGTCCGAATGGCAACGTTCTTCTTCTTCCACTCAGGGCCTGCTCTCTGGGATCCATTGACCTTGGGTTCATCAGCACGCACAGGAAGTTGTGAGGGGCTGGGAAGTTGCCCGTGTCGATTCTTCATCCGCTTTGCTAGGCCAGACTTTGGAGTCGAGGGGGCTGCTGGGGAAAGTGGTCTTGCAGTTTTTTGAGCTGGCGGTGTCGTAACTTCGATGGGATCACTATCAGATGTTATTACGTGCTGTAATTCCATCAGATCGTCGGCTGGCTCAATGGGGTCATCGTTAGTGTCGACCTTGTTACGAGAGAGCGCAGCACCACGAGTTGGTGCTTTGTTCAGGCCTGCAGTCACAGGTGCTTCGCTAGCACCTTTGGCTGAATCGTTATCGCCCTGATCCTTTGACACAGATACACGGGTGGCATCCGTATCAAAAGCATCTCCTTGCACACCGTCTTTCTTACTTCCAGCCGGGTCTATGGCATTAGATGTCTCATCAGGACCCGCAGAAAGTTTCGACGCGGCAGTTGAAGGCAATGGTTCGGAAGTCTTCTGGTTCGGCAGGGGCATCGAGAGTCGCTCGCTCTCGTCGTCTTCATCCCCTTCCTCTTCAGATGAATTAACCCACCGCTTCGATAATCGACGGTATTTCCGCTCATTCTCACCATCGTCTTCCACTTCCAGAGGCCCAATATCGTCGACTTCATTTTCAGTATCTGATTCCTTTTCTTTCGACTCCAAGGTATCGATCAAGTTGCGAAGCTTTATTGGCCCTGGACCTCGCATGATGGCGTCCAAATCAACGTCTTCAAGCGAAGGCTGACCAGGTTCAGGTTCATGCTCCTCTCGTTCTGCCTCCTGAGAAATCTGGTCTTCTTCTTCCGAACTACTTCCTTCGTCGCGGCTCTCCACAGTCACCTCTGAAAGTAGCGAGTGACTTGGCACAAGGGGCGTCCAAGAAGGTGGAGGCTCCTTATTTGCTTTCGTAGCTTCCCCTTCAGACTCGTCGCTAGTCTCCGAGGGCTTCCGCGATGGCTCCACAATATCTGCTGCACTGGATTTTGCGGAAGGCATTGCAGCGCTAGGAGACTTTAATAATGACTCCAAATCCTTGATAATGAGTTGATGCTTCTTTGCCCCTGCTTTCCTCAATTCCTCAATTCTATTCTGTATTGCTTCCTGGCCTGCCAACACCGTTGGGCATGAATACAGAGGATGAAAGGAACCAGAGCAAGCGTGACAAAGCAGATTAGATGACACACCACTTTTCGTGGTCGTAATTACAGAGGGGGCCAGCGAAGTGGACGGCTGGGAAATGTTAACCGAATTCACCTCAGTATTGGTATTATTCTGTTTAGCCAACCCCTGCGAGGCACGTGCTATTGAATTCACAATGTCTTGAATATTTATTGGATTGACAGGTGGGTCAGCTATTGATCTAGCATTGGTCAGATGGTGACTACTGTCAGAATGAGTTACGCACCATCGGCATCAGAAGCCGCGGACTTTGTTGCTTTGCTTTTCTTAGTCTTTTCTGTAGGAAATTAGAAAGCGCGGGATCAATGTGTGATACCACGCACTTTCTTTCGGGGCCGGAGCTTCTGAAGCTCCCGCGATTGCAACTTTCTTGTGGCCTTTTGTGGGAGCTACGGTCAAATCAATCACAAAGAACTTCTGATGTGACTCTTAAAGACGAACCAGATGTCTTATGAGCTGGTTTGCTTGGAGCTGGTTCACTTTCAGCTTCTTTACCCTTTACCTTGCTCTTCTTCTTTTCTGAAGGCAGTCAATCAAGACGCGTTCAATAATATATGCAACTCTTGCGTACTTTCAGAGCCAGCTGCGCTATCAACTGCACCGTTCGCAGATTTCTCGCCTTTAGCTTCTGGTGTACAATTTTCAACGTTCAAAATTATGGAGAGGAGACATAAACATACCAGACTGAAGAGCCGACGTTTTTGTGGCAATCTTCTTCGTCCCTGATGATTTCTTTGGCGGTGCTGAGAGACCAGAAGGAGCCGGGACTGCCTCGACATCTGATACCGGTAGGCTTGAGGTCTCATTGGTCTTTTCGGCCTCCTTCGGCTTCTTGGTCTTCTTTGGTGGCTTCTCTGCAGCATCATTGGCCGTACTGGCCTTCGCAGTTTTTGCTTTCTTCTTCGGCGGTTCTCCGTCGGTGGGGACGGGCGCTTTGGAGCTTATCAAGACTTCGGCTTTCGTAGAGGGCTTCAGTGAGGATTCTACTAAAGGGCTGACTGGGGCGGGCTCCTTGGAAGTTGGCACAGTCTCTGCATGTATGGTCACTGCGAGTTGATCTGTCTTCCGTTTCTTAGTTTTCGGTTCGTGTGCCATAGTCGTCGTATTGCCATCCTTAGGAGGCTGGCCATTATTGGTTTTACGTTTCTTCTTCGCCACGTCCGTCTCAGACTTTTTTGACGCGGCCCCTGCGCTGTTGGAAGGTGTGGCTTCCTGTGCAGGAGGGGTCTGCTGCAACAGGTAAACACAAGCCAACTACACGCGAAACGCTGGGCTTACTGAAATCTCTACCGCAACATCCACCAATTTCATCAATCTCGCTCGCGAGGAGAACGCATCGAAATCATCATCTGTAGCAAATGAAAGTCAGAGAAGAGGTACCATACCCCAGAGCTGTCGCGTCTACCGTCATCCAAGTCTATAACCTTGCCACCACGCAACTGCTTTAGCTTGACCGTCGAGTTTGACGGTAGCTGCAGTTTTCGCCGTACCACATTCTGTATTTCTTCGAGAGATTGTTCTGTATATACCGAGATGAGTACAAAGCCACTTATAGTTAGTTAGGGAGGGGTACCCTTGAAAAGTCTATCAAAAGACCTATCTCCGACGAGATAAGTAACACTTGGGAGCTGGTCCTCTTCTCTCTGGCGTTTTCTTCCATTCACTTCCATTGCAGCAGGATTAACAAACGACGCGACGGTGCGCGGCTTGGAGGTGTGGGCGTTGATAGGTGTCAAGCTTTTCTAGATGAGTGGATTCATAAACAAATGCAAATACCACCCTCAACCCGGAACATTCATTATGGCTGGTGGAAGTCATCGTGCGCGACGCTCAGCTTGTCCTTATTGCTGCGCTCACAATATGTTTACAGCTTCAGGTTTTAACCCTCATCTTCCCGGTTTCAGATACCAGTTCCTCGCAAAAGCACTTGGAGCCACCATGTGGTTCTTCATTTTATATCGGGCTCGGTAAGTCCCAACACCATATTTACACTCGTATGCTAACTTTCTTCTCAGTGAGGACGGACCTAAGCTTCTTGTATTTATTCTTTCTCTTCTCTGAAGGCTACGCTGTGTCTCTAACACACTGTTTTGCAGGGTCTCCGGCATCCATGGGAGGGCCATGGTCATGGACACCACGATGAGCACTCAGAGCATCATTGATCATCTCGATAGAAATGTTGTAATCTTTTGGGTATTCGCTAATATATCCACATTTTATTCGCACCCTAGGACTGAACCGGACCCAAATGAGCTTTTCTTGTTTATCGTCCTTCACCGCGAACACACGATTACCACAAGGAGCGAATTCGTCATTCGTGGTCCAGATTCATATTTTAAAACCAATCTCCAGCCGATCGTTCGCCCATGGCTCAGGGAAAACAATTTATGCTTGCAAGAAGATCTGCTAATGGAGATTTCTACTAGAACCAATCAAGTGCACAGTTTAAGAATTTGCACATCTATCTTCATTCGTGTGTAAGGACCGTGTTCGCTATTTTCTCATCATGGTTACAGTGTTCGTATTACATCTCAGCAGGGGTATCACCAAGCCATCCCGCCGGTCTCTTTGTCATTGATGCCTCTCACACCCCTGCTAGCTGTTCTACGTAGGTTCATTTCCGGACCGTTGACCTAATTAACCCTACATTGGCGAAGTCGCAATTGAAGTGGGATTGCAGGTTGCTCACGGCCGAGTCATCAGAAATGGCTATCACGTAGAATAGTACTTTGCATCGTGTAAGTACTCGGAAATGGCCGAATTTTCTTTACGCAGTAGCAGCTTGTTGACAATGTTTACTTAGTACCTGGAGACATACATCATCATCCAAATTGCTTCGAAAGGTGATGATACGATCCAGTCAAATAACCGACTCTCGGGGCTCAATATCCATGCACAAATCACCCTGCTAAATGGCACCCAGTTCGCCCCCGAAATCTCTCTGTGAACTGCCTTCATCGTCGGGTCTTTCTTCAAAAAATTGTTCACAGTGCTATTGTTGGCAATTTCAATTTCTCTCCAACGATTGCGGGTGCCTGATATTGCCACAGAAGTTGCCGCACGCTCATCCATAACCTTCTCACCTTGTCATCTCAGAGCTCCACCACAGCTTTAACCACACTCTTGGAAATTTCGCTCCATCTTCTCCATCACCATCCGCAACTCCTCCGCCAACATTACATGTAATACCACTTCCCTGGTCACACGCTTGGCAACAGTAAGCTTCGCATTCGAGACTTCTTGCTTGGCAAAGGACTTCGATAAGGATGTACCGTCCGACCTCAGGAATTCGCGCAATGTCCGTATGCTTGGGAGCATCAATTATCGCTGCGTGTTAATCTGATTTCCGTTTCTTAATCGTTAGTATAGGTGCCGCAGTCTCGTTAGCATCTATCGGAGGCTGGTCATTCGTGGCTTTGCGTTTGTTCTCAGTCACCCTCATTTCTAAAGCATTTATTGCGCTGGTGGGAGACGCTCCATTTGTCGCAGGAGGAGGTTGCTGGAACAGGTTTACACAAGCTAACTAAGTTCAAACCACGGCGCTCACTACGATATCCACCCTCATATCAACCAACTTCACATGCATCGAAATCTGAAATGAACCGGCTGTCAGATAAGAGGTCGTTTATGTATTGCAAAAACACCTCATTTCTACCATCATCCAGATCAACGAACGTATCAGGATAGCCGTTGCTTTGACGTGATTGTCGCGTTCGATGGCAGCTGCATACCAAGACCCAAGACACAAGTGGTTTGGCTGGTACAGTTGAAACCTTTTCGAATTTCTTATCTCCGACGTAATGCGTGATGATCACGACCCGTAAGAGGTCTATTCGACTCTATCAGGTCATACTGAGGCTCTTGTTTTGCACTCCCCACTAGCTGCCATATGACTGTATTACGGATTTAGGCGACGGGTCGGTGTTCACACAAATATCACTGCGACTTAGAAGGTCAGTCGAAGGAGACGCAGACATAAACGCGACTTTGAAAGTACCCATGATGCCGTAAACGTTGTCGTAATATGTTCCCAGTCGTAGTCCTCACGTTTGACAAAAATAGCAGCTAACTTTCAGCCCCTTGAAGCTTGAAGTGATATAAAAAAACCTGCGACGTATAGTCCGACCTGCCTGGCTCGAACAGGCGACCTCAAGATGAATTGTTTATCCATTACAGTCTCGCGCTCTTCCAACTGAGCTAAGGTCGGTTGATTACCTTCACGTTATCTTATTTATGACGAAGTGACGGCATACACTGGTCCCGGTCATTGTCCACAGCTTTGAATCAAGGTTCTACCCAACGTTTGGTCAGATGGGCAAACAGAACAAAGACGATATCCCCAACCCAAGCAAGGTTGGCAATCGTGATATCATCCAACGTCTCAACTTTCTCTACCAAGCCAGTGTTCTCCTCAATGGCATGACAGCTGGTCCCTCCTCGCTTGTCCCGTCTAGCATCTGTGAAACCAACAACACGCAAAACCTACCGCAAAAACGGCAAAAGAGGCTCGTATCTACTGCGGATCTGTCTAGAAGTTACATAGACACGATGAAAGTCGTCGGACAAAAAACAAATGTCAAGATGTGAGCACATACATTTCGCACTTCACATCGTAGAGCTCATAGAACGCAGTGATCCAACAGTCAAACGCGTTATATGTAAGGGATGTCATATCGTGTTAATTCCTGGCGCCTCCTCGACCTTGCGCGTCAAGAGTGCGTGTCGAGTCAACATTCGTTTTGTACGTGCTTATCAGGTTACCGTGATATTCAGATTCCAAATCGCACAGACACATTGTTGTCCACACTTGTAACTCGTGCAGAACATCACGGCGAATACCTGCGCCTCCAGTACTGGATGCGAATGAACCTGAATCTAGGTCCACCACGACGGACCAACCAGCCCCCCGTGCTACAACAGGAAGTGCTTCGCGATCAGTACAGCGTAGACAAAAGAGGTTGTGCGTGGCCCGGCTGGCGCCCCACTTTGCTCGAGACCTCGGTCATGTTGTCTTCCGAGGAAACGAGAGGCTACCCGATGCTACTCAGTGAGATCAGACTATCATTTTCTGATTTGTTCTGTTCCCCATTGTCACTCTTACTAAAGTTAAACAATTCAGTGAGTCGAGTATCATAATATCACGTTGCCTATGAAAACATCACGCAGTTCCTCTCCATACGTTCGACCATGGGCTGGTGGTAGGAAATATCCACGAGAAGTTTGAAGCTCACGGTTTCAGCACTATTAACTGGCATATGCCCCTCTCGAGATTTCTCAGTATCTATGAATCTGTCTATGTAGAGTTGTAGATAATAACATGATCATCACCCATGGGCAAGCGCTCAGCGTAGTCGCTAGTGCTCGATCTTTTGAGAAAACGGTACATGTCATATTTTTGTATTGAGAGCAAAAATGACCAAGATGTTCAACTAACTAAATGCGACAGCACTCCCAACAATTAGGGTCCACCTTCTCAGGCCGCCACCCTATGTCGCATACCAAAGATTGTCGAGAGGAGGAGCATGGCTTGTAGCAAGACGATTGAGGAAGTGCTGCTGTGTCCACCCTGGAAGCAGCAAGGATCACGAGGATTTCAACGAGTTTCATGGTATCTGGTATAACTATGCATCAGCCTATGATGTGACCGTGCTAGGAAAACCACATACGGATGGAAAGTTTGATTGTATGATGTGCGCAAATTTGCTATTACAAAGTATCAGAAGAGCTATTATATGTCCGTTCCATAAAATGCACATAGAGTGTACCACAAGAGGACTGCTCACCGCGAGAGGAACCGTTCGTCTGTGACCTTTTCAACTCAACTGCGTTGATTTTATACGTGTTCTGGTTAGTGCGGGTGGGACTATACCGGGAGAAATTTTTATAGTAAGAAAACATGCGTCCCTGATAAGAAAATATTTCCTTGGCAAGGTGCACCCAATTGGTGATAACCGACTGGCAGCGAGCCTGTGATCGCAGGAAGAAAATGGCTGAGGCAGATAAGCGAGCAGTTTTTCATGATTCAATATTGGCTACTGCTGCTGAGTGTTCTTGGATCTTGGCAGTTTCTGACAAAGCGCAGGGATCACATGGTCAAGAAACAACTCGGAGTTGTCAACCTCATGGATCAAAAGAAAGAAGAAAATCGAAGAAATGTAACATTGATTGAGGGCGATGGACTTTTTGATGACGTAATACGATAGTCCCCGAAATCGTTTCTATAATAGGCGTCCACTGGACCAGTGACTGGGCTACGCAATTCTAGTTTTAATTGTACGTACGGCCCATTCACTCTTATTGGTCGTCGAGCTCGGAAGCTTCTCACAAAATATCTCGTTTGTGAATGCAGTGCGCACCTAATACCATATTATAACGAAGAAACGACGAGGAACGGCTTTTGCTCTCACTCGTGTGAGTCACAGCTCGTCTGCTAGCTTCAATCTATCACTCGTCATGCCGGGTTATCTGCGTAACCTGAAGCTGTGGCCGCCATCACATATCATGGTTGTGACCGGCCTTCGGGCAGCCTGGATGATTGTTATCCTTTGGTATGAGGTTTGCACGTTCGACCATGTTTTACATGATTGTCAATGGCCCGATATCCACCAGGTGAGGTGATGCTATATGGTCTCAAGTTAATGCTCATGCATCAGTTGTCAGACCGACACACCAAGCGCTCGTATCGCACGCGTATTAGTGGTAGCAGACCCTCAGATCGCTGACCACCGCTCGTATCCGATGCGTAACTCCTTGATGAAAACCTTGGGCCAGTTCATCATTGATCTCAACCTCCGGAGGAGCTGGCACTCGACGATAAATAGAGTGCAACCTCATGCCGTTGTTTTTCTGGGAGACCTCATGGACAACGGCCGCGCGACCATGTCGAATAGCGAGTACGTTTTCCATGATTCTTCGCTGCATTCAAGCGGTAGAACTTCAGCTTGCGACTGAGGTTGATCGTTTACTCACAAGGTACAATGCGTATGCTGCGCGATTCTTCGACATCTTCAATCTAAGGGATTTGTCTATACCGACATTTTTTCTTCCTGGGAATCATGACCTAGGGTGCGTCATGAATCCACCATGCTCACAGTATTCTTGTAAATGTTTTGGACCTCCAGACTCGGAGAAGAGGTTTCCTTTTCTCTTGAAGCTGCAACAAGGTACACCTCCCACTTCGGACCATTGAATCACAAGACTACTATTGGCAATCATACTGTTCTGTTCATTGATGCCGTCACCTTGGTTGAAGAAGATATTGTCCGCGCAGACCGAGGATATTCGTATGACAATTGGCCTGCTGTAGTAGGAGGATCCATCGACTTCGTGAAACGGTTTGCTGCGCATGAGCATGCCAGTCCAACTGTGCTATTCACGCACATCCCTCTTGCTAGGCCCCTCGATGCAGACTGCGGTCCGCTGCGAGAACGGGGTGCCATTCGCCAGGGTCATGGCCTTGGGTACCAGAACACCCTGTCTAATGAAGCATCGCAGTTCCTGCTTCGTTCGCTCGGACCGTCCCTTATATTCAGGTTCGTTGTCCCCCTGTTTCGCACGCAGACTTATTACTGAACATAGTTACATATTCAGTGGTGACGATCACGACTACTGTGAATATTCACACCCCTTGCCTTTTCCATCCGCTTCTGGGTCGACTGCAGTGCGAGAAATTACAGTGAAGTCGTTTTCAATGGCAATGGGGGTACATCGACCGGGATTTCAACTTCTCTCATTGATTTCAACAGTCCCTGCAACTGAGACCCTGACGCAATTGCCAAATTCACCGCCTTCGCTTCTGGATACACCTTGTTTCCTCCCGGACCAACTCGGTATCTATCTCAATGTCTACCTCCCTTTCATTTTACTCTCGGTGCTTAGCCTTCTCGCGTTTAATGCTCACCGAACTCTCGCCGGGGGCAACAAACATGCACAGCACCAGCCCAATGTTTCTCCTCGGCTCAGTCATCCGGAACTAAGTTCCTGCCGTGCAAATGACGATTATGAGTTGTATCAACGTCCACCCGGGCAAAGTGTCATGGAAGATAATGACGAGGATCCGATGCTACCTTTTCCTGTGACTAAGCCTGCAGGGCCGGTGTACTCCAGCAAATTCCGCGGTAGATCCTCGTCTTCTTCCCATTCATGGGTGTTCCATCTTCTAGGGCGGCGAAGACGCGTATCGCTGACCCTACCGTGTTTGATAACAAACCGCAGAGTGCAGGAGATGGGGTTTCTTCGTGGGTTTTTTAGTGATGTTGTGGACGTGGCGTGGCCTCCCCTTTTAGCGTTTTGCATCGCAGCATGGTGTACAACACACGTCTGAAGTGGGATGTTAGTGGTTGGGTGATACCCCTGATAGAGGATTGCGAAGCGTTGTTTACGACTTAAGCGTGGAACTTCAGCAATTGATTGAATGACATTATGCTTTCGAACTATAGACGTCGGTCAATGTCAAAATCTGTAATATGGAGATGACATGGTAATATCCGAAGTGACAGGCGTGGACATTCTGAGCATGCATGAAAGGGACAGTACGCGGCAATCAGTCCAGGTTTCCATTTTGATTGGACAGAACATGCGCGCCCCGACTTGAAGGTAGTTATGTACCTGACAAAAAAGTCTTGCGAACACGTCCTGAAGGCTCTCCTGAACTAGGGCGGGTTGTGGAGGCCGAATCATTGGACCAAAAATGGGCCATCATTGCCCTGGCTTGCATAAGGAACGGAAGGGCAACAAGGGACGTCCACGGAGAACAAGGCACCCTTATATACGAGGAGGTCCAGGACAGGTCGACTGGCGTTGTGAGAATCTGTTCACGGGTGAGCTCAGTTCATTCCGTGCAGCAAAGAGAATCTTGACACATATTATCGCACGTATGGGGCATTTGTTCGGATGAGGACGGGTTTTTAGCGCTGTGATGGCACTGCCACGTACGGAGTAGTAGAAAGTAGTCTCCCCGATATGTAAAACCTATCTGAAAAGTTGGTTATAAAAGCCAAAAATCGAACGTTGACATTAACCTGAAAGTACCCTTTTTGCGGCGAGAAGCGGGGTCTCTTTTATCGATTTTATGCAAGCACGTTCGTCCTCTAGTTCATATAACGACCTCTACCGTCCACTGAAATTCCTTGGTCTACAACCCATACATCGTTCACCTTCGCCTCAAACCCCCTCATCACCCTTAACAAAGTGCTCAATCACTAGTAGAAACTTTAGCGAACGACATCCTACCCAAAGAAAATCGTTGTGTGAGCTCATACCAGAGGAGCAGAACGTTCTTGGTTCGGACTTGTCCGTACCCCGTCTCCACAACAATCTTGACCTCAGTTCAGAACTTTATAAACGACACCACAAACCGAGATCTCTCCTCATACGAGCTCAAACAGAACCCTACTTGTCTACAGCTACCACAAGACCAATACATATCCCAAGTTCAAAGTATGTTCGATCATTTTACCTTCCGTCCATATCTTATGACACCTCCTAGGACCATGGCAACTTTGTCTCCCCGTGACAATCTCAATGCTCGCGTTAAAGGCAGCAGTCATATCGACTTCAAAACAGCCACCACCGGTGTTGCAGCAAAGTCAATGCGCAATGAGATCAGCCATTTAGTGAGCACTTGCGATGAAAATGCCAAGAAGGTGCGCTCCACATACCCCTACACGTGTTCGCCATGTCTGATGGCTAGCAGGCATTTGACACCGAAATGCAATCATTCTTCTATCTTTTCACTCGCTATCTTTCGGAACGCGCAAAAAACGTGGATCTGTGCGTCACTTCCTTTTTTTTGCTAAAGATATCATATTCAAATATTTTCGTCTTATCAGGGACTGGGATCGCATCAAGTCCCCCGCCGATGATCAAATTGTAGCCTATGATAGCCTGTCTCAGCCCCATGACCACAAGAACCTCAATAAACTTGCCGTGCTCAAAGTAAATGGTGGTCTTGGCACTTCCATGGGTATGTTCTACGTTATGGGCTCCATCGCGTCCTTTTGATGATCAATAGGCATGACCGGTGCCAAAAGCGCGCTGGAAGTCAAGGATGATATGACCTTCCTCGACCTCACTGTGCGTCAGATTGAGCACCTCAACACGAGCAACCGCGTCGATGTTCCCCTCATCCTCATGACCTCTTTCAACACCCATGAGGACACCTTGCGTATCATTAAGAAGTACGCAAATCAACAACTCCGCATCACAACATTCAATCAGTCGCGATACCCTCGGATCTTTAAGGAAAGCTTGCTTCCCTGCCCAAAGCGTGCCGATGATGACAAGAAACATTGGTATCCTCCCGGCCATGGTGACTTGTACAATGCGTTGCTGTACTCTGGTGTATTGGACCAATTGATTGCTGAGGGCAAGGAGTACCTCTTCGTCTCTAACTCAGACAACTTGGGCGCAGTGTCAGTACCAAAGTGGGGTCCTCGTTGCGCCATGTTTAACTAATGCTTGCTTCTAGTGTCGATGAAAAGATCCTGCAACACATGATTGACTCTCAAGCAGAATTCTTGATGGAAGTCACTGACAAGACAAAGGCCGACATCAAGGCACGTACCTGTATTAATATATTTATGGGTCTCTCTCATTATCCAGCAGGGTGGTACTCTTATCGACTACGAGGGATCAGTCCGCCTTCTTGAGATCGCGCAAGTTCCATCAGAACATGTCGAGGACTTCAAGTCAGGTTGGTTCAGGAGCTTGTGCATATACTTCCACTTCTGACCTGATATCTAGTGCGCAAGTTCAAGATCTTCAACACTAATAACTTGTGGATCAACCTCCCAGGTACTGGCGTTTAGTCATTCATTTTCGCACGTGATTAATTTCTTTTCAGCGCTCAAGCGCATCATGGAGACCGAGGGAATGGAACTCGAGATCATCATTAATCCGAAGACGAACGAAGATGGTCAATCAGTCGTTCAGCTCGAGACCGCCGCAGGTGCCGCCATTAAGCACTTCAAGAATGGCCATGGTATCAACGTCCCACGATCGCGCTTCTTGCCGGTTAAATCATGTTCCGACTTGCTTTTGATCAAGAGTGACATTTATTCGCTGCAACACGGACAGCTCGTGCTCAATGAGAGCCGAATGTTCGAGACCACCCCTGTGATCAAGCTCGGCGACCACTTCAAGAAGATCCAGCAGTTCCAAAAACGCTTCAAGAAGATCCCCAAGATTATCGAGCTCGATCACTTGACTGTTACGGGTGATGTGAATTTCGGTCGAAATGTGACACTTCGCGGTACTGTAATCAGTAAGTCCAAGATTTAGGCTGATATTATAGGAGTCGCTGATAATATCTCGTAGTCGTTGCCAATGAGGGTCAGCGCATCGATATTCCTGATGGCTGTATTCTTGAGAACAGTACGTCTTTCTGCATCCCATACCTCCCGATCTCATATGTCTGCTCAGGGTTGCTGTCTGGAAACCTGAACATGACTGTAAGTGATGCCCTATATTTTTTTGAGTCGCTGCTGATGACTTCTTTATTTTGCAGGAGTTGTAATTTACTCAGGAAGAAACCTTATGACGACGCACGGACAAATACATAGATGGCATATTCCTGTTTACCTTATTGTTTTTCTGCTCTCTTTCACTTTCGCATGTTGTTCATCATGTCTTTGTACCGTCTTTCTGTTGTGGACAACATGGCTCCATGATAGTATAGCATTTACCCGACTACTTTTAGCAATCTGACTTGTTTTCCCTGTTCCACAACACACGTAAAGCTGTGCTAATTGTTTCCACGGCCCCACTAACGGGCTAGGGTGAAAATTTTAAGCACTGGTCGAGAAACGAGACCGAGCCGATATGAGGTATGCCAATTCAAGTTGGGCCCCACAAAGATAACGAAGGTCGGCCCCGAGTTGATGTAATATGTGGTACTTATAACCAGTTCAGTACTAACTTGAAGTAGTACTGAACGTTACAAGGTTGAATTCAACTGTTTTTCGTGGAACCGATACGGGATATTATGCCGGTTGGGTATGCAGTCTAGCCGTATGTTGCACCGCATATAAGCAGATCGCAGGACCGGCAGAGCACAATCGACTTGAATTCACCGCTTCAAACGTTCAATGTTATAGATAGCATTGGAGCAATTTGGAATTGCCGCCTGCCAATCGGGATAAATCACCACAGGTTCCGTTTGGTTGCCAATTGCTCATTGGGATCGACATATCACGATTTATGAGGCAGTTCTCTTGTGAGGTATCCTGCTAGCCCATCCCGATTGGCCGGAGAAATGACACGTATTGTTACATCAAGAAATCGTCTTTTCTGGAGCTACTGGCAGATGTGAGCAAGTTGATGAGAATATCCTCTATGCGCTGACGATTTCCCAACAAGGCGCAAGTCGCGTTTCGTCGACGCAACGAGTAAAGCTATTCGCATCCGAGACACGCGGATACATCCCTCTACGTCATCGAATCGCAAGTATTTCTCCCAGGAACACTGTCAAGTACAATGTAGCTTAAATAATGGATCAAAGTTCCTACACAAAAAATAGTAAGCCAAGTTAATATATGGGGACTTGAATGGCCTCACCGTCATATTGAGGTTCCCAGAGACTAAACCTGCAAAGTATCAGTTTACGGGATCACGAAACAATTTGACTGTGCTTACGGTTCTCTAGCACGCAACCATCTGGAATATCAATCCTCTGACCTTCGTTCGCCACCACTACAACATAATTTCTAGCCACATTCAACAAATGCGGAGACAATAGGGTCCCTACCTATCACAGTACCGCGGAGCGTTACATCTCGACCAAAATAGACGTCGCCCGTTACCGTAAGATGATCCAAGTCGATGATATTAGGGATCTTCTTGAAACGTGGCTGGAAATCAGTTATCTGATCATGCATCGCGCCCATTAGCAAAAAAAAAACGATTCCAACTCCAAGGTTGCTCCAACCTTCTTGAAGTGGTCACCCAACTTGATGACCGGGACGCTGCCGAACATCCTGCTCTCGCTCATATCCAAGCGGCCATTTTGCAATGAGTATATATCGCTCTTGATGAGCAATAGATCAGAGCAGGATTTCACGGGTAGAAAGCGTGAACGGGGGACATTGATACCGTGAGCGTTATTGAAGTGTTTGATAGCTGCACCTGCGGCAGTCTCGAGCTGCTAGCAGTCAGAGATCGTGTCGCGCATCCCAAGCGGACAACAAACTTGGATCACCTGCTTGGCCGTTATCAGTCATCTTTGGATTGACGATAATGTCCATGTCCATGCCACCTCCATCCATGATCCGCTTCAATGCTAGAAAACAAGCCATCAATACAATCGTTCCACCCACATAGATAGATCCCTAATAAATACCTTTGAGATTGATCCATAGATTATTCGTGTTGAAGATCTTGAATTTGCGGACTTCAGATGATTAGCTGAATGATATGCCAGGGAAGATGTATGCTACCTGATTTGAAGTCGTCAACATGGTCTGGAGAAACCTGCGCAATTTCCAGAAGTCTCATGGAAGAATCGTATTCGATGAGAGTGCCGCCCTGTGAATGAAACATCAACATATCAATAAATAGTTCAACGAGCTTAGATATCGATCAAACCTTAACGTCTGCCTTGGTCTTATCAGTGACCTCCATTAAGAATTCGGCATCACTATCGATCATATGCTGGAGGATACGTTGGTCAACTCTGCAAAAAATGTTGAGCTACCCATTCAAATCAGTGGGGTGGATTGTGCTACGGAGTGTTACAGAGGGCTACAGAGTGCTACAGAGCACTCTGTGATAAATTATTTCTCCCTGAAGTTTGACTCGTCATCGATGTGAAGACTTACACAGCCCCAAGATTGTCGGAGTTCGACACAAACAAATACTCCTTGCCTTCAGCAAGAAGACGATCGAGCACGCCAGTATGCACGAGCGACTCGTACAAGTCACCATGACCTGGAGGATACCAGTGTTTCTTGTCGTCTGATGCATACTTGGGACAAGGCTGCAACGTCTCCTTCCATATCTTGGGATACCGCGACTGATTAAATGTAGTTATGCTGATGCGTTGGGACACATATTTTTTAATGATACGTAATGTGTCATCATGTGTATTGAAGGATGTCATGAGGATGAGCGGTATGTCGACCTTGTGTGCTGTATTCAAGTGCTCAACCTGTCGCACGATGAGGTCCAAGAACGTCAGCCCATCCTTGACTTCGAGAGCACTTTTCGCACCACTGATGCCTTCAGAATACGTAAGCACAACTGTGGGGGGAATGCAAGGATCATACCCATAGAGGTCCCGAGACCCCCATTGACCTTTAGAACGGCCAATTTCGACAGGCCTTCTGGACCGGTAATCTGTGGAAGGTGACTGTAAGGAATGACCTGCTTGTCATCGGGCGATTTAATGCGATCCCAGTCACTTATTGTCAGTGCATTAATTACGCGAAGATAGGCAAGGAAAATAACGCCGCAGGGCTTACAGTTCCTCTCGGTTTTCCTTTTCTGCGAGATAACGGGCATGCAGCTTCGAGAATGACCGCATTTCTACATCAAATGCCTAGTGAAATGATCATACGTCAGAACACAGGCGGGATCAGAAAGCTGTAACAGGGTTTTACCTTCCTAACTGCAGGATCCGCAGTACGGACTAGTCGGCTAAGGTCACTTTGAGTGCTTTTGGCCATTGCAGATCGTTCATTCGGCCTAACAGTCTTGCGGCGACGAAATCGTCGGAAGCTAGTTGTCTTGAATAAAGTCATAGAAAAACGGATACAGAACAACGAGAGGGGAAAACGGGGACCATAAACACGGAGTAGGAGCACATAGATATACACGCCAAGATAGACACGCTTGTTCAATGAGGCCTTCAGATAAGAATATGAGATACGTCATTCAGCCGTCCTACGAGCCTATGATTGCTCTGGTTTGCACAGAAATGACGGATTGGGCGACGGGCAAAAAGAGGCTTGTTGCACATGCCCGTTGATAAACGTCATTTCATCATGGGCACGGGGCGTGCGAGCAAAGCATGTTAGCCTAGTAGCAAGGGCAGCGTATGTCCAGTATCTCAAATGTATTTGCGTGTCATGAAAAAATCGGATCCATGACAAATGATATAGATGAACGCGGAGGTAAGAAGTAGCACCCACCGACTGAAATAAGCGACGCCTACTGAAATGTACGGATCAGTCAGCTGTATTGCGCCACGCACCTAGCTGACGGCTGGCTCCCGTTGATAGAATATCTAGTACACCCTACAATTAATAGAGCACCATTCAGAACTGCAAAAAAGGCAGAGATCACGTTACGTTCGCGCTGGAGGTGTGAATCAACGTCATGAGAAGTTCATGTTCAGACATGCCATATCATAATCGCAAATGAATGGTGGACTAGTAACCTATTACTGGTGTTGTTAGCTAGTAGCAGGATAACGCATGCAAGCTTTGGTACAAGCAAAGCCAAATTCAAGTTCGGCACTTGCCGATCTGAGTACAAACTTTAATTTTCAGTACTATCATCAAAACATCGACTCGACTACACGACTCCATCCTCAAGGCTATCCGACATGGGTCAGTGCTGCTCTTCCGATATACTGACACACAAATGTTCTTGATCGATACTGATGATATTAAATCATTATCCATGTAGGTATTTCTCGTTCGTCCCGGCACAAACGTTCGGCAACCGGTGCCCAGCGTGCCTACTATCGCAAGAAGAGAAAATTCGAGCTTGGTCGTCAGCCTGCCAGCACTAAGCTTGGCGCAAAGCGTATTCACACTGTGCGCGTCCGTGGTGGTAACACCAAGTACCGTGCCCTCCGTCTCGACACCGGTAACTTCGCATGGGCATCTGAGCATGTCACAAGAAAGACTAGGCTTATCAGTGTTGTAAGTACCTTTGATACTGCGTACAGTCTAATATAATATATACTGCGTGCATGACTGATACCAAATTTAGGTTTACAACGCATCAAACAATGAGCTCGTCCGCACCAATACCTTGGTGAAGGGCGCTATTATTCAGATCGACGCTACCCCTTTCAGGCAGTGGTATGAGTCCCACGTGCGTACCTGCCCACAAGTTCATCCTTTGTGCCCTACTAATTATTGCGAATAATAGTATGCTCAACCCATCAGCAAGAAGGGTGCTGCTGCAAAGACTACTGCCACCACTGAGGAAGAAAAAAAATCCAACCATCTTCAACGTATCATTGCTGAGAGGAAGCAGAGTAAGAATGCCGTTTTATCTTTCATATTGCATAACTCATTGCCCATCTCAGATGCTAAAATTGACCCCCTCCTCGAATCTCAGTTTTCTGCTGGCCGTCTCTATGCTTCCATTTCAAGCAGACCTGGACAATCCGGTCGTAGTGACGGCTACATTTTGGAGGGCAAGGAGCTGGAGGTTTGTTTTGCGACTTGAAATAATCCTATACCGCTGACTCACCTTTGTAAATAGTTCTACGTAAGGAAGCTCCGGTCAGGCAAACAGAAGCATGCGCACAACGCATAAATGATATCTTCTTCATGACCCTGGCGATTTATCCCTTGATTTCTCTCTGAGCATACATAAGATCACGAGGACATGGTGAAAATATGGGAAATCCTTAGTGCTGTAGTGTATGACGACTATGCTATCTTATCATATGCTCTGTCCAATCGCAATCCATGTCCTCCATACATGCTTCTGGAAAGATAAACACGTTCTAAACTTCCGATGTCCCGAGAAGTGGGTTTAAGCTTATATAATCACAGTGAGGTTAGTGCCGTAATAGTCATCGCGCCAGCAATTGCAGTGCTTTCACCTTGTTCCTTTTCCCTTCCGTTCGCGTCATTGCTGTCCTCTTCAGTCTGTGCTTTTTTTCTTTTTGTGTGCCGAACGCGTAATTTTCACATTACCGTTCAATGGCGCCAGCGTCTGGGACAGCGACCCCCAATGGCTTTTCCACACGAGCCAGAGGGACAGTTCTCATATGGCGTCCTACCAAAATCATGAACATGTATGACCTTTCCAAGGATGATGACTTCCTCAGCCATCTACTAGTCGAGAAACTTGGAACAGGCGCAGTCCCATTGCTCGTTCATAAGATGGATCCATCTCGAAGACTCCCAAAGACCAATGCCGAGGATCTCATGCAAATCGTTAGACGCGTGAGTATACCCTTAGCTCGCCTCGTATGCACACAACTAATTATTCCCTGGACGCGCGTATGGTGTCATACATCATCGTGTCGTAGTTGGTTGCAAGCAAGCTTGGTGCTCAGAATGCTGTCCGACAAGCCGTAGACGACCTCCTCGCGTTCGTCTAATTTCTCTGTATTGTATATGTTTGTCAGACATTCAGGGACGATCATTGTTTAGTCTGCCTTCTGTTCGTTACTACCTCAAGCCCTACACGCAGAAGCAGATTAATGCTTTCGCCACGTGTGTGCAATCAGGTTTCGTATCAATGTCCTGCTCCTGAAACTCCATTTTACCACAGACACGCCTCGCGATACTTTGAGCTCTACAACCCTGCAGGGTGCATAGAAATTGCTCACACGTCTAGATACTCTCACAGGACAGGAAAGTCAGAGTTGTGCATCCTCGCTACGCGCCCCTTAGCCCCTGGAGTGGTAATTATTGAGTTGAAGGGATCAATGGCACATCTTTCGAAGGAGGAAGACAAAGAACTCAAGCGCACCGACCTGAGAAATATCGACATCAGGAGGGACTTTAGTGTCATCCATTCACGTCAAATGAAGAAGAACCATCTATTTTTGGGGCCCGCTCGATTTGTGAACGTAAGTTTTGGACGGTCTATGCCTTTTTTACTTTTCTTGGTTATTCACATTGACGTTGGCTTGTGCAGCATGATTGTGACAACAATTGCGAGCTTTTTCGCGAAGGCAAGTACATCACATTTCGCACTCTCCGTGCTATCTCCATGGGCGAAGAGATTACTGCCCATTACGGCGATGGTTACTGTGCGTATCTATCATCTAGTCTGTCTCCATGGCTCACCTACGCCGCAGTTGGAGGCAAAAATCGACACTGCCTCTGTGAAACTTGCGAGAAGAACGGCAGAGGAGGCTACGCTTCAGATCATTCCGATGGCGATGTAGATTCGGGCGGTGAACAAGATGCCGAAGCATCGGATGATGATGCTGAGGTGCATGACGTGACAGTTGCTGATGTCAATGAGCGCAGGACGCGGCGTGGCGTTTACGCCATCGTTCAAGAGGAAGATTCTGACTCCGAGGAGAGCGACGATGGAGATAAGGAGGGTGAAAAACCACTTGCGAACGCGCCTGATGCTCTTGGGGAAGATGAAGTGGATATGGAGCTAGGTGGGGAAGTTTCTAACTTGTCGGTTAATGATGCAATAGTTGCCACGCCTGATCCGGACGTTCAGCCATCACGTATGACATCGTTGAGCGCCGAAGGATCAGCGTCTTCCAAGAAAGGGAAAGCACAGGAAAAGTCCGACATCTCCACCCGACGTCAGATACGAGAACCATCCAGCAAACATTCCACTCCCGCTCCCCATGATACTTTGCACAACCTCTCGTCCCGCCTTAGGAGTCAAAAACTTCGAGATAGTGTGTCTGTCACGCCTAGTAGGAGCAAAGGAAAGGAGGCGGACAAGACTCAAGTTAAGGAAGAGTCTGAAGCAAGAGTTCTCCGAGCGCGCCCTTCCTTAGGTGGGGAAAAGTTAGATCTGGTTAAGCCCCCGAAGCGCGAGGTTCCTCGTGGTTCAGATGGACGTCCATTGCCAACGTGCGTGACGTGCTCGAATGTCTTGCCTGTGATTTCTGTGGATTCCAAAGTGGTGTGGGGTCTGAATTTAGACTCCCCGCGGAAAGGCAAGAAGTCCAAACAAAAACAAGAATGTCCAAGGTGATTCTGCTGATATCCTATGGTCTATTTGTGCTTATGGACTTTTGTTGCACCAGGTGTATGCGTCACGTCGCCATATATGGTCAGCCATGGCCAGCTCGCCTTCCAAGCCAGGCTGTTGCTGCTTCATCTCGCGATGACATCGAAGCTAACTCCTCGCGGCGCCCCCCTCAGAAGACTGCTCCTGCCATAGAACGCAAACATGTGCCCCATGTCGATGAGCGTCCTCTGAAGAAGCGCAAAGTTGACGACGGACCCAGCGTAGAGATGTCAGCGAAAGCAAAGGAGCTTTTCGGGCCACTGAAGAGAAAAAGGGGGCGACCACGCAAGTACCCTCTTCCTGAAGAAGAGCTACCGAAACGGAAAAGAGGCCGACCCCGTAAATATCCTGTTCCTGAGGTGTCTCTCCGATCTCAGCCTTCCTCACCTCCTAAGCGCCCATTGACTCCGTCTGCACCCGTGATCAAGCTCTCCGCTCCCCCATCCTCAAGCGTCAAAACTAGCGATCATTCTCCCTCTTCATCACGCAGTCACACCAGGCCAAAGGCTGTGGCGGTGCAATCACAACCTCGAGACTCGAACGGCCGTTTTGGAAAGAAAGCCACGACAAACGGAAGATTTGTCCGAAAGAAGTTTGGTCATTTTCAGAATCTGACACGTACAGAGAGGCTTTTCCGCAGAAATATTAAGGTCACCCAGTGGCTCGCTGGGAGGCATGAAGAAGACGAGACGGAGGACGAAGAAGCAGACTCACAGGACTGGGATCAAGTGAATGATATAGAGACCCTTCCTACTGGCAAACGAGCGGCATCATTCCTACCTGAAGGCTCAGCACCGCTAACGAAGAAACCCCGACAATTTCCTAGTCCATTCGGAGGAAATCATGAAGCATTGGAATACAGCCCTTCTGTACCGTCTGGGCCCTCGGCTTATAAATTCAAAGGGGTGGGTAGTAGTCTTCTGTATCATCCCAATCCGACAAATTACGCTCGCCGCAAGTGGGCACCATGCCCCGATGATATGTCCCAGGATGAAGAGGATAGTGGTCCTTCTCTTCCAACGCTGGAAAGTGACAGTGTTGGCCCCGTCACGCCTGATGATCAGACGCCGTTACCCATAGCTGGTCCGTCGCAGCTTGAGCATACAGTCGCGGGAAAATTAGGCCAGCGAGCTAGTTGGCGAGGGCCTATACACAATAGCGTTCTAACCTTCCGACCATCTCCAGTCAATTTTGCCAGACGTCGTTGGTCCTCAATGTCGAAGTCCCTTCTTGACTCTGGTCCAGGAACTCGCCGCAGCGAGCGGCTGAACCCAAAGGCTTCATTCTGTGGAGAAGACAGTTCTACGAAAGTTTCTAGCGTAGATGGACTGCATGCGACTCCCAATGTTGGTTCGCGATCAAGCGTTCGTGTTTCGTCCATGTCGGAGAATATGTATATAGAAGGTGGTGCAATCCCTCGTGCTGGGTCCTACGCATCATCATTTGACGACGTACGTACATCTACTTCTTATACTTAGAGTTGCACATGAATAATTTACAGCTGGGCGAGCAGTTTCCGATCTCAGATGTGCACCGCCGCACTTCTTTTCCGGATGACGGTACACTTGACTCGGCCAATTCTGACGACGATCGAGTTGTTGAAGGGCTTCTTTCTGAAAGCAAGGAAGCTCATGCCGGCGTTGTAAATGAGGAGCAATTCTCTCATCTCCGTGTCACATATACGGCTAAACTTCCTGCCCCAGTACCCTGGAAGAACGCTCGTGGAACACCCATGTCTCATTATTTGCGCAAATCCGCTTCATTTCATGCCGACGACGAACCATCCTCTCCCACTCGTTTTATAGATGCAGGTTGGGAGTCTGACTGCTCTCACTCAACGACTTCACTGATTGCCAGGGCGGAGCCTGTGTTGTGTGGACACTTTTAAACTTAATATTAAACTAAATTATGTGGTCCCGTCTACCCCCGAAATTGGCTAGCTCGTTTACTTGCATCAACTACGGTAGCATTTTGTAATTCTCGTCCATACACCCCAGTATACATACACCATTCTCTGCCGCCACGTATCGTATGCGTATTCTAACGGTACAGTAAGGCACGTTGTACACACAATTCACAGCACTTCTTCACGACTGCCCATCTGGCTTCAATGAACTCCGGCCCGCCCGCAAGATTTCGTCTGTAGAAAGGAGGTTCACTGCGATCACAGAACTGAGATTTCGGTCTCAGCAGCCATTCTTCTGACGGAAAAGTATATCCACTTACCATGAGTGCAACATCTGTCTCTTTACCCTGTAGTTGTCCCAGATGCCTTCCACAGTCGGATCAAACGGCTCCCCTGATTGTAAATCGATACCAACCGTATTTCCCTCCGCTTGTTCATCCTATTTCGATCAACGTAAACAAACCGAATACAAACCGAATGGTATCGCGAACCTGCAGCGCCACCACCACATCCTGGACGTCAAAGCCTCCGTTTTGCGCAAGAGTCTTTGGAATGATCAATAATGCGTCTGCATAAGCTTGCACGCCCATTTTAACGCGGCCCTTGGCAGTTTTCTTTACAGGACCACTCAAATGACCTGCGCATGCAACCTCAAAGGCTCCCGCACCGGGAATGAGAACCTCATCCTCAAGTGCATTTTTGACGGCGCGAAGACCGTCCCGTAAAGCATCCTGAATTTGTTGGATCGTGTGCGCATTTGGACCCTTGACAAGGAGCGTGACACTCTTGGGTTCCTTAACCTCTTCCACGAATGTGTACTTCTCTTCGCCTAGAGTGTGCTCATAAACTAGACCCGCCCAACCGAGAATATCTGGGGTTAGATCGTCTACGGAATTTTGCGCAACACCTCCGCAAATGAGCTGCAGGCTAAGATACGACCGCAATCAGAGTAATATCTTGACGCAGCACTGAAGACATTACCGTTCCATATTACGTCGCTTAGCACGACGTAAAGCAAAAATGCCATTCTTTGCAAGGATATCGAGACTAAGTGGATCGATACCTTTTTGATTGATAACGACAAAGTTTTTGGGCTTTTCGCTGCCGCCAACAACTTGATCGCACACGAGATTCTTAAGTTCTACGATCTTTTTCACTTTGGCGTCTACGAAACGCCGCTCAGATTCGATGAGCTTTTCACGTTGCTCGGCAGACGAATAGAAGAAGCCAGAATTAACCTCTCTAAGCTTTTGTGAGTTTAGAGTTGAGAATGCAGTGCTGAAGGGCGTACGTCTTTTCGTATTCTAAGCTGACGTTCAACGTCAGAATGAATGCATTCTCGACGCGTTTGGGCATGTCCGGATGCCTGGCACCGTGATCCATGACCAGGCCACGCACAAGCTGAGTTTCTGACGCCGTGCGGTGTTGCATCTTCATAATTTCCACCATGTGCAGATCTATTGGGTCGCGATACTGATCTTTTGCTTCTGTATGAAAATTTAGCAAAAGGACCCTGTTGTTTGTATGAAAGGCGTGCCTTTTGGGGGTGCTGGTGGCCTGATGGTGAGCACAGCATCTACCACATCTGCAGCGAGTTGCTTCGCTAGCGAGGCATGCAGCTTAGTGGCAAGCGAAGTGTGTGCGACGTTGATCAGAGTTGGCCTATCCAATTTGGATGGCAGCTTGAACGTGTCAAGGAACTAAACGCGTCCATCAGGAGCGTAGATACATGCAAATGCGGAAACCAACCACTAAAGCCTCTTTCTTCGCGAGATCGAATCCTTCCCCTATGACGGTCGGATGTACGCCTTCAGATATGTAGCGATCGGCTTGCTTAAGCAACTCTCCAACCAGTAGAACTACTGAAGTAGTTCCGTCACCAACTTGATCATCTTGAGCGACCGCAGTTCGAGCGATCATAGCGGCTGTTGGGTTTTGTATTTGCATCTCGGATAACAACACTTTACCGTCCTTGGTCATTTTGATCTGACCAGAGCCGTCCACAAGCATTTTTAGAGTGCCTCTTGGACCTGAAGTGATATCCGATCGGAACAGAACGGTCGCTCAAGAAGTGATACTAATGCTTACCGAGATTACCCTTCACTACGTTGGCAAGACCCATCGCACCAGTAGTGTTGACCTAGTAAAGCGATGCATGAGATTGGAACAGCGAAAGTCAGGACATGCGACTTACCTGCAAGGCAGCAGCGCGCCTGACGCTCTCTGCCTTTGGATTGATCAATTCTATTGAAGAGGACATGATGGAAAGAGCAATGGAATTACGCGAATCCTAAAGTCAAGCAGATTTAGAAGTTGGTAAACGAGCCTTGCCCAACGGATAGCGGAGTATCAAAACTATCTTTGCATTGAAATTTGTTCAATGAACCGCACAACTCATTTCACTCAAGCTTGCGCTCATTGTTTTTGCGCTACGCAGGCCTGGCACAAGGCAGTCGCGTTTTTATCAGCAAACGTGGCCAAGTCTCAACACTGATCATGATGCTCCACTAGACGAACTGATATATATCCTCAGCTGAAAATGCATTTCTCTCAGAAAACCAAAACCTTCAGCCAGCTGCAGGTCTTACAGCTGACCTTCTTGTTCATAGACTATCTCTTCTCTATTCGATAGGACATGCAGCGCGCTCAAAAGGCTTCGTCGTCGTCGTCGTCGTCTTCGGATTCATCACCTTCATCCACTCCTTCGGGGAGTCATGCTCTTCAGCCGGCCGCGATTCGTCCAGAATCAGTACGTCTAATTGCTGTACATCGTTTTCTTCTGTGAAGGCTAACGTCTGAAATCAGAAGGCGGAGTTAAAACCGTTGTTCACGCAGAAACCCCTGTCTTTTTCAGATCGGGAGAAGAAGGCTTCTCCACCTCCGCGCAAGCGCAGGAGGCAAGTAGTCCCGGAAACCCCCGCCATGACTTACAATCCTTCTCAAAGAATGATACCAACAGGGCGACAGGAGCCTCCACAGACACCGGTGTCGCAGACTACACCTATTTCATCTACCAACGAATGCCCTGGTTTGATGTCTGACGAATTTGATGACCAACCGCCCCCTGATGCCCCCGTGTATTCTCACTCCACCGCTTTTAAACGCCCTCGCACCTCGAGTGGTAGCGATGGCTTATCGCAGTTCCCTGGTTACCCTGCCACATACTACGACTTCAGGACTTCGGATACAGCGGATCATCAAGATCCTCCACTGTCTGGTGGAAGTTCTTCTTCAACTAATTCCTTCGGCTCATCTCCAGTACATCACACTTATGGACCGCCGGGTGAATATCATCAGCCTTTTCATCAGGAGATGACGGGACAACATGCTGCAGATTACACGCAGATACATAGAGATGACTACCAGGACCCTAGCTACCTCTCACCTCAAGAGGGAGTCTGGTCCTACTGCCCCACCTATTCCAATAATGTGTATCGCGATCGGCCACTTTAGACACTCATCTCGTCCGTCAAGAGGTCTCCCTTGACTCTATCACTGGTTGATATTCATTGGACAAGAGTAAACTAGTTTGACCGAGCGTAGTGACATTGGTGGATATTTTTCAGAGCCATATGTCTTGACCCTTTTACTTAGATATGTCGTGCGTCCGATTCTATTTGTCTATACCGAATTTTCTGCGTATTTCGTCTTCGCCTTCCCAAGAATCTAATTACAGTTCCCATGAATAATATTGTTTTACTCGTTTTCGGTTACAATAAGAGCTCGGTGAAACGCGCCGAAGTTATATGAAGAGCAAACTAGTAGTCTCACCCAAACTCAATATGCCTTCTCATCCAAACGCTGTTCAAGGAAGGCAACCCAGCGCAGAAGAACATCATCAGCGCACTCTTTTCCGCATCAAGCAAATTCAATCGCACCTCTCGAACTCTCCGCGCGGGCAGCGACTCAAAGGTAAAACTTGCATTATCACTGGTGTTGGATCATTGCATGGCATAGGGTAAATACTCAGTCATTGATTAGTGCAACAACTTGACCTGTAATTTGCACCAGCCGTGCTTCTGCGTTCCTGTTCGCGCATGAAGGTCCGTGGACTATCACCTTCTGGAAGTAGCGCCCGTCACAATTTATATTTCGATATTCGCAGGAGCGACTCATCTATACTTGCTCGATTTCTCGCCAGAGAACCTGCCTGAGCTCAAGTCAACTATCGAGAACTCATATCCGGACGTCAAAGTAGGGTCCTGATATTCCTTGCGTCTAATAACTAAATATGTCACAGGTGACCACAATTCAAGCCGACGCAGCAAACGAGACTGCCATAGCAGCTGTCTGTGAACAAGCATTACAAGATGAAGGTCGATTGGATGTATTCTTTGCCAACGTATGTGTCAGTTTCGATAGACAAAACTTCATCTTGCGCTCAAATACGCTCGAAAGGCTGGTTTCGCAAGTAATAGGTCGCTTCCCGATGTGACTGCAGAAAATTTCATGGAAAGCATGCGAGTCAATACATTGTCGTCAGTTTTCTGTATTGTTTGTCATAATGCTTGGTTTAACCAGAAACAATAAATTAACAGCTGCTTCCTTGCTGTCAAACACGGTTCCGACGCGATGATGAAGACCAATCCGTCGAAAGGGAAAGAAGTTAGTGGAGGAAGTATCATTTTGACTGCATCTGGTACGTTTCTTCTTCCCTATCGCATTACTGTGTATGTTTCTAGCAAAACACTACAGTGGCAGGGTTGCGGTCCGGGGCAGGGACCATAGACTGTGAGTCCCGTTCCTCTATTCTCTTCATACTATGACTGACCTATGATCAGATAGCGCAAGCAAGGCGGCGTAATGTTTCGATCATTGTTCTAAGCAGAGAAACTCATTTTGGATCGCAGCGTGAACTCGATCGCGAAGACAAGCGTATATCAACTTCAGAAGACTGACATCCGTGTAAACACAATCTGTCCGGGCCTGATCGAGACCAATATGACCAAGGACATGTTCGATGCCGCTCGCCAACGAGGCAGGGAGAGCAAGATTGGACAATTAAACCCGATGGGCCGCTTCGGCGTCGCTCAAGGTATGGACCTCGTGCTGTGATCATGTGCACTCAGTTTATCGCGTCTTGCAGAAATTGCTCACATGAGCTTGTTTTTGGCTTCGGGTAAGAACACATTCCTCCGTGAAAAGCGATCCAGATCTGATCTGTACCCTGACAAAGATGAATCGAGTTATGTCAATGGACAGAACATCGCGGTTGATGGGGGGCTTTCGTCATCGCACCCTGTAGTCCCAGGACGGTGGGCCTGATATGCCGCCGAACTTTCTCAAACTGCATCTTGGAATCTCCCTTTTTTGTCACAGTATTGCTTTTGTACTTAATACTGATTGAATCAGTGTTTTATGACGTTTGGGGCGTTACATCAATGTGTTTTGGCATGGCGACTCCGCGAGGACGCTCGCGGAGTTTGCTCTCAACTATGGTCACCCTTTTATTGAGAGTCTTTGCTTGTGATGTGCGGCACACTCATACATCAAGTACGCGAAACATAGGACGATCGAAGCATGCAGCAGAGTCAAGATAGTCAGCGCATGCGTCATACGTTGGTACAACTTTGGCTGTGTACTCTAATGTATATCAACTCAACTTGTTCTGCAATATGAACGCCTGAGCACCCACAGAACCTGCAGGGTGCTCGAAACCTTCATGGCCGCCCACACTCGTAACAGTTTATAGCCTCTCAGTGTCTGATAGTACTTTTTAATTCTATTCTCATATGAAGTCTCCGATCTATCAGGCTTCTTGTTGAATGTCCTCGAGGTCTTAATACCCTAAAATGTTGATCTTCATCGCAACGAAAAGACTTTCTTGAATTGGATGATTTCTTGAATCATGGCATCGCGAGGGTAAGGGTATCTGATCCTCGATCGAATTGCGGTTCCGCGCCTCGTGGTTAATTTTCTGAATGACATTTGGTGACAAAAATTTGAGCAAGTTCAATAGCCCATCTATACTCACGATGGTTCATGTCGTGCATCATGAATTTTCATGATGTTCGTGCATGCACACACACCTCACACTGCCTCAGTGCTTCTGCTACAAAACAAGTTGATTGAGAAAGCTCAGACCGTCAGCCAGCATCAATACTTTGATCTGCTCTGTTTCGAGCGACATCATAGTATACTTCTCTCAAAGAGTCAGCTCTAGCCCCGAATAGCCTGAGGTTTCCCATTCAGGCTGTCAAGAAATCCGTGACGTGACTCATGCAATAGATCATTGATTTTACAAACCAAAGCACCATACTTTGTCTCTTGTCATTAACCGCAGCTCGTTGCTCTTCAACCAAGCATGATTCACTAGTCGCACCCGACTTTCTTGTCAATTGCCGATCGAAGGACCATCGTGTTCGGACTTTGATCCAGTACCTGTCGACCGACTTTGGAGTAGCAATGCTGAGACGAGCATTCAAGAATTCAGATACAAAGACGACTCCGATGGATTGGACAGGCTAGCATGCGAGACATGGTAAATCTAGAATGCGAATCCAATACCCCTCTACCGCCGACAACAACTTCTGCAAAGGATACGTACCCGGTACCCTGAAGGCGGGAAGCAATTTGCTGACATATAATCTTGAGAACCTGTGGCGCGCTCCAGTATACAGACCGGGTATAGTGCCTTTAATTAAACAATACGCGGTGCTGTCTCGCTCATAGAAACACAAAAACTGAACTTACTGCAAAAGACCCCGCGCACTCGAAGCGGTACAATGTAGCGCGGGCGGGCGCACCACTTTTAATACCTGCGCGGCTCCCAAAATCAAAAACATCCACCGCGCCGCATGGTTGATTCGTACAGACAACCATCTTGAATATAATCTATGCTGTGCGTAATCATAATCAGCGTCCTCAACGTAACTTGATTTTGTAGAAGATACAGTGACTAGGGCGGGTGGTGGATCCCTGAACACTGGTCAAAACCCCCTTCCATTCCCATGGTATGTAGAACTCGCTGCAGCCATAAAGCAAGAGGCTTAAGCACAAGAATACATATGGGAGGGAAGGGAGTCTGACCATAGCACAGGATATCACTTTGAAGAGTGGGCTGCGACATCCAAGGAAACGGAGGGCTCGTCCTGCTTTTATATGAGTAAGTTTCATTCAATCTAAGCCAGTCACTCACGGCCATATCCATGTGGGTGCACCCCGGAAATATCTGCTCCATGATACCGAACGAAAGAGGGTAGGAATGCTCGTGTCTTCTGTCATATAACAGATTGAATGACTCCAAAGATACCGTGGCCACCATAATTTTGGGGAGCTCGCTCTCCTCCCGGAGAACAATGATGTACAGCACTAAACAAGCGACGATCCAGCGGAGCGTGGTTTCTGATCAGAAGGGATCTTGGGCCTCGGCTGCCACTATTTAGAGCAGGGTCGCTTATCTTGTAGGGGTGAGCAACGCGAAAATGTGTTGTGTTCTTCTTATGCGCGTGGGGTTCCGCAGTGATTGATCCATTCGTAAGTTATTGGCGGAGGTTGCCTTCCTCCCTGTCCTCCAGAATAGACTTTGACCCTGCGTAACACGAGTGGAAAATTTGCGCCAGACCTCATAGATGGCCTGGAAGTCGACGGAAATGGAGTCTTTTCTCAGGTGATGAATGCCTCCCATTATTAGTTTCAAGGCAGCACCAGTCTAGCATCTTCAAGTTATTCTCGACTCAACTGGAGGGTATTTGTTTCTGTTTTGTGTCTTTTGCGTGCTCGCGGAGTATTATCACATTTACGCAGAAACCCCGAATCTCTTACTCGACCTCCGATGTCTTTTAGGCCATCGATCTCTAATTTTTATCCCCCATATCGGCAATTTGTTTTTGGCTGTCTCGAACGTGCCAAAGGAAGTGTACTTCTACATGGGCCCTTCCGCAATGGTCTATTTGATGACTCGTACCATGCGATCGTGGGTGGCCTGGACTGCTGACCTTAGAAGCCCGCGATCCTTCCACGAGTTTCTCCAGAATACTGCGAATTAATTCGTTCATCCAACCACAAGCAACATCCGATATACAGACGAAAAAATTGATGAGTAGTGACGTCCTTTGAGCCATCTACGCGTCTGACGCTGCTTCCGCAGGGTCGCCCTACGCCCAAGCAGATATTAATAAGGAGTTGTTGTGGGGTCAGAATGGGGTGGGTCATCTGTTTGAGAGGCTTGGAAGCTAATTCGTGATATGTTTACTTTCTTTAGGCCCTTCTCAAGTTCTTTCGTCCGGGATATCAAGCACGGGGTACATGTACAATGTACGAGGCATATACGCATGGAGAAACCGTGAGATATATGCCTCACGGTTCCCTTCCACTCGGTCGAGTGCACGAAAGGAGGAAGAGTCGCTTGGACTGGCATTATAATGCACAATCATGTTTGCTTCTATGCATACTGCAGCATACACATTCGCATCCATCCGGGACCATCCCGGGATCACATGTAGTAAATCAACTTATCTAAATATGAAGTTAGTTCTGGTTGCGACGATTACCAGTTCTGGTTTGAAGCCCTGGCAATAACTTGCACACGAGGAGGTAAAGTAACTATTCTTGAACTAGTAGACATTGGTGCACCAAACCTTGTCCGAGTATCGCCGACTTGAGTTTGGTGCTTGGGGCAGCTTTGGAAGGGAATCCAGAACTCACTCTGTCTCCGCGCCAGCGGACTTATTTAATCGTGCGGGATTTCTGCCGCGGAGTTGCTGGGTTTCTGTGGTCTGTCTTCCTTATTAATGACTGTCAGGAGGCGGGAGAAGAGATGTTTTGACAAGAAATATGCAATTTCAGCACTACGCAGAGGGTTACTGACCATCTCGTCACCTTCGGGACCGTCAGTCAGCAACTATCATCGCCATCAGGGCTTTTATCATGCACAATCAGACACTAGTGACCATGTCATCCATGTGTGGCGGGATCCATGACTTATCGATATCAATGATGGCTCAACGCACCGCCAAAACCTCTGAGATTCGGGACTTTTATTCTGGTATGCATACAATGGCAGGAGGGATGTGCCTAATTATGTATCATCAATGAACTTCTGAGTGTTTTTCGACCGCAAGTTCTTGTCCCTGCACCGATGCCGATCTGGGTGAGTGTTACGTTAGTTGAATGAACTGAAATCTATATGTCGAAAAATCCTTTCAGTATGTTAGGCGCGCTTGGGATGCATACCTTGAAGCCATGTGCATGAAGTATGGTGCGTCGGGACAGATGCCAGTCAGAACCACCAAAATATTTGCGCCCGAAGAACGCATGAATGTATGGTTGGTGTAAGATTGGGGGGAGAACGTTGAAAGCATCGAATTCTGCCGAATGACTACTACGCAGTCAAAGATTACAGCCCGTGATTGCCCTTGGTCCGCACACCTTGTAGACAATGCGGCGCTGGTCAAAGCTGGAGTGATTGTCTTTCAGGTTGAAGGATGCCTGCTACTAGTACTAGTAGAGCCGACGTACGGAACCTTCAAGTTCTCACCTTTGCTGAGGTCGTTCCCAGGCAACCTTGCCCTCTCCTTCCCTTTCTCTGTCATTGACTCGCCATCGAAGATTTTCAGATAGGTATGATCATGTTCTACTAGGCGTGAATGACTTGGACAGAACAAAGATATTGGGCTGGTAGTACGTACGTACAGAGTACTCTGTGATGCATCAGTTTTCCCGGCGGCTGTTGACGGCAGTGAAGTAAAATGGGAACTTTCTTAACCAAGTCCGTCATTAATTTCATGGCTTCATTTGAATGTGGCACCAACTGGACCTTGACCAATCGTACAATCAGAACAATCAATGGACCTACTTTACTATCAGCTCGTTTCAAAAGTATGCACAGAGTTACGCACCTTCTAATTACGCTGAACTAGCGCTCACTAATCAGTAATTCGTCTTTCTAGTTGTAGGAAAACCTCTTGGAATCGCCATAACGTGGAGTCCACTGATACATGCACGCAGATGTGCTGAAACGTCCGCAGCCCATCAGGATACTTCACGTGGCTGATACGGTCACCGTGACGATGCTGCTATCCACTGTACCATGGTCCTGGGCATCTTCCATTCCCATGGTATGTACTGGAGCAGAATCCTTTGTATGCGGGGCATATGCCTGCAGTACAGATGGGAAAGAAGCGCCCCTGACCATGGACGAGCACATACATACATCGCACAAAGTGCAAGTAATACACGCAGGGTGGGTATCCCGAGTTCTAGCCTTGACCAAGCCTGAGGGTGTGAATGGAGGTTCCACCGATCTTCAACCTCGTAACTGTGAAGAGGGAATTCGTCTTTGATCTACAAGGATCTGAAGGTACGGATTCTAGAGACACATGGAAGATGAAACAATGAGGGCGGGCAGGAGGGTTAAAGCTCACTCTGTCTCGACCTTGTCGCTCATTTATAGACCGCGGATTGTGGTCTATTGTGGCCTGGCTTGCGCAGGGAAATGTGATCTCCGATTGTCCACTTGTCGAAGTACGGGTTAGTGGATTCCATCAGGTTATCATGAAACGATTTGATGGACAAATAAATCACAAACGGTGAGAGTCAAAAGGACCTCGAGGCTGATGACATTTGAGACTCGAGTGCTTACAATTTTTGATCAAGCTAGAGCTTTCTCCGCGATCATCATCACTGCTGGCAAGTTATGTGCGAGGTCGCCCATTTGGCACGTATGATAACCATCTTCTCGGAAATCTTAGCCTGTATAGGAACGTGTCCAACATGCTGTAACCTGTTGCGAGATCAGGCAGTTTCCTTCCTCCTTCTGTGAAATTGTGTGAGTTTCTTTGGGCTAGTTTAAGGACTTTTTTGAATTTAGCCAATAAAACAGAGCCCAGTCCGACAGTCGACAACTTTTTTTTCTTTCTTATCTGAGATCTTTCCCATAGGTCCTTTCCACCATCGATTGTGCCACTCCAGTAACTTGGTCTTCAGGTGCATATGAGTTTCGGGGTTGTCCTTGGGTTCTGCCATTCTAACCACCGCTGGCGGTATCTCGACACTGCACACTCCACATCGGCAACGATTGCATTCTGATCTATCTCAAAATAGGTCTCTAGAACTCCGTACCACTCGTCAGGTCGACAAGCCTCATTTTCGAAAAAGGGATCTTGGCAACCAGTGCTCCATCGACGATCTACGAGGTTTGCTCTAGAGCTCAAAGCCAAGTAGTCTTGTACCACTTGCGGACGCTGATCAGTCACCCGCTGTCAGATTCTTGAACACGACATTTCTCATCTCAAAATTTTATTTTGCCTCCCATGTTGTCTAACCACACGGAAGCATTAATATTCCAGGCGTTTTCCAAACACTATATCGGCGTTGGGCGCAGGCATCTCATGGTCACTACGGCACAGTAATTGCTATCCTTCGTTACTGCTGCCAAGGGCTACAACTGGGCGATTACCACTTGACGGCAGGATCACCCGGAGCTTATGTCAAATTGCATGACCCGACGATGGCAATGGAAGAGAAAAACCCGCGCGCTGATCGGTGACTACAATCACTACTATCGCCAAGAGTATACCGCGTCTGACAAAAGGTTCCAGTTCACCCAGAGCCTCGCGGCTTACGTCCGCCCAAGAACTTGTCAGGAGCGATTTCTGATAATCACCCACACGTCCTCTATTCTATTGCAGCCTCGACTCACGAAGCCTGCTCTATAAACAATTGCTGCGTAGTATCACCTCTCTGTCATTCTGCCACCGCCAACATATGGTTCGAAAGGTTTCTGCCACCTGCGTCGATGCAGCTTGATCGTCCAAGAAATTTTCGCTTGGATAGACTGTCCGCAGGGTTCGCTTGTATAGACTGTCCGCAAGGTTCGCTAGCATCACCTGCCGAGCAGACATAATTTTTAGTGCTGTACACCAATTATGCAGGAGCTGATCAAGATGCTTACGCCGCAGATCGTTGCGCTCCTGCATAGTAACACGGATCATATGTACCACTCTAGGAGACACAACGCTTTGGGAAGCTGCAAGCTAGTTTATGTCTATCTCTTTCTTTTTTCAACACCAACCCATTAACCGCATGCGGTATGAGCGTTCCTAATCACGTCAACACCCTTAAATGTATACGTAGCCGCATCATCCTCTCAGCCAGGGTGGCCAGGAAGCATACTGGGCCCAAAATTGAGTCAGTCGTAACCGAAGCGTTAGGGTTAAACCTATCCGGCAATCAGGTCATGGGTCAACATCATCCTGCCGAGTCCGGTGTTGCGGATTAACCATAGCTGTAGGTTATCTCGGAAAACCCATATTATATCCCTATGACTCGGGGTTGCCCGGTCTCCTCGGGTTGTGCCTGGACAGAGGAATGCGGATATCTTTATCTCCATCCTACAAACCCATTTGATTGGCATGGGCTCAGGGTGTTGGGAGGAGTTCCAAGCCACTTTCCCAATTGGCGTTGGCCTTGGGGAGACAACATCATTCGTATCCGGATCAACGGATCGCAAAGCAGTGCAAGTCATAACCGCGGTCAACAGATATGCCAGCAGATACCAACCACAAGTATACTACCGTATACTAAGATATGCAATACCATTTTACTTGATCTCCAGACATTTCACCTCTACATTTTAATAAGCGACAGGACCTTCGTCACATAGAGGAACTACTCACCAAAGATCAGAGTGGAGTTGGCAGGGATGTCAGACATCTTCCGTGCACCATAACCCATTGCTGGTGGTACAATAATCTCACGTTCCCCACCAATCTGCATGCCGGCCACTCCGACGTCCCAACCTGACACGACGTTAATGATGAACACAAGACCACAAGCCAAAGCAGCTAACCTTTGATTACATCACCTGTTCCGAGCTTGAAGGTAAACTGTAGCACAGTGAAATATGTTTGACAAGCAAGAAACCTAGTGACAGCTTACGGGTTTGCCCTGAGTGTTCTTATCAAAGACCGTTCCGTTCTGCAATTTTCCGATGTAGCGCATGGAAACTCTAGCGCCATTCTTGGCAGTCTTGCCATCACCACTTTTCACATCTCGAATCTTGACCCCACCGGCAAGCTCTTTGTAAGCCTTCTCCTCAGCCTTTTGCTTTTTCTTCTCCTTCTTGTCAACTTTCTTCTCTTCCTTCTCACCCTTGGGCTCGGCTGCCTTTTCCTCGACGGTAACAGGGATTGCCTTACCGTCTTCACCCTTCTGCTTCTTCGCCTTCTTTTTTTTGGAAACCTTCTCGGCAGGTTGCTCGTCGGTATCCATGGCGTCATCACGGGGACGTTTCGACGGCTTGGGCTCTTCTGCCTTTGGCTCATCCTCAGACAATTCCTCGAAGCGCCTACCACGGTTAGGTACATAATGCGGAACGACTGACGGTAGCGTACTCACCCGGCATCACCCTCGAGACCTTCAAGCTCATCAGGATGTACCTCGACGTCTGAGCTGACATCATCCAGGTTGTAGGCCTCCTCGTCACTCATGTCAGAGTCCATGTCAGAATCATAAGGTGGTTGGTTGGCATTCTGATCTATACCGTGGCACGCGTTATTGAAGTCTAATAGATGCCAAGGAACTTGAGGCTTACCAATGTAGTTTCCATAGAGGTAGACGGCGCTGGATGGAGGAACATGCATGAGCTGTATTGGTCAATAATAGCTTGAACACTGCTTACTTTTTTCCGGTGAGCTCGAAGGTATACTCCTCATCGCTCTCGAGAATGAGGTCGCATACTGACTGCTCAATCTGTGTAAAAATGGCACGTTAACCGCGTACTAAAATGAAAAAAGGCGTGTTATGCCACTGACCTTGCCAGCAGTTAGCGAACAGAGAACAGTGGTTATCTCATCTTCTGGAAACTCTTCGTCAACTTCATCTTCCTCTTCGTCATCAATTTTTGCAGGATTTTGGTAAGTTAACTTGACGGTCGTTCTGCCAGACTCATCAGATAAGTTTTCTCCAAGAGCGGCGTTCTTGATCTGCAGGTCTGCCTGAGGGACGATTGTCTCCTTCTGACCTGGCGTCAACAAGATGCTCCTGCAAAAAAGTAAGATGTAGCAAAGATCAAAGCTTAAAAAAACTTGCCAAACAGCGACAGAAGTCATTAGTGGTAGTGGTTTGTTCTTAAGACGGAACAGAACTCGAAATTTTTGACGAGGACGCGTTTCCTGAAAGGGACGCGCTCTTTCCGAATTGGTTATTATGTACTGGTACATATATTCAGACTCCGCATTCTTTAGATTCCCTCAAGCTTCAAGACTCAATGGTAGGTCGATTATCAGAATATATGGCCGATGCCTACTGACGGACCAAAGTCGAACACACTCAGGCCGTACCTCTCAGCTGTCAAATCAACTTTAACAGCGGCTCTAACGCTTGAGAACTTTTCGTCACAAGTAATCATGATAACATGCTGTCTGACACATTTACGAGCTCACCATGGCCTAGGTCGTTGAACGACACAACAAGCCAGAAGTAGAAGTTAGGTATAACCGTATGTCTCGTGTCATCATTGCGTGTACTCATGGCGATCGGTTGCAGGGGCTCCAAGGAGGTTCTCCTGAACCCACTGACCATATCACGCAATGAGAACGAACGCGTCTTGATCGAGCCATCCGTGAACTCAATACGCATGAGTATTAAGATTAAGCAAGCCGATGAAATCGAGCGTATTCTGTGTCACAAGTTCACGCGATTCTTAATGCAGAGAGCGGAGAGTTTTGTCGTGCTGCGGAGGAAGCCCGTCCTCGTGAGTGTATTGCTCGAACATGAGCGGTCATCGTGCTCTAATTTTTGCACAGGGATATGATATATCATTCCTTATTACGAACGTCCATTCAGAGACCATGTTGAAACACAAGGTCGTCGATTTCATCATACAGTGCGTGGCAACCGAATGTTTTTACATCGTTCCCTCATCCGCGGTGACTAGATTTATGGAGGAAGTAGACAGGGAAATTAGCGAGATGAAACTCAGCCTCAATGCGCGCGCACGTACAGTAGCCGAATCGTATCTTACCGCTGTTTGTGTCTTACTCCTTGTGCTCCTCTAAGTAAGCTAACTGGTGTGCATCACAGTTTAACTCCTGAAATGTTATTCTCTCTGTTACCCCATTTCGCCATGCGCGATAGAGATATTTTCCCGCTGTGTTGTGTGGCCTGTATTCTCGTATGAAGGGCGCCCATACTAAACGTGTAATTTTGCACAGTGTTTTACCTTATACTGGTGAACATCCAAATAACCAACGAGCTGGTATAGTCATGTCGACCGACAGATTTTGTGATTTCGCATGAAAGAAATGGTTTATTGCACTTCACCTTGCGAGCAGCAAGGCTTCGTCACAGATTAAATTTCCATCTCTTCACTCTGCCAAGGACCAAAATTTGAATTGAAAAACCAACTTCGTCCCAGTATCGAGCTACCTAATACCACTGCTTTACCGCGTTTGGCCCAATCGAATCTCATATGGCTGCTAGACTCATACTAAGTACGTAGGAACCCTATGATAAGAGTCGTCTACGCGAGTGCATGAGGTCTAACCTGGACCCACATACTAAAAACTACCCTCAAGGGTGATCTTAGATTCACCGCTTCACAACCCATCACCTTTTCGTCACCAGTGCTGAGATTCGCACGAGTGACCATATCTCGCCGACCATCCAAACCTCCCCTCGGTTTTCGAGTCACAGGTCACCATAGACTGTGATAGTGACTGAATACCGGTCGAACACGATCGAGCGTTTCTTTCCAACAGAAGCATGGCCACCGTTCTTCACGGACGCTGTCACTTTCTTGCCTGCTTTGAGCAGGGAAGAAGTCCAGTCGATCTTGAGCTGACTGAGTTGATCAGCAGGAGGCTTCTCTGAGGTAATTCGGAGCCAAGGGCCCCCATCCTTTACCCAGGATATCCCCACAGTGACGACGAACTGTTCTTTCGTTGTTGAGTCGTGGTAGGTGAACGATGCTAACCATGAAGAATCCATATTCCAAGGTAGATGATGTGGACATTTGAGATTTTGTACGGGTTTTGGTGGTAGTATCGGTCTTCTCATTAGCAGGACAATATCACTATCGTGAATCTGCAGGTCGCATGAGGGGTCCGTCTCCATATCGATTACGGAGAAGCCATGCTCTTCTACCCCGACGTGTCGGATGAAGAGCGAAGTTGAGTTGCTAAAGAATGTGCCATTGAATGAATCTGATAGTAACGGGTACGAGATATGTATTCGTTTGATTTTGAACTCCTTGTGAGTGTCAACGATGTCTTCGAGGGTATGAGCATCTATCCTTTCGTAACGTTCGGCATTGGCCACAGAGCGCCGTAAACGAATACCGACGTTGCGGTACTCTCGGTCGCTTATGCGACGTCGGCAGCTCAGGAGAGCGATGAATTCGTCTGATTCATTCACGAGAGGTCGTAAGGGGAGGCTTATATCCAAGCCGTCGTTGGTGGCGGCGAAGTCAAGCCTGGGGACATCTAGGCCAATGAATTGACTGTAACGTATCCATTCGTCGGAGGGCACGTCTTCCACATTGCCTGACTTGGCAAAGCAATCAGGGTATAGGGCGAAGGGCCAAGTCCCATTTTTGTAACCACCTGCGCTAGGATTGCTCCATGCAAATATGCTCTGGTCATGCGAAGTACGCATAATCTCTAGTTGCAGCCTAAAGAAAGCCTTTTTCTCCCCCTCTCCGTAGATAACAGGCATGTGGACCCTGAATATTCCCATGAGGGAGTAGGCTCTATCTTCTGGTCTGGTTGTCTTCCTCCCGGCAGCCCATGACATTTTGGTTGCAACGCTGAAGGAATCTCTGCTCGCTGCCAATTTGTCTGACCCGGCGTTTACGCGAGTCAATACGTCGACATGCACTCTCGTAATGGACGAGAGAAGCCCAGCTAAGCTGTTCTTGCTCCCAATCTCCCTCCAGCGGCTATCGAAAAAAAACAAGCTCGTGGGCGCGAGGAGTTCTTGTAAAGTCCATCCCCTGGTGAACCATTCGCTTTTCGCAAATGCAGATTCGGTCTCCGAGTCTCCGTTGTCGGTAACATCGTCTAGATAGACGTAGCATATCTGGGCGTCTTCATACCACTTGAACATAGAGTTGATTGCTTCTGCGAGCGCCGCGCTGCTATTTTTGTCGATGCAGCAGGTATCAATCCAGATGTATTGATACCCATCACGCTGCGCTTGTTCGCAGCATCCCTCTACTTTGGCATAGCCCTTCATGCCTTTCGCATGCTCCTGATGGATATCTGCGAATAGAACTTCTTCCTCGCGCCACCGATGTGAGAGGATCGCATAGTCTGGAGGATTTACAAATTCCTCTAATTTCTTGGTTGTAGTGTGCAAAAGGTGCATGCTCTCTCTCGAGAAAAGTTAGGACGATCTGAGTCTCAAATGAGATACAAGCACCTGATAGTGGAATGTGACGGGCCGGGTGCGATAAGTAAACGTTTAAACACTCACATGCACAATTTGCAATCGTTGCATGTTACTAACATAGCACGGCGCGCTTTTCCAATTATGCAGGCGAGACAAGTCGTCACATTTCACATTTATTAAGGGCTGAGGTGCGCTTCGTGTTGGCCGTGAACCGTCACAGGACGCCGCCAATGAGTAGATCATTCACAGTTGCCCACTTGTGTATACGCAAAAGCTTGATCGCAGTTGTGCACCCCATGCAAATATCACAGTGGTGGATGTCCGCCCTGCGGAATATGACCAACATAACCTGCATCTAGCAGAAGCTGAAGGACGTGCTCGCAGGACAGTGTTTCTCGCTCCAGAAAGGTCGGAAAACAAAGCGTGGTGCTTTGGCTTACGTTTGTCACTCTGACTTCCTTGCTGCGCTGAAGCTGACACATGGTACCTGCATACTACGGGGTCTCCTTCACAAAGTGTGGGCAAGGAAAGGAAAGGATGCACGCCAGCCGTGAGTGATATACGAGACATGTCAACGGAAATGCTAATTTATGTACGCTGTCGCTAAGCCAGGCTCGTGCAGAGCATCTTATTTGCGGTACCTGGAATGCAATCATTAGCATAATCCATGACAAATAAACGAATTTTTTTTACCAAAGCACACTCTTCCTGTTTCTTCTCATTTTGCGCTGAAGCTGCAACATACCATAAAGCAATGCTTCAGCAGTCGGTGGGCAACCAGGGACGTAGATATCCACGGGCACAATCCCTACGAGACAAATGTTAACTGGGCAGCCGTTGGACCAGAATGTAACAATGCTTACGATCACAGCCACGGACAACAGCGTATGAGTAGTGGTAGTAGCCGCCACCATTTGCGCAAGATCCCATGGACACAACCCATCTTGGCTCGGGCATTTGGTCATAGACCTTACGAAGAGCCGGAGCCATTTTGTTTGTGAGGGTACCGGCAACAATCATAACGTCAGATTGACGCGGAGAGGCACGGAAAACGACACCAAGACGATCTTGGTCATAGCGAGCAGCAGCCATGTGCATCATTTCGACAGCACAACATGCAAGACCGAAAGTCATGGGCCATATCGAGCCTTGGCGTGCCCAGTTGACAACTTTGTCTAATGTCGACAGGACGTACTCTATAATCCAATTAAGCCGGCTCAGTGGGAAGTGCATGAGGTATACTCACCAGCCTTATTTTGGGGCTGCTCGAGACTGAGTTGATTTGAGCCGTGCATCGCTAATGTGGTGATAGGCTCAGAACCAGAGGAGACCGAAGTAGGTGTGGGTGTAGTTTCGGGTGCTTGTGCAGATTTCGACGTGTGCACAGAACGAGCAGCTGTACCAGAAAGGCTAAAGAAAGAGTTCGCAAGGAATTAACTGATGGAACATACCATAAATCGCGAGAGCAGGTCTGAGTGCTGCTGCCTTATGGGCACTAGCAACTGCACAAGGAGGCTCATGAATTATATTTAGTTACAACAAAACACATATATTCACCTGGAGCTCTTAAAATACCGAGCGACATGACGGTCAGAGGAGAAAATGGGCTCGATGCTGGCTCTGACGATGCGGAACGAACAGCGACAGCAGTGGAATTGGCTCCCACGGTCGGAATGCTTACTTCAGCAGGTAGTCGACCAATAAGAAATTGTTCTTTAGGTATACCGAACGACTTCCCCTGTTACACCTTCACACCACAAACTAAACGGCATACAAGGCGGGTTTCTGGATATGAAGTCAAGTGCACCCTCTTCAAGCCATTTGATTTGACGAAATGGCCACCCATTCGACATGACAGTTGAGCAGGATGTCGGAGTGTCAAGGCTCAAAATCACTCCTGCTCTCAGGTGGCCACGCACCACGAACTGTAGCATACAATGTGGTCTATCGAATCTCGACATTCTAGTGATGATGTAGAAGGGATTGGCTCAGCTGAAAGTTTTATTCTTATGTTGGATATCAATGAAGGTATCTTGTTATTGCTGTCTCCATTAGGGTCTTTAACCTGATCCTATATCCAGTAGGCCCTCTTCGTTAACGATCGCTACCGAAGTTAACGTTGAATCTCAAATTGACAAGTACTCGGAAGGCTGTTTGGGTTGTGTAGCCAGGTTCATCTTACCCTACCCTGCCAGTGCAGTGGCTGAATCTGTGTCATAGGGTTGCCACTGCGCTACTACCGGTCGAAGATGTCTTTAACCAGGCATCGCATGGTGCGGTCATGCATCTAAAGTTAGGTAGAGGCTGTATATGGCCATGTCGGATCATCATAAGTACTATTAGGCTATTAGACATTGACCCCCCTTTGAGAGGTCGAATTACTATTTATACGCTACTCGTCTGTCGATCCTGTTGTTCTTGATGTGGGAATGCGTTCATCCTGAGAACTTCCCCCGCATAGACTTCTCAAGCTTGTCATGGCTGTTGCCTTCAGGTGGCTGGCCAAGTGCCTTCCGGTACAACCATTGTAAGTCCTATTCTGAGTGAGCAAAGTAATTCAAGCCTCGTCCCCCGTTCTCACGCAGAAGCTTGGCCATGCTCTGTTCACCTACTTAAAGTTACGTGACACAGGGTCTTACTCTCACTCTCGGCTTGATTTTTCGTTGAGTTTTTTTTCTCCCCCCTCCACATTCTCTTGTAGCGTGAGTTCATTGCGATGTTGACCTTCCTCAAATCCACTGGCGTTCATGTTTCGGTCTCGACCGCTACAGAGCCAGCTAAGGTCGAGAAGGCGGTTCTTGAAGTTGACCCTACGGCTCCGGTGCCAGACGCATCTCCCGCCGCAGATGTTGCTTCGATTCATTCAGCCAACTCGTCTTCTTCGTTGCATTCATCTCCCTCTAAATCCTCCCACACAGACGCATATGGAGTACCCTCAAATACGGGTTCTCCTCAAGTAGCCAACCTGTCGCTCACGCCTGTGCAGCCAGCATCTATGACCTTGCCACAGTCATCTGAGCAGTCGCTTCTAGTACCCCCTAGCCCAGGGCGAAGTCCTGCCGCTGAAAGCGCAGGCAATGCGAGCCTGGGGGTGCCGGGTGTAAATCCTTATCCCAACGCTAAAACCGGGAAGGACTTTAATCGTTTCTCCTTTCGTTCATTTTCCTTCTTGCGCTCCGAGTCGAAACTTCCTCAGCCGGAGCGCAAAATTTCCCAGCACTCCGAACCCATTCACACACAACAATCCAAGGCTCATGAGAAAGAGAAGAAATCACGTGTTAGCAAGGCGTTCACCGTTCGTGTACTGCAGTCCAAGGCCTCTGATAGGCGTGCCAGGGATACCGCAGCCATAGTTCGTTCCGTCATCGTGGGGGATCATGAAATGGTGGACGGCAGAGCAAAGAGGTCGAAACCACTTTCTAAATCTGACCTAACGCGTGTCAAAGCGCAGCTTCTCGAGCCAAAATCTGCTAGAAAGATCATGGACCACCTGCACTCAATGTCTGCATCATCAGCAGATACGGGATCTGCCAACACTGGGCCAATCCATGCAGTATGTTTTGACGCGGTCGACAAGGAAGTCCACGAGCAACACTTTGTACAGCTTGGCTCGGTCGCTACTGCAACAACGACTGCGTTATCCGACGCGTTGTCCAACGTGCACCTCGTTAACCTTATTACTGCCCCAGATCTGGGTTTCGGCGCGCCAGCGTCATCGCCAGGACTGTTGGCAGGTGCCGTCCCTAGCGCCGAAGCTATCATTGATGGTCTCCAACAAATAACTCCCCAGTTACTTGCGCTTGGTTATGCAACGAGCAAGGCAGTTCTTCCAGATCATAAGGGCGTTGTCGTTCCCACAGATCGTATTTCTGTTTTGACGTGTGCGTACTTTCATTTCACGGAGTATCATTCAGATTCTAATCGATTTATTTTAGACTGGTGGGGTTTTGAGGTCTGCATGCCGCCTCCCACAATTGAGCTCCTAGCTGCAGCTGCCTCGCCAGGTACTACTTTGCTCAATCTGCTGACTGCATTGTCGGTGCTCAGCCCCGGCATCCGCGAAGTATTGCCGTTCATTCGCTATATTGCTCAGTTCGTGCAAACCGAGTGGCATATGATAAAGGCTGCCGATCACGGTAAGGGAGTTGTCTGCTGCGCTACCTGGTATGTTTTTAGTATCTAGTACAAAAGTGATTACTAATTGTGTATCAGGATCATGCCAGCGGCGATGGTTCCTCGTCCATGGGACTTCCCTGACCCGCCTCCTGCAACTATTGTAGTTGGCCCAGGGGCAAATCTTGCGCCCACTGCATCGAGGACTACTACAGTTGCTGCTACGCCTAAGCCTTCCGTTGATGCGCCGCGCGCCTCGTCCACGTACTCCAGCGAAACTGGCGAGGAGGAGGCACGACACGGGATATCGAGTGACCCTCCTGTTCTCCCAGAGCTCAAAGTTAGTTCCCCTGCGTCGACCGAGGGTGCAACTTCCATCGACCTCCAAGTCCACAAGCCTTCTGCGGATGTTCCCAGGGATGCCGATTCCATTGCTCTGTAGTCATTTTCGCTATCCTTCTCGTTACGACATGTCACGATTTTCCGGTTGAAGTTGGTCCTTTTGCAGCTCCCTTTCCGCCTGCTTTTTCCGTTTTCGACCGATAATCGTCTGGACTTACTATACCCTTCTTCGCATCGCACTCTCGTTAACCACGTAGCTATTTGTCATTCATTTTCTCATCGCTCGTCATGGCAGGAACTTATTTTACCATTCCCGATTTATTTACCATTCCCGCAATTTATGCATTAGATAATGCCTCAGCTCAGGTTGGACGCTAAGTCTATTATTAGGACTTCGAGAAGTCGCTTAGATCATTCAGCGAAAGTTAAGCTGCGAAACTTATCAGATCACTCCTCCGCAGCAATCGTTCTAGTAAGTAGTTGTTCCACATACTCAAATAATGATTTGTACAGGTCTATCTCCACTCATTCATATCATACAACAAACTACTACGTCCTGCCTATGTCGCATATGTCACTGCTATCAGGCTGCCTGGATCGAAACCTCTTGGTCAGGTTCTGAGATAAACAATCAGTGAGCACAGTCCCGTCATTGATTAAAACAGAGAACGCGCACCGACTGAAATTACATCGCTATTGAGTGATTTCAGTGACAAAGCACCTTCGTCAGACATCTCGACGGTGAGCATCTACATGAGAGAAGCATGTCAACCACTGGAGAAACCTTGAGCCCGAACAACAAACCCCAAGAATCTTTGCAGAGTCATCAACGATAGTTCCACCTGTCGAGGGTTTGTCAAAGGTCCGAAGACGATGCGCTGACTTGAGAAGCTTACCTTGTTTCTCGATGTCTCGCTTGGTAGCCTCGTAGTCTGCGTGGGCCTCAAGAGAGACGATGAATTCTGATGATAGATATGAGCGTCAGTGTGAGCATTCATTGAGCTTGGTGTACGCACTCGTCATTGTTCAGCGAAAAGTTATAACTTGGAGGTTGGTATGGATATGAGAGGACCAGTTGAGATAAACCGGAACTCCTGGAAGAACTGCGGGGCCTGACAGCTGTGCCGGCATCTGACTCTGACCATACCCGAAAAGGGAACATATAGGTCTCGGGTCCGGTGTGATGCGACGCGATTAGCCGTATTCGCTTATCACATAGTACATATGCCGGGAACTTGAAGGTTCAGCGAACCGGTTTGAACTTTGTCATTGCAAGTTGTGCATGAGATTTGCATTCTTTGGACTTGGGTTTTCTGCACGATCTAAGCTTAGATTTACCATGCCTGTAACACGGTCAGCCACTCGGTCACTTGCTCCAGCGGGAGGAAACAACAAGACAACGGCAGCGGTATCACTGCCGCCCGCAGTAGGCAAGTCCAGCAAGCGAAAAGCCGCTGAAGAACCCGCAGCAGCCAAGAAGACGCCTCGCGCAAAGAAAACAAAGTCTTCCGATGAAAGTGCTGCGACACCGCTCCCATCGGGTGCATTTATACCACCACCGCCATCTCCCTTGCAGAACGAGTCCGAGGAGACAATTTCGATTCCTGCAGTGTTGACATTTTCGTTTGAGGAAGCTAAAGCGCATCTTATTCGTGCTGATCACCGCTTTGAAGATATATTCGCAAAGCTCAAATGTAAGCCTTTTGAGCTCCTTGAACAGGTCCACCCGTTCCGGTGAGCGTGATATTTTCGACTAAGTGACATAGAATGCTAATGTATCTGTAGGGCGCTTGCAGAATCAATTCTGTGAGGAATATCCTCTGCATAAGCGAGGACACTAAATCAAGTGTATGACTTTGCAGTGCCCAACAAATCTCATGGCTGGCAGCGCGATCGATCATCCATAGGTTCACTCGGTTGTATGACCCCTCATTACCCGAAAAAGTGGCAGATTACTCGTGAGTCTAAACCTGCCTGCATTAGTCCTTGCGCGGTGTTAATGATGGAGTCATCACGAAGTGCATCAAAATGTCCGACATCTTTCTTCCCTACCCCTTATCAAGTTGCCAATACGGATATCCTAACACTCAAGTCTGCTGGTCTTAGCACGCGCAAAGCCGAGTATGGTCAGTGTCATTATCAATTCGCTGGTAACTTCTGTAGGCTGAGTTTAAGTTATAATTTTTTGCCAGTAAAAGACCTTGCTGCGCGATTCGCAGATGAAAGGCTTTCGACAATAAAGCTGCTTGCTGCAGACGATGAAAGCCTTGCTGAAATGCTTATAGAAGTGCGAGGGATTGGAAGGGTATGTAGTCTCAATCATAATATCTGTGCTTCATTAACATCTTGCTTGTCCCCAAGTGGACTGGTGAGTATTACGTTACTTCTCGTCCAAGAACATCTCATCATTTCAGCACAGTTGACATGTTTGCAATCTTCTCCCTCCGTCGTCCAAATATCCTCCCAGTAGGTGACCTCGGTATCCAGAGAGGAATGTTGCGCTGGTTTCTCTCGCGTCACTCGTCTAAGCACACCTTTACAATTTCACCGCATAAACTGAGCGGTGGCGAACCCGATAATGATAAAACAAAAGTGGAAAGTACCGGTGCGATGGGACCACCGCCTACGACGCCTGCACCGAAAACAACTCCTGGTTCTCAATTGACAGGAGATGTAGAAGCAGATAATGGGGTGCTGTCGACATCATCTGAATTACAAACGCAGGTTTCCGCTTCAATTAATTCGATCCCTGGGCTTCCTGAACCGTTCACTCCCTCGATTGACAAGACCCTTGAGGCAGATGCGATGAACCCAGAGCCACTTCCTGAAGGCCTGAGCGTTGCAAATTTAAAATCAAGGCTAGAAGGAAAGAAGATCAAGTATGTCACTTGAATTTTTCTCGTGTACAGTTTCTCATCAAGGCTTTCCGAAGAGGGGTGTTTCTTACTCCGGCAGAAATGGAAGGTTTAACCGCATCTTGGGCGCCGTATCGAAGTCTTGGTGTTTACTATATGTGGGCTCTATCAGAGGAGAAGAAGAGCTAGGTTGTCGCCCGCACCTCAATCAATATTTCGACCTTGGGCTATGTTTTCTCACTTTATGACATGTATACTAGTTTGTAAGTAAGTACACAGTGCTGTCTTGTTCAAGCCTTGAATATCCATAATCCTGCTTTGAAGTTTAGGTTTACGTTATCAACGTTTCAACGCTCGACCCAAGTTTAGCCACTATGGTTGACAAACCATTTGTCCCAACGAATCTACCACGTTTGACGAAGTCAGATTTTTGTCGAAATGTGGACTTTCTCATCATCCAGTCGATGATACCTACCATTATTGTGTTGACAGGTCGGGCGGTGTGAGCATCTATGAAGAGCAAATATATCGAATTGCCAGATTGGCTCCTTCTGTGACATGGAAAGAGCAAGGAGAGCGTCTGACATGCATGAGCGCGCTATCCGAGCGAGGATATCTGCACACCATAACACATGACGGGTTCTTAGAAATAAGATACACCCGCCAGCATGACCCCTCGTCGACTGATGTATCCAGTAGAAGAGCCACGTCATACTAAACGCTATATACGGTCGTCTCTGCTGAAAGAATCCGTGATCAAGAGTTCCTGCAGTGAAATTACATATTAGCCAGTGCCGAGGTCAAGATTTAAAAATATACCTCAGGTGCAAATGGCCACCGGTCAAAGGCGCCGACGAGAGCAGCCCAGTCCTCTCCACTCATTTTCTTGATGATCTTCTTCATGTCAGTCCTCTGTTCGGGTGGAACATCATCGCCCGCGAGGTAGGACTTCAGAACGTCTGATCCAGGTGCTAGATGACTAGAGGAAGGTCACAATTTTTTTTCATGATTCAAAGTGAACTCTGATCATACCCAACGGCGTCCTTGAGAGAGGTAGACTTCAGCACAAAAAGTTTTCGTAGGCAGTAATCCCATTTATCCAGCATGCCTGGTTGAATGATCTGCACACGACGTCAGTAAGTTAAATTGCAGGAAAAATGGCACGCACCTGATGTTCCAATGGTCTGAATGTACCTGCTATGAACGGTGTACCTCTGCGCCTGTTTTCAGTCTTCGAGGAATGTGCAGGGTTCGTAGCATCAGGATAGAAATGGTTATTATATGGCACCAGCAACTGTGGGTCAATGGTATATTTAAACTCAGAAACGGCTTGTGCGATGACGCTCAGCTTGCATCGAGCTGGATCCTCAGTAGACGCGGAGATACGCTATTACTTGTGTCAGATAGGGATAGCTAGTCTGCGGAATGATCACCTACATCCCATACCCAGTCGTGCATTAGATAACTCATTGAAATACGACCATGTTTGAACAACCAGGACTGTTCTGGTGCACAACGCAATAGTTGTGCTAAGAGCTGCTCGCCTAGGACATCCATAGGAAGATGCGATATAAAGTGTAGATATGGATTTGGCTGATTCCATGGAACATTCTCAACACCATCCAGGAAGCCTTGGACGTCTAGCTGATGATATGTGTCCCACGAGAAGCCGTTCATTGGCAAAATCTGTACTCTGGGGTCTGCTTCCTGCAGTGGCTGTTGAAGAATATTAGTATGATCAAACTCTGTAAGGCTCATTTCTTACATGCAAAAAGTCGAGGTACTTTTCTACGTCTTCAAGCACAATAATTTTTCGGATTCGTTCCTTCGGCAACTGCATCAACGCGCGAGTTAATACACCAGGACCTTTGTGAGTCCTGTAAATACCAAGAGAATTGGAGTTTAAGTATCGGTATACTCACCGGGATACGCTTCTACAATTACTTTATCTCTCGAACCGCTAGGGACGAATGAATCTGCAACCAGTGCCGCCGTCTCGGGGTTAGCGATGGAAATACGACTTTTGAATGCCATGCCGCTAGAAGGAAAGTAGTTTCGCCATTGTGAACGCGGGGGAAGATCGACTCTGTTGACTGGAAGTGGTATGTTAACTTTCCGCGGCTTGCGTTTGTTGGGAGCTTTCGGAATCAAGACACTTCGGGATTCAGCTTCGGGCTTGATGTTCTCGATACTTGGAGTATCCTCGGAATGACCGCGTCTTGTTGGCTGTGTCGTGAGGGCGCTTGCGACAATGTCCTCAGGAATCTTTTTGGTCCTGTAGGAGCATCTGAAGCTTGTAGAAAATGGCCTCCGAAGGAGAAGTGGAAATGGAAAAGACATTGAATAAATGACTAAGCTACGCGAAACGCGTCGTGAGTACTTTGAACACGTGTTCTAGACTGTGTTGTATGTATAACTTCGTCCATTGACCAATTATCCGCCTCTCTCACAAAATCGCTATGAGATAACCATCGAAATTGTCTTCTGATTTTTTTTCGAGTTCGATAAAATTGCTGGCGGTTGCAGGTCACGTGAAGTTGCCGGAAAGGTGGGAACCTCAGGCTAAACAACCATACTTACAGTACTTCCGACATCGAATTATGGGCTTATGGACCCAAGTGGGTCGACTTCAAGTTAGCAAGGTTTCGCGTTGGGCGACCGAAACGATCACGGGCAAGTGCGTGATAGTGCTATTCAGGAGAATATCCGTGTCAAGACACCGGGACATGGGCGCAGTGACCATCTCTTTCAACCTCTATCTCTTACGACATACTAATGCACGTAGTAAGCGGGAGAAGAAGTGTGTTGATTGTGACATACCATTTGGAATACTGGTCAGGGACACTCACACTTGACCGACACGTCATCTGGATCAAAGGTTCAAGTTATACATGGCTTACGACAAAGAGGCCATTCGAGGGGGCTACGGATTATAGCTCATTGACTATCATGCATTCATATCTGTACCACTGGTCAAAAACGGCCACTTGAAGGTGTGTTCCTGCTTCCTGATTTGAGTTTTTTGTCCGCTAAGCGGTTCACCAGGATTGCAATGCTATGCGACCTAGGTTTCTCAATCTCGTTGTACTATAAATCTGGAGGATAAGCGTGTGCGTTCTAATATATCCAATCGTTTTCAAAAACACCCTCGCTACCGGGCTCTAAACACTAGTTCGTCAAGATGCTCTCCTGGGATGAAGTGAGATATAATCGGTATGTGATGACATCGATATTACCCCTCTGTTGACTGCACGAAGTAAATTGGTTTCTTTAGCTGTTCGTTGACCTTGATAATCATTGAATGTACCTGTAACGAGACGATGAACACGTGAGTTGAAACGCAACGAGCATGATGGCTAGCATTTCGCTGCCAAAATCAGCTCACAGTTAAGTTCCTCACAGTGTACGGGTGCGACCGTTTGTCCATTTGCATCAAATAGTAACCGCCAAAGAATGGAGTAACGAGAGAGATTTCGATATCTCGACACGAACGGCTAGCTCCGCTATTTCAATGATGCAATTGCCGAATCGAGCTGCGCTGGTCCACTAATCGAACAGTTGTGGACTCTTATTAAGGATTCAGATCCACATTATGGCATTGGTCATTCATCTGATGACTTTAAAACACTAACCACCAACCACTACCATTCAATACGCCTTTGACTCTCACAGACCACTCCAACTTCGCTCTTCACTCTTCGTGCAACCCACTTACTGTTATTCGTACTATGGACGCATTCGCATCCATCGCCTCGCAGTTTTACCCATCGAACGATGGTTTCTCAGGGGATTCCGACAAACTCCCCGTTGACCATGAACATAAACCAGAGCTACCTGGTATATTTTGCGTCATTGCTTGACGTCGATCATCGACATGATGTTGCTTGTGCGACAGTGTAAACCTCTTTTCATTGCTCGCCAATCAATTCAGTACTGAAGTACACTTTGGCAGTCACAGTCATTCGTCGAGGGCCTCCAGAGCTTCTGACTATCGCCTATTCATTTTCTCTCACCATCAATCTCGTGTACCATCCACTCTTTCGTCGTGTTCCAATTGTGGAATATGCTGAAGTGACTCTTCAAGGTAAAGACAATAACTTAAGCTACGTGATACATTTCTCAACCTTTGCACAATACGGCAGCACCATAATCACACTTGGTGACCAATAGATAGGGAACAGGCTGAGATTGGCACGCCGGCACGATATGAATACAATTTTACGTGTACCGAACGAGAATGAAGCAAAGTCTTCAACCATAAGCCTGAATACTGCAAATACTTTCTCTACTCGGCCCGGCCTGCTTAGAGAACTTGCATCGCCACACTCATTTATTCAAATATTCCGAGCCTGGCTCTGTGAGGTTGTACATCTGCCGTCAAAATGTTCTTTCGTCTTTTAATTTCAAATTCACCCTTTGCCAGCGAGCAGCTGTGCATGGCGTAGTCCAGGTACTCCGCATTTGCTATATTGGAAATATGACGCTACCAGTTTCACGGCACGGGTAGAACCTGCTACCTATTTTGACTGAACCACCCATGCAGTGTGATTCGATCTCGCACGGTGTCGCGGCGAACCAGATGCAATCATGATCATGGAAGTGTATAAGAGCGAGTTCTGCAGATCTAGAATTTTATCTATCTCAAGCCTGTAATGGTCGCTCCCATAGTCAACACAGGAATCCAGACGGCGAAGGTAAGAATTCCAAAATATTCATTTTCTAGACAAGGTTTATTGACTGCAACTACTACTCTAGTATTGCAATGGTACGTGAACTTCATGCAGGGGTTTACGCCATTCACATCCAGAATACGTGCAGTGGCCGGTCTAGGAGTTCTGGTAGGTCTACAAGCCATGATGATATCCCCTCTAATGCTCCATAGATTTTTGATTATTTCTTAACGATCGAACCTGAGGTGAGCATTTCTTCATAGAGTTCGAACACTTCTTGACGACTGTTGCAAGGTTCGATGGACATGGAACAGGCGCTGGAACATCACTCGCATTCTGTTTGTAATTTCACGTTACATGGCCTTTGTAGCAGCTGGCATGACTTCATACGGTGAGCAGCTACTCGCAACTCTCGGCGCGTGACATTGACGAATGACTAGCCGCCATTGCTACACGATCGAACGAGAATGTTTGTGTCCTTTGCTTATGCGTTGTTGTATGAACTTAAGGACATCAACTACAGTGCTCGCGCTTCGGTTCGGCTTCAAATGGTGATCAGTATCTTGAGCAGCCAGCGTTTTACTGATTTCATTGCAGCAATTCACATCATCACCATTGTAGCTGCCGAAGGTTCGCTCCGTATCTGTGGTGTCTTCTGGGCCTGAATCTGTTTCTTTCTTGTGCAGGTCTTTTGATCATTCGTACATATGCGTTCTGGAAACAGAACAACAAGCTCTTGGTAGTGTTACTGGTCTTGGCAGCAGTAAGTTTGTCTGGTCGTGCGTGCTCATCCTCATCGTCTGTTGATATCGCGAAGTAGATTTGTATCGCATGTGCTGTCAGTATCACACAAGTCGTCGGTAATCTAGTAGCGCCCGCAAAACCTTCAAGTATGTTTGCCTTATTTTTCTGTCCTTATTGTAGATGACAATTGAAATTTCTAAGATCCCCCCACAAGCAGCTGCACTTTTGAAGCGGGTCGCAGCAGTGCCATTCAATATGGCTTTCTCATGGCCTTCGAACTGTGTAAGGATATCTTATTCCCCATTCCATTTTAGCATGACTTCTCAATTCCGTTCATCTAGTGCTGATGTCTTTAACTGTATTTAAGAGATATCAAGACTACAGATATTGCAATAGTCGTCTAGTGAGAGCCATCTTCCAGGGCGGAGTGCGGTATATGACTGCCACAATTTGTGCGATGACCCTTATTCCAATTCAACATGTCCCGTGTTGAAGCGCTTTTTCAGTCGTTTCTGTGGTCAATATAGTGATCATGTCTGTGGTGCCAGTAAGTTGTATATTGCATCGTTTGATTTGACAATTTTTATTAATTTCGGGAAGGTATCATATGACGATATGATGGACGTGTGCGTGGCAATTCGTTTACGATGGTCTGATAAAATCACTGATGCGTTCCGACAGGCCACAACTTGTCCTCCACAGTATGTTGGCATCCCGTGTGCTGTTTAGTCTGCGTGAAAGTGACCAGGATGAATCGGATGGGACAACATTACAAATGTCGACATTTCGTCCAGCTCAGCACGACCAAAGGCATACTTCATTTGATTGATTATATATCAGGTTTGTAGTCATGGTATGGTTCCATCAGAATGTGGATAAAAGGGAGTTGCTGTCACGAAGCACGATCATCATCTGCCGCTTCATTTGATTTTCCTGCTCTGCATCTTCATTACCTCTTCTAAATTGCTCTTCAGTGAAATCTTTCTTGGGTCCGCCTCTATCCAATTCTTCTGAATGTACGGATATATTTTCGCACTGTGAAGACGCTCAAGATTAGCTCACGACACCCAACTAGTGTGTCGCGTGCTGTGTGACAACCTTATAGACTTCGCAAGTGAGGTGCTTGTACATGTATGCCGACATCATTGCTAGCCAGTTGATCACATCAGTTACTACATAGCCAGACAGAACTACGTGTAAGTAAGCTAGATTTGAGAGGAATACACATTTGTCTGGACAAGGTTAAAACGTTGCTTCAAGGCACGAAAACAAGGAAAGGTGAGAGCTCGTCTGGGAGCAGTGCTGGTAGCCGCCATGACTCAGATTGGGACAATGTTGATACATAGCGACGTGTTTGTAGTGGTCGCCCAATTTTTTATTATTGCTATACGTTCATTGGTAGATTATATTGTGTACCCATGGATGGGTGACCCGACGCACATCCACAGGTACCACTCACAGGTAGACCCGTACGTATTCCACTTCGGTATAGGTACGGATATGACCCTATTTTTCAACTCACCCGTGGGTAGCACCAGGGTATGACCCATGTCAAGTTGTGTCAAGCCCTACTACTAATCCGATTTTTAATTGGCTAGACGTAAACCGCTGACAAATCGCAGCTGGACCCCGAGGCCTGAGGCTGGGCCTCGAACCTCGACTAGGACTCTGGAACCCCTCGCGGATACCTGGACGCCCTTGAAACTGACCAAAACAATTTTCACAAAACCCCCATAACTTAACGCTGTCGTCGTCACGCGCAGGCAGAGTCCAGACGATGCGCTCCCGGTCCACGGTATCTATCCAAACCCCCTCCATCACTTCCTAATCAACTCAAATCTCAATGAATTTCTTTCCTCCCCGCAGCGTACAACAAAATCGTCGTGCTTCACCCCATTCCTGTTTTCACCCGCGGTGGGACCACAGACTCGGATTCATACATGTCTCGAAGTACATTGACTTCCGTCGCGCCACTAGATTTCAGCACCTCTCTCATCGGTTCACCTGATCGCTGTCGTATCTGCATCAGTCGACTCCTTAGCACGGCGAAATGCTCGCGCACACAAACGAGAGTACGCGTTAAACGAGGAACTTGACTCTGAAACACACATGACATACGATTGCATGTGTGTTCTTATATCATCAAGACATGAGCTGCAGTATCACGATGTTGCAATATCACGGTACACACTTTGACAACAGAGGAAGCCAGACATTATGTCACGGGTGTTGTAAATCAGTGCCGATGTGATAATAATATTCTGATCTGCTAATGATGGCAGCGAGTAGTATCTGCTTGTTAAGCGTACAATGACCAACTGCTCTCTTTCAACCCTCCTAATCGGTACGTGAAGTTTTCTAGCACCAAGCCCTCTGCTCAAATTGAATATATAGTGGCCTCTGTAGCAATCAAGCTCATCGTATCCGTATTCATAGCAAATAATTGAGCTGCTAGTGTTCTGCTATGCCACGACCTTAATTGCTGCTGAAAGCGTGAGATAATCGATATGAAAGTTGAAATGCGCCAAGAGTATGATGTCAAAATCAGTCCCTGTAAGCTCACAGCTTGTTCTGCATAGAATATTAACGTCTTGCATATAGTAACCGTCAAAGGGTAGAGTGAACTGTCACCGCTGAGAGAGATTTCAACATTTCGACCCGCACACGTTGCCTGATGCTAATATGTGATTAGACTCTGGGTTTCAAATCCACCCTTGTGGGCAAGTCCGTAATTCCCGCTACGCCGCTGGAGAGGTTTAGTCTCACTATCAGCTTTACGATGTGGATAGGACCTGGTTTCGATTGAATCTTAAATCATCTCGCACGGCGAATGAAAAGGTACAAATCAGATTCAAATTTACATAAATCGTGTAAGTATATAAAAGCAAGTTCTGGAGCCTTGTCTAGTACGAGCATGCAATGGTCGCACCCGTAGTCAACACAGGAATTCAGACGGCGAAGGTAAGGATTCCCATATATACATCTTCCAGACGAGGTTTATTGACTGCAAACTACTACTCTAGTATTGCAACGGTACGTGAAGAACTTCATGCAGGGGTTTATACCATTCACATCCGGAATACGTGCAGTGGCCGGTCTAGGAGTTCTGGTAGGTCTACAAGCTATGGACGATATCACCCTAATGCTCCATAGATTTTTGACTATTTCTTAACGCTCGAACGTGAGGTGAGTATTTCTTCATAGAGTCCGAACATGTCTTGACAAATATTGCAAGGTTCGATGGACGTGGAACAGGCGCTGGAACATCACTCGTGTTCTTTTTGTAATTTCACGTTACATGGCCTTTGTAGCAGCTGGCATGACTTCATACGGCAAGCAGCTATCCACATCTCCTGGTGCGTGACATTGACGAATGACTAGCCGCCACTGCTACACGAGCGAACGAGAATGTTAGTGTCTTTTACTTTGTGATATTGTATGAACTCAAAGACATCGAATACAGTGCTCGCGCTTCGGTCAGGCTTCAAATGGTAATCAGTATCTTGAGCAGCCAGCGTTTTACTGATTTCATTGCAGCAATTCACATCATCACCATTGTAGCTGCCGAAGGTTCGCTCCGTATCTGTGGTGTCTTCTGGGCCTGAATCTGTTTCTTTCTTGTGCAGGTCTTTTGATCATTCGTACATATGCGTTCTGGAAACAGAACAACAAGTTCTTGGCAGTGTTACTGGTCTTGGCAGCAGTACGTTTGTCTGGTCGTGCGTGCTCATCCTCATCGTCTGTTGATATCGCGAAGTAGATTTGTATCGCGTGTGCTGTCAGTATCACACAAGTCATCGGTAATCTAGTGGCACATGCAAACCCTTCAGGTGTGTTTGCCTTTTCTTTCTTTCCTTGTTGTAGACGACAACTTTGCTTTTGAAGATCCCCACATAAGCAAGTGCACTTTTAAAGCGACTCGCAGCAGTGCAATTCAGTATGTCTTTCTCGTGGCATTTGAACTATGTAAGTGTATCGTTTCCGTTCCATCTTAGCGCGATTTTTCAACCCCATTCGCCTAGTGTTGATATCTTTAATGGTATTCAAGAAATATCAAGATTACAGAGATTCTGACAGCCGTCTTGTGAGAGCCGTCTTCCAGGGCGGAGTGCGGTATATGACTGCCATAATTTGTGCGGTGACCTTTTGTTCGATTAATATGTCCTGTACTCAAGCGCTTCTTCCAGCTGTTTCTGTAGCCCATATATTGATCATGTGTGTGGTGCCGGTAAGTTACATGGTGCATCTCATTCGATAAACTTTGCTAATTTTGGGAAGGAATCGTATGACGAGATCATGGACTTGTGCGTGGCAATTCACATAGAATGGTCTGACGAATAAAAAAACTGATGCACCATGACAGGCCGCAACTTGTCCTCCACAGTGTGTTGGCATCTCGTGTGCTGTTTAGTCTGCGTGAAAGTGACCAGAATGAATCGGATGGGGCGGTAGTAGAAATGTCGACATTTCGTCCAGCTCAGCGCGACCAAAGACATACTTCATCTGATTGATTATTCCCGGCAGTAGTGGGTTTTGTGTCGTTATTTTCAATCGTTGGCACAGAAATGCGTTTCTCGCTTTTTATGACGTTTCGTTCGCACACATTTTATTCGCACAGTATTGGAGAGTTGTTTCTTATGAAGCTGGATCTTTAGCTGATGTTCTTGCTCTTATTCGTGTTAGTGATGCAAGTCGAGATTCCTCCGTGTCGTTGTCTTTCCTGCACAGTTGCAATGTACCGCGTTCCGTTTCCAATCATAATAGGGTCGCTGTTGAATCGACGTCTGGTCCGCCGCGCATTCCTACTATCGACGGGTGGTATAATTCTCGACAGACGTTTCGATCTGTCTATCTGAATGGGTGCGACGTCGAGCTTGGATGCATACCAACATCATTTTATATCAATCACTCCACAGCCGGACAGAACCCGTGTAGCGGTCAGAGCACAGTGAACAAGAGAATCGGGATGCACACTTGTCTGAAACGTTGAAAGGTTAAATAATATAGTACTAAGATTAGGGGTGTAGTGCTACCAAAAACGGAAGGTCATATTTGTAAAATATCTCGCCGATTCTCACGACTAAAATTCAGAAACAACTTGGGCGGCAACGATAACACTCATAGCACTCGCAATGCTTCCACAGCTTATGATGAACGTCGTCGTCGTTACGCAGGAACTCATTCAGGACTGGGTTGCTCGTCGCGCTATGATGTTCCTACCTTGATCTTTGCTCTCGTTGCTGTGATCTGACCCGGTCTACCGCACGTGGGAGGTTAACCCTGCAGAGAGAATGTGGTAACCGCTGAGAGAGTCTCTAACATTTCAACCCGCACTCGTTGCTCTCCTGAATTTCAAATCCATCCTGCTGCCTGGAGAGGTTTAGTTTGATGATGCGGCAATGCGGATAGGACCTGGTTTTTGATTGAGTCACCTGTGCAGCTTATTTCAAATAATCTCGCGCAGCGAATGAAGCATATAATTAGAGTGAGTTCTAAAGCCAGCCTTATCTAGTACGAGGGAGTTCTAAAGCTAGCCTCATCTAGTGCGAGCGTGCAATGGTCGCTCCCATAGTCAACACAGGAATCCAGACGGCGAAGGTAAGAATTCCCAAATATTCATTGTCTAGACGAGGTTTATTCACTGCAACTACTACTCCAGTATTGCAATGGTGCGTGAACTTCATGCAGGGTTTTACGCCATTCACATCCTGAATATGCGCAGTGGCCGGTCTAGGAGTTCTGGTAGGTCTACCAGCCATGGACTCGGACGATATCACTCTAATGCTCCATAGATTTTTGACTATTTCTTAACGCTCGAAAGTGAGGTGAGTATTTCTTCATAGAGTCCGAACATGTCTTGACAAATATTACAAGGTTCGATGGACATGGAATAGGCGCTGGACCGTCAGTCGTGTTCTTTTCGTACTTTCACGCTACATCGCTTTTGTAGCAGCTGGCATGACCTCATACGGTGAGCAGCTACCCGTAGTATCTCCTGGCGCGCGACATTGACAAATGACTAGCTGCCATTGCTACACGAGCGAACGAGAATGTCGGTGTGTTTTACTTATGTGGTCGTTGTATGAACTCAAAGACATCGAATACAGTGCTCGCGCTTCGGCCAGGCTTCAAATGGTGATCGAAATCCTGAACAGTCAGCGCCTTGTCACTGATTTTCACTGCAGCAATTCACATTATCAGTATCGTAGCTGCCGACGGTTCGCTTCATGCTCCAGTGTCTTCTGGGTCTGAAATCTATCTCTTTCATATACAGGTCTTTTGATCATTCGTACATATGCGTTCTGGCAGAAGAACAAGAAACTTTTGGCATTCTTACTGGTCTTAGCAGCAGTACGTTGGTTTGGTCATGCGTACTCATCCTTATCGTCTGTTGATATCGCGACGTAGATTTGCATCGCGTGTGCTGTCAGTATCACACAAGTTGTCAATAATCTGGTATCACAACCAAACCCTGACCCTTCAGGTGTGTTTGCCTTATTTTTCTTTCCTTGATGTAGGCGACAACTTTGTTTTTCAAGCTCCCCCCACAAGCAACTGCACTTTTGAAGCGGGTCGCAGCAGTGCCATTCAATATGGCTTTCTCGTGGCCTTTGAACTGGGTAAGGATCTCGTTCCTGTTCCATTTAAGCATGACTTTTCAACCCCGTTCACCTAGTGCTGATGTCTTTAACGGTATTCAAGAGATATCAAGACTACAGAGATTCCGACAGCCGTCTGGTGAGAGCCGTCTTCCAGGGTGGAGTGCGGTTTATGACTGCCACAATTTGTGCGGTGACCCTTTTTCCAATTCAACATGTCCCGTGTTGAAGCGCTTTTCAGTCGTTTCTGTGGTCAATATAATAGTCATGTCTGTGGTCCCGGTAGGTTGCATGATGCATCTGCTCATTTGACAAAGTTTGCTAATGTCGGGAAGCAATCATATGACGAGATGATGGACTTGTGCGTGGCAAATCATTTAGAATGATTTGATAAAACTGATGCACCATGACAGGCCACAACTTGTCCTCCACAGTATGTTGGCATCCCGTGTGCTGTTTAGTCTGCGCGAAAGTGATCACGAAGTGGATGGGACAACATTACAGATGTCAACGTTTCGTCCAGCTTAGTGCAATCGAAGGCATACCTCACCCGGACTTGACTGATATCCTACAGTCACAGTATGTCCCGTCAGAACGTATACGTAGTATGAAAAAGATTTTGCCTATCAAGGGCACCACACTGCAGGAGATTGTTACGAAGTGCGATCATCTGCCGCTCCATCTGATTTCCCTGCTCTGCATCTTCATTGTCCTCCTCTGTATTGCCATTTACCTCCTCCAAGTCCAGTGAAATCGTTCTTGAGTCCGCATCTGTCCACTACATCTGACGGGACAGAATTAGCTCCTGAAGTTCTTGCATTGCAGAGACGCTCAAGATCTGCCAGCGTCACCTAACCAAGCCTCGATAAGTTCTTGTAGATGCTTAGAGCAGATTTTGGGGCCGAACACGGGGTAATTGCGCCTGTGGTTTGTTTTTCTCCGAGCGAAGGCGTGTTACTCCCTAACAATCATGCATTCACATGTTGTCCCTCTATGCCGATTTGTGAGTTTTTGAGAGCAAATCATATGGTTTGGTTTACATAAGCCTCGTGCGGTGGGTGGTTGTTCAAACGTTCACGATTAGTACTTGTTTATGTATATCACCTTGCTACGATCATTCAACGGGCGTGTCGCATTTCCTCTTCACTTCATATGTTTCTTCCAGGATATCTATTTTCAAAATAAATATCCTCTCATATGTTTGCAAGCAGTGCAGCATGCTGTTACCGTGTGCTCCATCAATAGTCTGCCTTGCTCTGATCTAGATCCCCGGGCCTTACCACCTACTGCATACGTGCTTGTTGCTAGCAGACCCTAGTTATGAGGACTCATGGTCTATGCTGCAACACAGCTTAATGCTTCCTTCCGCAGAGCTTCTAACCTAAACAGGTGCTTCTGGGTACATATATCTACCTCTCTGTAAATGACTTCCATTTCTCCTGATTCGTGCAGAATAGCGAGCTTCCGCGTGTTAATCCGTGCATAAATCACCAGCTTTTCAGTTCTCAGTACAACGCTGCGACAGATGCGTTTCTAGTTGTACCGGTTGTTTCGCCAGTGCTTGATTTTCGTAGTTGTTGCTCTTGGCTACCTCATCAATGGGAACTTTTGGCCGATTTTGCTGTACATTTGGATTAATTCATATACTCGCATCAATGACAGCAAATAACATGGGCCTCGTGTCTTCTGTCAGGCTATGTTCATTTGGCCGAGCGTGGGTACCCCTTTTGAAGCCCAGTTTGCTCTAAAATGCTTTCCAGTTGCTGTGGCACTGCCGCTTAGGGTAATCTCACGTGATAGGGTCGGACCATGCTCAGTGGTTTGAAGTTATTGTTTGTTGTCAGCAAATCACGTTTTTTGCGAGTAATGCTCCTGCCAGATTATATATATAATTGGTGGACCTTTTTTGTTGCCGTGGGATTGAAGAGAGTTGCGGTAAAAATGCAAAGCGGTTTCATTTAACTGCAGCAGGAACGTCAAACTGGGTCTAGGAAACGAGGCAGAGACTTGTATTTGCATATAAGCGGTATTCTAATGCTTGATAAAAAGAAGTAAACAATATATAGCGTGATTTAGTGACCTGAGAGACTTTGAGAAAATTCATGACATCGCGTTAAAACAGAGTCTCAGAGGGATGACTCAAAAATAACATTGGAAAGGTGTTATAATTGGCTGCGGAGATACGGTTAGTTAGAGGCAACTTGACCGGGTGCCATCGACTCACATTTACGCGGAAATAACCTCAGAGTCACTGAGCTTGTCATATGGACATGGCGCCGGAACATTCTCATCCAGCAAGAAGTACTGCTTGGACTCCCGCGATCCTTCGTCGCCGTAGTTCTTCAGCTCGGGGCTGACAGGGATAGGATCATACTTGGCGAGGAGGGCACGAACTTTTGCAAGCGCACCCGCGCGCTTTGCATCTGTGCTGAAGAGAATGTCAAAAATCCACTTTGGCTGGAAAACCATGGTCACTCCGGGCGCGTAACGCGTGCGCCTCACTTCGTGGGCCGGGGTTTGGATGACAGTAAAGAATTGTTCTCCGCCAAAGCAGAGGCACCATTTGTCCGTGTCAATGTCCCGGGGTACGTCTGAAGGCCAGGGTTTGTCATCAAGCTTGGCGAGACCGTTGAGGAGTTCCCAGAACAAAGAATTGTATTCCTCCACTGTTCGTGAGTTGATCTCATTTTGCTTGGCAAGAAGAACGAGGGAGGTGTTGGGGCCAAGCTGGTGAGCTTGAGGGAGGTATATGGAAAGCCCCTTGGCAATAGTACGGATATGGCGTGGGTCTGACAGGTCATCCGAGTCGATGAACAGATAGAGCTGGTCATCTGATTTAAAGCCCTTTGTAGCGTAGACGCAGGGGAATATTAATTCTTCATCGAGAAGAACTGCCCTATAGTCTTCATAGGCATTACGCTGCCATGTTCCTTGCGGAAATGTAGCAGTGACTTGCGCTCTGAAATGAATGGAATATCAGGGCACGGCCTCCAAGGGATGCACATATCCGTACCTTGTCAAAGGATTACTCTGTTGGTCGAATTGTTCGCGGTTAAATACAGCTCGAACGTAATTCTAGTCGTTGATCGTCAGCTCATCCATAACCGGTGACCAAAGATGTTTGATACTGACAATGAGGGAGAATAATGTATCACAGAGTGTCTTCGGTACATTGCGAGATTTCATCGAGGCAACATTGGCAAGAAGTATAATCACAACGCCTCCGATGAGCTGTGCAGCTAAAGTGTAGATGTCAAACATGATTGGAATTGGAGTGTTGAAAGTTAGAGTGCTTGAAGTAGTACTGAAAGTTGAAGCACTGAGGAATGTACTGAGGAATGCACTGAGTGAGGAATGTACTGAGGAATGTCTGGCAATGATGGTAGAGTTTTTATAGGTATCAGAATCCGATTCTGACGATGCTGATTTATTGTCCAGCTGAGAAGGATCGTCATCATCACAGTCAAATGATTGCCTTGTGAAACAGGCTGTGTGGGGTGGTGTGACTAGGCTTTGGATGACAGCACGCAAACGATAAAATGTTAGAGCATGACTGCGTCATCAATGACGCCTGGTTCTGTAACTTGGTAAGGTTTTGTCAGATTAGCTTGAGAAAGATCATCATGTACATGTATGTAGAGCACGTAGTACTGCAATTTGTGAACAGCTGGCGCCCGAGATCGTGACTTTTCGGCAACCTACACACTTGATTTAGCCATAAGTCAAGAGGCCGAACAAGCCAAGAGAGCTTACATGCGCCACGATGCTTATAACCAAAAACGGGACAGACTACACCTGTAGACGAACACCGTTCATCAAAGTTCCCCGACACTGAGCACAAATACAAGCCAGAAATAAGCCTATACCAGCTCCTTGTAAAGCGTATTCAGTGATTCGAAAAGAGAATGCACGTTGGCTCAAGTCTGCATGTGGGGAAATATTGATGATGATCACAGTGATATTTCTGAATCTTGAGTTTGCCTCGGATTGTCGATGATAATCGGAAACCTTCACATTCGTGGCAGCGCCCGCTGTTCCGAATTCACCATTATACTTGTCGACCGTCCAGAAGAGTCCCACATGACAAAGGGCAAGCCTGCGTGATTACTTGGTGCCATTGAAATTACAAATCAAGTGCGGAGAGTGGCATGAGAAACGGATATAAAATCCGGAAACACCGACTCAATTGTAAGATCCGGCGAATTCCGTCAATTTGAGGCATATCTGCACTTTCGACGTGTCAAGCCAGCCAAACAGCATCAGCACGGTGTTCCGCTTTCATTCCGGAAGGAGAAGGATCCCCATCTGACGACCTAGTCTCAAGTTTAGGCACCTCTCCTCAAATGCCTTTGTGCACTTTCTTGTATCGTCGTGCGCTGCCATCGGACCCCTGCACAGTGCACACGGTCTTGCCATGCAGAAGCGACAGCGATACACTTCGTTCCTGACTCATCCATTGTACCCCGGATCTGTGTATTCATTGATATGTTTGGCGTATACCGCGGATAAGTCGAGTGCGGCTACCATAGGCCCCCCCTCTATCGGTATTCAAAGTTGTTACGCGTTTGTATATCCACCCCCACGCTAGTCTTCGTAAGTACTCACGGTCTCCCTATTTTCTTAGTTTAGTTCAAATGTAGCTGATTTTCTATCAAAATCTTGTCGTGTATGACCAATGCGTAACGCTGTAAAATAACATGAGCTAGTTTTGGGACGCAAGATCGTATATAACGGCCTGCGTCTTGGCAATGATCAATCAGCAGGATGAATATGGAGGCAACTTCTGATTTTGTTCAAAGGCGAAAGACGAAAGGTGCGGGAAAGAGATCTACAACGAATGTACATGTATTTGCGGTCAGTGTGGTATGAAATGAGTATCTCACCCCAATCTCAGACGTCGAAGACTGAGGTGTGAAGCTAAACGAAATCTTCTTCGGTGTAGTTGGCAGCTTTCGTGGTGGCGTGCAAAACATCAGCTCTATTGATTAACAATGCTATCTGATGTTACAGGTAGTATTAAAGGTACATGACGCTTCTGAGCTTGAACGATAAGCCATGATGGGTGGTGGGCCATAGCAGCTCACGGCTCAGAATCTAAAGATTCTAAAACAGAGTCGAAGGATGCACGGAGTTAAGTGTAATATCTCATTTTTTTTTAAAAAAAAAATGCGGACGAGACGCTAGCTGTTGAAAGGGAAGTGGTGTGCGGAAGTCGAACAGCCGAGGACTTGCGAGTGCTACGTGATAGTATGAAGCAAGAAGGTGGGAACCCGGAAAGCTGAGTAGAACTCAATACAATGAGTTATGTAAGCAAGTGTTTCGACTCCGTGATATGCAACTCACGACCGTAACTAATGTAGCCGATACTGATGCCAACACATCAGTTTACGATGCGGTTTTGTTAGCATCACCCGTGCTGCACTACAAGGTGATTTTAATCGTGCACAGCGAATGAAATTTTCGAGTTGGATCAAATCCTTGGATTCAAATTTAAATCATGTAAGCGTATAAGAACGAGTTCTGCATATCAGGAGTTTTATATAGCAATGGTCGCTCCCATAGTTAATACGGGAATTCAGACAGCGAAGGTAAGAATTCCTGGATGTATTTTCCAGATCAGTTTATTGACCACAACTACTCTAGTATTGCAATGGTACGTGAATTTCATGCAGGGGTTTACACCATCCTCATCTTGAATGTGTGCAGTGGCCGGTCTAGGCGTTTTGGTAGGTCCACAAGCCATAGACAATATCTCCTCTTATGCTCCATAGATTTTTGACTATTTCTTAACTCTCGAACCTGAGGTGAGTAAGCGTCTCTTCATAGAGTTCAAACATCTTTTGACAGATGTTCCAAGGTTCGATGGACATGGAACAGGCGCTGGAACGTTACTCGTATCCTTTTCGTAATTTCACGCTACATGGCATTTGTAGCAGCTGGCATGACTTCATACGGTGAGTAGCTACCCGCATCTCCTAGTACCTGACATTGACGAATGACTAGCTGCCATTGCTACACGAGCAAACGAGAATGTCGGTGTGTTTTGCTTATGTGGTCTTTGTATGAACTCAAGGACGTCCAATACAGTGCTCGCGCTTCGGCCAGGCTTCAAATGGTGATCGATATCCTGAACAGTCAGCGCCTTGTCACTGATTTTTACTGCAGCAATTCACATCATAAGTATCGTATCTTCTGAAGGTTCGCACTATGTCTGTAGTTTCTAATGGGCCTGAAATCCGTCTCTTTCATATACAGGTCTTTTGATCATTCGTACATATGCATTCTGGAGAAAGAACAATAAGCTCTTGGCAGTGTTATTGGTCTTGGCAGCAGTACGTTGGTCTGGTCATGCGTGCTCATCTCATCATCTGTTGATATCGCAATGTAGATTTCCATTGGGTGTGCTGTCAGTATCACAGATGTTGTCAGTAATCTAGCGGCACCCACAAACCCGTCAGGTGGGTTTACCTGATTTTTCTTTCTTTGTTGTAGACGACAACTTTGTTTTTCAAGATCCCCCCACAAGCAACTGCACTTTTGAAGCGAGCCGCAGCAGCGCCATTCAGTATGGTTTTCTTGCAGCCTACGAACTGTGTGAGGACATCTCCTTTCCGTTCCATTTAGCACGACTTTTCAATCCCATTCACCTAGTGCTGCTGTCTTTAACGATTTTCAAGAGATATCAAGACTACAGAGATTGCAACAGTCATCTAGTGAAAGTTATCTTCCAAGGCGGAGTGCGGTATATGACTGCCACCATTTGTGCGGTGACCTTTTGTTCGATTTAATATGTCCTGTACTCAAGCGCTTCTTCTAGCTGTTTCTGTGGCGAATATATTAGTCACGTATATGGTGCCAGTAAGTTTTGTATTGCCAATCTGCTCATTTGACAAAGTTTGCTAATCTTGGGAAGCAATCATATGACGAGATTATGGACTTGTGCGTGGCAAATCATTTAAAATGATTTGATAAAACTGATGCACCATGACAGGCCGCAACTTGTCCTCCACAGTATGTTGGCATCCCGTGTGCTCTTTGATTTGCATGCAAGTGATCGGAATGAATGGGATGAGGCGACATTACAAATATCGACATTTTATCCAGTTTAGCACAATCCAAGCTTTCATTTGCACTTGGTTAACCATCCTACAGTCACAGCACGTCCCGTCAGAACATATACGTAGCATAACAGAGATCTCGCCTATCAAGGCCCACCAAATTGGAGGATACTGTCACGAAGCACGATCATCTGCCGTTCCATCTGGGTTCCCTGCTCTGCATCTTCGTTGTCCTCGTCTAGATTGCTCTTCACCTCTTCTAGCGAAAGCTTTCTTGCATCCGCACCTGTCCAGTATTTCTGACGCGATAGAAGCAGCCCCTGACGTTCTCGCAGGAGACGTTCAAGATCTGCCAACGTCACCCAACCATGCCGAGTGTTATGCAACCATATAGACCCCGCAAGTGAGACGCTTTGCAAAGAGGGGCATGATGCGTGCCACCTTGACGCGAGGGTAGCCGTCAAAGTTTTGTCGTGTAGTGCATCAGCTTTATTTCGCGACATCAGTGTCAGCGACCTGAGGCATTCAAAGCCAGAGAGGAATTCAGGAAAGGCCTCGAGAAGTTCCTGTAGATGCTTAGAGAAAAAGTCGTACATGGGTAAAAGATGGCGCACTTGCGAGACTACTCCATCACTCGAGTAGAAGGCAAACGAATTCAGTCCGGGTAAATTCTTTGCGATCGCTTTGAAGGCTGCGAGCGCACTCGGTGTGTCGCTTAGACGGGTGATGACCTGCAGTGCGGTCAATGGGCCGGTAGAATAGGAAAGGATGTTCGATGCAGTATTGAGGATATCGTCTTTGAAAAGCGCCTGATGCAGCAAACAAAGTTCTACTTCCTTGATTTTTCGATTGGGAACAACTGCAGCCAATACCAAAGGGGACGCAGAGACCCTTGTAAGCTTTGTGAGAGTATCGCAAGGTAGAGCCATGTCATTCACGAATTTGCCGCCGAACATGGCATTGCGCAGTTCCGTTTGTTCTGTAATTAACTTAATGAAGTCCATATCCCAATCGAGTGTGGTAGTGAGAGAACGAAGTCGAAAAGAGCATCCATGTAGATATCTTGCGTAGGGGCCGTCGAGGAGAATTGTAAGATCGGTGAGCGAAGACGCGTTTAGCAAGGCACGACGCAGCAGGTTGAAGTAATTGAGGAGTACGTCATAATGTCGAGTAGCATCAGACAAGATCAGAGTTCGAGTACAAGAAGCAAGATGCGGGTACGATGCAAAACATCTGAGACATGGTATGATCATGTCCTCACCAGGTTCAACGTTCCGGTAAATCACGCGCTGGGAAATGAACCGAAAACTGGAGCATACGAGTGCCGTGTTCACCAGGTCTGTATTCCCCAGGTATTTGAGTATGTGATGTATGAGTTCGGAAGGGATAGACAGGACTATGGTACCTGTGTCAGAAAATAGTCAAAGGGATCTGCTAGACGTACCGCCACCAGGCCTATCCTGAGATCGATCGATGTGAGTCTCAGGATGGTCCACACCAAATTTCCTCTCCATCATGGAAGAAAATATTTCTGGAGTGCTTTGCATAACGTGTGTGATATCCAGTGTGAACTTGAAGGAATGATTTCATGAAAAAAACAGTTACAATATGATAATTCCGATGACGTAATGTCCATATCAGGACGTATCGATGGTAGCTAACGTGCCAATGAATCTTTGCTTTACTACTATGGACTTCAGGTCGTAGTCATCATTCCAATTCAAATAATTATAATAATATTTGCAGCACATGGCCACCTCTCCACGACGCTCAAGAAGACGCTTCTCTTCCGCATCCATTGGTGCGACATGGAATGCGCAGTTTTCACCACTTTCCACACCAGTTTCGCGTGGTCGCCGCAGAAGGTCCTCATCCGTCGACTTTGAAGATGTTATTCACACTTCAGACGTAAAGGACGAGAAAACGAGAAGTGCACCACGCAGTGGCCACAACCTTGAATGCGAGAGGATGCTTGAACCCGAACTCGAAGTCCATCCATTGACATATGCATCACTCCCTGCGACTCCTATACTGCCGTCTCCGCCTGCCTCTCCACCTCCCATAGCTCGGAGTCAAGAGCTGCAGCAAGACCAGCCTTTATTTTCTTTATGGGACTACCTACGGGAAGAACTTCTCGCGACTGACTTCGACTCACACCAGGAGTTGAAGTGGGAGAGGGTGAGCAATTTCCTGAGTATCCCTCTGGCAATGGAAAAGGTGCGTATAGATTCATAGTGAAATTACGGTGCTCATGAGGCGTAGATCATTGGCTTTGGCTTCATACTTTGTTTAGACTCCTTCCTCTATACTTTTACGATACTACCCATCAGGTTTGCACTGGCGACCATCCGATTTTTTCTAAATCTCTTCAAAGTTTCCAAATTGCCTCTCCCACCATCACAAAAAGCTGACATTATTCGAATGATGCTGCTTGTGGTCTCTATTATGGTGTTGGCTCCGCTCACGGATGCCAGTAAGATCTATCACTCCATACGCGGACAAGACACTATCAAACTATATGTAATATTCAATGCATTAGAGGTACGTTCGTTTATATGTCGATTCAACCGCACATGACTGAACTTTTACTGCCTTAGATCGCTGACCGCTTGTGTGCATCGATAGGGCAGGACATCCTTGACTGCCTATTTTCTCGCTCGACGCTCGAGGTACTTTCTCGTCGAGTGCCGGTTACGTCTAATACGCTTCGCCCATTTGTGTTTTTTGGGCTAGCTACTCTCTACATTGGTTGGTCTCTGTTAACAGGCATTCATATCGCGTTGATAACTTTGTTTTAGTTTGCCACACATTAGTGATGATTTACCAGTTGTTATCTCTCAATGTGGCCGTCAATTCATATGACCACGCACTCCTGACTCTTCTTGTCTCGAATCAGTTCGTCGAGATTAAAGGAAGCGTCTTCAAGAAATTTGAGAAAGACAACCTCTTTCAAATCACATGCGCAGATATCGTGGAACGCTTTACACTCTCACTCATGCTTCTTATTGTTGCATGCCGCAATTTAATCGAGTTGAGTGGATCTGAGTTCGACTTTACCGGTGGATTTGCCCTTCCAGTGAGCTTTGGCTGGTTCATAGGCAACAATATCCTGTGGACGATATCCTACGTAGGTTATTGACATACCACACCCAACCTCGCTTACGAAGCTCGATCAGCCCGTTGTGACAGTAATGGCATCTGAGATCCTCGTGGACTGGCTGAAACATGCATTCATCTCTAAGTTTAATCACATACGTCCATCTGTATATGAGCGATATACAGATGTGCTATGTCGCGATTTGGCCAGTGGGAGTGCTATAGGACGCCTGGGTGCTCGAAAGGTCTGACGTTTGACTTTCACTCCTAATTTCATTCATTGACCGAATGCAGCATAGCTATGTTGATCAATCGCCATTAGTGGCCCGGCGACTTGGCTTTGCCTCCCTTCCGCTTGCAGTTGTTGTTATTCTAGTTGGCCTTCAGTCATTAACTCTCGTCTTCTCTCTTCGTTTTGAAGATGAATGGAGTTGGGATGCTCTCATAGATATGTCAAATGCCGAAGTCGTACATTTACTCAAGTGGGCCGTGATGGGGGTGGCATTTTGGTTATGGTAGGATTTCTGTTGTTGTCATAGTTCTGCAAAAGCTTACTCTTTCTAGTTTTCTCGCTTTAAAAGTTCTTCTTGGTGTGAATCTTATCTCATATGCGAGTCGTCGTCGAGAAGGCATGGAGGCCCGTGCTACTGCGGACACCATCAACGACTTTGGGCGAGACCCAATAGGTGAAGGTAAGGAGGAGCGCGAGTACAATAAGCAGCTCAAGAAGATGGTGGATGATTGGAGAGACGACGCCGTACGGGTAAGTGAGATGGGTGAGGGGCGTATGCGTGGCGGTAATGGACAAGGCAGCGGTGGTGACAAGAAGCGGGTCCCCCTTGAAGAGTTGACTCGATTTACAATGGTGAAACGTATCTGGTGATAGAAGATTGCAGCAGCGAGTTATAAGAATGCTTCTGCTACATGTGATAAATCGACTGCACTTAAGTAAAGAGCATGTTGTGAGTGGGAGTACACGGTGCGCTGTGCTTAAGCAGACAGTGATCTCCCTCAAATGGCACATAATTTTTATCTCATAGATCATATGCATACAAATATACAAGACAGGCACGACAACGCCAAATCTCTTTGAAGTTTCTGCATAAGCTTCCTCCGTCTTCACAAGATCATTGATACAATAAACCTAATAAGACCGCTGACTGCCAGTCTCCATAATGACATTAGGTTGTCTACACAACGATGCGGCGGTAGGGACCACCCGCACGTACATCGAGAGGACGGCCTTGGGCAACGGCCATCTCTATGTTCTCCCTAAATGCCTTGACGTAACATTGATCAACCATGTCAAAACGAATGGGGCGCAAGTGCTCTGGGGTACGTTCGGTACAAAGAGGCGCTATAGGATATTGGTTAATCATTCTACAGATGACGTTTGGGTCCTGCTCCTTTAAAAATTTACGGTAGTCCCCGTGAGGTTTGGAAGAATGATCATGGTCTGGTGCAGCAGTGATTGGAATAGTAACATGGGATGGAACGTGAGGAATGTTTACGCGTGAGCTGTGCGCAGAGCGCGAGATGAATGGATGTGGAGAGTAAGTGGTAGGAGCAGGGGTGTACGAGCAACCAGTGCTCGAATTAGCGCGAATACGTTCTACTAGTCTGCCATTGCGAGTATTGTCGTCAGGGATCTGCAGTACACCTGCTGAAGCTTGATCAACGGTGGCCTTAGGCCTCTGCGTTGTGTGGAGAATGGAGGGGTAGACTTGTTGACCACTTGTGCTCGAATTGCGGAAAGGCACTTGAGGCCCGATAGTCTGTGAGTTCAAAGAAATCGTTCTGAAACCGCTGCGAGGGAACCCCTCAGTTGGTTCAGAGGAATGGGGAAACTTGGCCAGCAAGTCCGTGCGCGTATCAAAGTCTGCACGAGTTGGTCCATGGTAGTAGGTATGTTGAGACAGTTTTCCATGATAGATCTCCAGTATCCCTGGAGCTTGCTCGACATACACAATATCGGACTTTTTGAGGGGGGTCTTGCCACGGTATACGGGTTTGGGATTAACACGATGCTCGGGCGTCCTCCCTTCTAAAGAAAGGAGGTACGGCATTGATTTGGAGTGCTTAAGAGATGCCGTCTTGTCGTCATCTGACCTGAGGGGTGTGGATTACGATAATGACAATGAGTAGAACATGAGAACGGCCGACTCACTTTGAGAGCATTCTCTTGAACGGATTCATGATTAATATATGGCAAAGTTACAAAGAATATGAGGTAGTTGTCTGTCTGGCGGTGGAGAATATTCGCATTTTAATATATATAGGTTGCACTACTGTGGACGCACCATGTCATCCATCCACAACCACAAAGCAAATCTTCGAAATCCAAAAACAATACAAGTGTGGATGCTCTAACCTTGCTCTTGCCAATGCCTTCATTGCCCACTTATAATCACATCAACGCCATTGATGTCGCCCCATTTGTGTTACAAAGGCAGAATATGCAATGACCAACCGATGGTCTGTCACAGTTGCCACAGACCAACTCGATGAATGCATAGCGCGCCTGCTCGTTATTTCTCGAGAACTTCTAGCTTTAGATGAGATGGAAATGACCGGAAATGACGATCAGCACGCTGACTCGGATATATGAGACGCCAGGATAGGGCATGATGTGTAAAGAGATGCTGAAGAGAACAACTGGCTTCAAGTTGCTCCCTTTGAGTGTCTCACTTGACTGTCAAAACGGCTCAGCGTACCTTTAAAGCGCACGTGACTGCACCGACACCTATTGGAATCAAAATATGGAATGAAATCCGGGTTTTCATCTAAAGCTGATGTACATTGTGAATGGTCAAGCAAGTATCCAACGGAATTACGCACAAAAACCACGTGGCCATTACTTATGGGCCATAGCCTCCAATATTCTTGATCTTTGAGATAATTGAATCGGCTGCTCCAAGGCACCCGGTGGGGCTATACAGAATGTTGGCGCGGCACTGGAGTCTGGCAGTGTACCATAATTCTATGCTGTGCAATTTTGATCACGTGCACGTTGAATCACTGCTTTCTGGTATGGAGGAATGACGTCATATTTCCTGTTTGCACCAGTCATCGTCATGCAAGTGCCAGCGCTCTTGGCATCTGCCAGTGTGACCCGCAGCGCGCAGCCTGGACTTGAAAACCGATAAAGGTCGCTGTTCCCGCACATAAAGGTCTATTCATCATCTCTCCGTTAAACTATCAAAATGGCAGCATCAGGCGCACTTCCTGGTCTCTTTTTCTGCTTTTCAGCAATGGTTCTTCTCATTTTTGTATGTTCCATCTAATCTTATCAGTTATCATGTTTTTTGACAGTGTGATCATTGACAGGTTTCTGTGTCATCACCAACATGGAACACCATATCCTTTCTTAATGTCAACCAATACTCCTTTGGTGTATTTGGTTATACAGGCTCGAAAGTTCAAGTTGGTTACTACTTCCCTCTACCAGGAGACATCAACACAGGAACACTTCACAGTCTCACCTTCGTTCTTATCCTTTACCCAATTGCCGCTGGGCTTTCCGGTCTTGCATTCCTCTTCGGAGTCTGTGGTGCTGGATATCATCGGGCGGGCACCGTCTTTATGAGTTTACTCGCTGGACTTGCTACACTGTGCACTTTGATTGCATGGACCATTAGCATGTCTTTGTTCGGTGTCGTCAGAGAACGCCTGAGAAACGTCGGCATCAACGCGAATTGGGGAAATGCGAACTGGATCGCGCTTGGCGCGCTGATTGCGCTGCTTCTAGGCTCCTGCACCGCAGCATGTGGAGTATTTGGAAGCTACAGGCGTTCGAGGAGGTAGTTCATGAGCAGTGGATGGTTTAAGGAATATTATTGGACTGAGCGACCGATGTCATGAACTTTTATCGATTCCACATGTAACGATGTACATGCCTGCTACGTTATGCTTGTTCAATTACTGTGTATTTAGAATACCCGATAGTTTGTCCTCAACGTCATTAAATCCAATCGAGATGTTACATATACTCTAGCTTCAAGTTGCATGTATGAAGTTCATGCATATCATATTACACAGTTGATCAACATTGAGGTGTACAATGTACAGGTGTGGCGTATATCGCTATGCATCATCTTCGACAACCAGCACAGATTTTCCAATATTGTTTCCAACTAGTAAATCAACAAGTGCCTCACCGACCTTGTCCATACCATGATACACATGTTCCAGATATTTCAATTTTCCAACAGCCAAATCTCGTGGAACAGTATCGTGGAATTCATCCAGGTACTTATCTGCCCAGTCGATCACAACCAAACCCTGCATCCTAGATTGTGAATGAAAAATTGAGAACTGTGGGCAAGGAGTGCTTTTATTGGAACAGCTTACTTTGCTCGGTACCTGTTCAATAACCACAGGTTCTATCTTCGTTGTTAGCGGTTAAAAATCTTCAAGAAGAAATGTGCTCACTCGAATGCCATACGCTTCGTTCGTGCCCAAGTTGTATTGACTGATCATCCCGCAGATAACGAGTCTAGCATTGCGGGCTAAATTATCTATGGCAGCTTCGAGGGTCGGACCACCGACAAGGTCAAAGTAAATGTCAATCGGGCCATGTGCCTTGAGCTCTGCAGCAGTATCCGCAGTTTTGTAGTTGAATACATGATCTGCCCCGAGTGATTTCACCAAGGAGACCTTCTGGTCGCTACCACAAGATGCGATGACTTTCAGTCCTTGTGCCTTGGCAAACTGAACCACCAGACTACGAAATCTTTTTTTAAAAAAGCAAGAACAAAAGGTAGGATGACACATACTGGCCTACAGCACCACACGCTGCGGATATAAAGAGCGTTTCACCTGGTTTAGGGTTGCTAATGTCCTTGAGTCCATAATATGCTGTCTGCCCAGTCATTCCAAGGATTCCAACATAATACCGCCATGGAAGGTTGTACTTGTTGTCAAGGACTTGTAGACTCAAGCCCTTCATTCCTAGGGCATTAGCGTCTATTGACGGGATGACGCTGTAGCGTTGATAGTCTATAATAATATAATCAATAATAGGTGCCGCAGACCTTATTGGGAGCATACGCACACATGAATCCATATACATATTGTCCGGTTTGAATCAAGGGCGTCTCACTTCGCAAGACCACAGCAACGCTGAAACCAGTAATTCTGTGAGAGCATCAGATCCATTGAATTTCAATATTTCCAAGTTGGCTTACGTTTCGCCAAGGGGGAATGCATCAATATCTCCTTGGATATCAATGGGTCGCATGCGATTGCGCATATAGGGATCAAGACTGAAGGCGAGTGCCTTGACAAGGATACCTCCTTGAAGTGATACATTGTCGAGATCAATAGACAGTGTATTGTCAACGATCAAACATGTTTTAGGATTTGGCAAGCCATTGGGGATTTCGTTGAATATGATACGCGGATTGGTTGTCATGATGGTACGAGGGGATGAGGCGAACTCTGCTGCATGCTGTAAACCTTTCACCGACTGTTATAAACAATGCAGGGTGAACGGATAGGCCCCCTGAAGCTCACTCATAGTATGCCTGTCGGGCTAGCAGTAACCTCATTTTGGCCCTTGGGTCTCAAATCTGCTACTGTAGAGATACTAACTTTAAACATAGTTGGGCCGTGACCATGTCACACACTTAGCTGCGTTGTTTTGGATGCAACATGCCCTTATTTAGCTTGAAACATATTTTTTAGATACCATAATGTGACTCAATTCAGACAGTCTGGTGACCCCGTGACGAAGACTAAGTCAGTGTAGCTGACCAGTCTCTTCGGAATCTTCTACGGAATGCATGCTATTCCGCGAGAGTGTTAGTGCATTCATAAAGATGGGTTAAATAGTTCATTTCGAAACAAAAATGATATACATGATGTAAATTAATTCCTCACATGGAGTTAGGGAATATATGTGGACGTAAAGACAAGAGTCAATATTTATGTACTAGCCCAGAGAATCGTTATTATATCAGGGCTGGAGAAGGGTGAGTTCGTTCTGAGTCATAACCTTTCACGTCCAACAAAGATCGTTTCGTCACCTCAAGATAAGTGAGCGATCACTGCAGAAACATCACCTACATGGAGCCGAGAGCAATATAATCCAGAATTTTTGAATCAGCAAAATGATACAGGCCATCGGAAGGTGAGAGTAAATGCAAGCGGTACCTAGTAGATGGAAATGATATTCAATGTAGAAATGTCTCAGCATTCACTGTAAGGTGGATTATGACGTTTTTGTCTGGCTGACCTCCCTTTTTGATTTCATTGAAATTCTTCACCATTTATAAAGAAAGTTGTCTGTTCAGTGGTCTTACGTCCCTACGGGCAGGGAACAGACCGAAGTTCTGTCGTTGTCGTGGGGACCAGTCTTGGGGCCTTGAGGGTTGAACTGCTATGAGAATGCCACTATTAGTCTAAGTTAAGGGTCTGTGTGCCGCATCAGGTACATTATCAAAACCACTGTCTGGGGTTAGAGTCCTGACCCAATCCTGACCTACACAGGTGTATCTCTGTTAGGTGTTGTGGCCTGAAGACAAACAGAAATTACACTAAAATTTTAAAAGTGACTTCTCGTAAGTCGTTATATTTTTATGATTGTCGATACTCGCAATTTCTTTAGAGGTGTACGGAGTCCTCAACTTGTGACTACTATTTGTCACCCATGTCACATTAGTATCAAGACGCGGCTGTGCCTTAGCTGACTCCGCTTGAATTTGTCGAGGGGTAGACTGACCAATTTCCAATTCTTCTGATGCCCTCATTCCAAATTTAGCAGGTGTATAAGTTCACTGCATTTTGGCCTCATTGAAGCGGGCCTTTCAGACTCGCGACATCCACATGCTGCGCAGCTTCAAGTATGTATACTCAAGCTGGACGGGCTGATTTTTCTCTTGTATGCGTAGATTCAGAATGGCTATCCTTTCTGTTGTTGTTCTTTTCGGCCTGCTTGTGACCTCTACTTTTTTCAAAAGCTCACCCCTTTCCCCGAGTCTGCAATTGGTGATGTCGAGCAACGATCCATTTCCGTCACCAGTTGGTGGTGTTCCAATGACTTCTGACTTTTGGACATCGATCCTTTTTTCCTTACTATATTTCGCGCTCATACCCATCTTCGTTTCCCGGCTATATAATAAACATTCGCGGGTCATTGTGAGCATTAACGCAATGATCACAACCATAGAAAGGTGAAAAAGGTTTCTTCCTGCCTTAACGCGCGTTGCCTCATGCCACCTCCCAGAGTCATAATCTTCTCCCTACGAGCCTGGCAATCCCGCAATCCAGTGGAAAGGATATCCCCGGCTTTGACGACTTATATGCAAGTCTCGATTGCTTTGCCATATATTGCCATAGCACACGACGTCGTGGTTCTTTTGCGCTGCATGTATGTGAACTCTACCAAGGGTCCAGCAGGTTTTATAGATCCGCAAGATTCACCTGTCGCTGCTTCAATGTCATCCTCTATGCATCCTCTTTCCCCGTTTCACAGTGCCTCGCTGCATCTTTCGGATGACATACATGACGACCCAAAAAAGCGGGTTTTCTATCGCTGGTTTACCGATGTGTTGAATTTGGCATTCCTCGCTGCTACTATCCCAGGTATAATTGGTAACGCGCATTACCGTGGTGGAATGGATAATGCAAGCACAGCAAACGAGGTGATGATCACCAGGTGCATTAGATCTTCACCCGCACAGCTCCATCTTACATAAACATCTTCATCTTTGTACAGATACCTAAGCTCCAGTATTGCTCTCTTCCTCATATTTTTCGTGGCAGTTCTGGTCGTTCGCGCCAGAAAGCTACCCAAAGTGGAACCTATTCACGTTGCCCTACTTCTTTCCATCCTCGTTTGCACCGTAAGGATCCGCGTTCTCTGCTTTGTTCGTTTACATAACAGTATGTTTTCCCAAATGTGCAGGCATCCTCTGCGATCTTCCGACTGTTGTTCATGTATCACCGGACGACCTCCCTTACATCAACAGCACCAGGGTCAGGTAACACCTCTTTAGAAAAGGCGACGTTCTATATATTCCACATGCTCAGTGACTGGCTGGCCGTCGCTCTGCTGCTCGTTCCGAATATCAGGGCCATTTTCAAGACGGGCATGTGGGGGGACTGGAGAGCCATTGATCCTCCTCTGAAAGAACAAGAATGGGCCAGAAAAAGGAAGGAAGCGAAAGCAAGAAGGAGTGGGCTTATCGTTTGATGCGCAGGTCGCACACGGAAGGACGTAGCATCTGATTTATCAAACAACACTTTATTATACGTATCTGAGCACCTGTATCATTCTCGGCTAGGATACTGGGTCCCATATTTATACTGAATACCGAATTCTTTGCATATCATTAACTCAGCAGTTGATGAATTGAAGAAACATAGCTAGCTGCTTAGTATTTGCAAATTACGGTAACAAAAGTCAGTATCACGTTGTATTGAATGTTGCCATAATCAAACATAACCCCTAATCTTAAGTAAGTACCTTGAGCAACATTGTCAGACGAAACTAATGGAGATTATCATGAAGAGTGTCATCCTCTACTACTTGCGCTTTGTGAAAGTGATATGAAGGTCGTGGGGAAGCGTTAAGGCAAAAGGGGAGAAGGCGTTCTTCAAACCATCTCGATGAATCGAATCTGCTGGTAATGTCCACTCGTACTCCCGCAGCAACATCACGGCTAGAGCACGCTGCTCGTAAAGCGCAAAGTTACGAGCAGGGCACTGCCGAGGTCCAGAGGCGAAAGCAACCCAAGCATCCTTGAGATTCGAACTGTCCTCAGTCTTCTCGAGGAAGCGGTCGGGCCTGAAAGCATTAGGGTCACCCCAGACGTCGTTGCGGTGATGAAGGGCGTAGATGTTAAATATGAGTGAAGTGTTAGATGGAATGTAGTACTTTCCAAGGGTGGCATCTTTCGCGGTGACACGAGGGACGATATACGAGACAGGAGTGTTGATACGAAGAGCTTCGCGGATGCAAGCGTTGAGATAAGGTAATGACGCAGCGGAGAGGGTATCAACGCTGGGATCAGAAGTAGGTCCAAGAATACGAAGAGTCTCTTCGCGCGCGGCGGCTTGAATTTCTGGATGAATCGCAAGGAAGTAAATAAGAGTGGAGAGAGCTCCCGCAGAAGTATCCTAAGATACATTCTGTAATCAATGTCCGCTATGAAAGGCAGCGCATTTGACTTACATGACCAGCTATGAAGAGGACGACCATATTATCACGAAGCTCCTCCTCGGACATTGTAGGCTCTTTTAGCATGAAAGTCATCATGTCATCTCCAGGGTCGGTGCGTTTTGCTTGGAGCAGCATTTGAAACTTATCAACCAAATCGTCCATGCGCTTGATGACTTTCTTGCGAGGAAACACCTTCTCAAAGAAGGGCATAAGCAGGTAGATAGGATTGGCAATATCATGCATAATGCCATTGTACTCTTTGACGAACAAAGACTCGGTGTGAATAGCATCAAAGTCGTGCCCAAGGACTGAAGACCCAACTGCATCGAGGGCAAAACGCTGCGCGAGTTCGGCGAAGTCGACAGTATGGGTGTCATTCTCATCTGAGGGCGGGTTTATGACATCAAAGAGGTTCCTGGACAGGTATGTGAACTGGTCGACAGGGATAGAGAGATTGAACGCGTCTCGGATGACTGTGGAATGTTTCTTCCATCGGTCACCATTTGACATGAGGATGTTTGAGCTCCCGATGAATCGCCATAACAAGAGACCATCGGGGGGTAGCTCTTTCGGGTATAACAAAGGGTTCTCTGTCATTTCAATCGCAAGCTGGACGACGATAAACGAGAGCTTAGTGACAACACGAAGTGCATACCTTGTGATCAATAATGTGAACCATCCATCGGCCTAGCGCCCACACGAGAACAAGTCCTTCGCCTCTCTCATTTGCGTATGGCAAAATGAGGCGCTTGATGCGCACATCCTCGACCTCACCTGATAGATAACTAACCAGAAGAGGGAAAATAGGCACACGAGGGAGATGGCGCAAGTGGGATGGCACGGTGGACAGTCGAAAAATCATAAGTGTGGCTGCAAGACTGGAAAGGGTCCACAAGAGTGTAGCAGGATCCATGACGAAAATGTGAGGGGGCACTTGTACGAATGTCAATCGTATATCTTTAAGTACTACTTCAGGGGAGCTAGAAGATGGGAAGAGGCAGTGATACTTCAACGTTGCGCAGCGGCACAAGCGAGAATTCACATGTTTTCAGCACTAACGAAATCGGGATAATCCAAGGGAGCTGAAGCGCTGATCTTCTGACAGATGATATCTAGCTAGTGGGGTAAAGATCAATTGCAGGGTCTTAACATCATTATTGCCTACTTTGGAAGACTTGAAAGTATAATTTCTGTTTTGCAGCTAGTCGGGTTTTCTATAAACCTGTTTGTTGATCCCAGACGATTAGCAAGATTTTTATGGTGAAGTATATACCTTGGACAGTATATTACAAGCACACATTTGTGTCGAACCGAAAGACTCTACAAGCCGGGTGCAATGGTTATGTAATATATATGAGCCCACAATCGGCTGTATTCCGTTCTTGGCTCGGTGTCGTTATCAGGAACATACCGTGAATCGACCATTCTCTCTCTTTCACTATAACCACTTGGACTAAGCTGTCGCTGTCATCAGTTAATGACAATTGACTTTTCACTGTACTTGGTAACAGGCCGGGAGCTGCTGCCACCAGGAAAGGTCAGATATACCCATGGTTTCAAACGTCATTAAAGCCGCTTCCTCGTTTCTCAGGAATACCTAGAATCCTTGGAAGAGGTTCGGGCATCAGTCTCCTTCGGGAGCATAAACAAAATTTACTGATCGGCATCTCTGTTCATGCTAATTCTTCAAGGCCTTGCAAGGCGGCGTAACCGTTGTTCAGATCCGAGAAAAAAGGTCTGATACACTCGAAGTGAGAGGCGGTCATTTGTTTCTTCATTGCTCTTGCAGATGGTTTGCTCCAGTTCTTAGAAATCGCACGACAGTCAAAGATCCTATGTGCAAAATACAAGGTCCCCCTCATCATCAATGACCGGATTGATATCGCGCTGGCCGTCCAAGCCGATGGTGTGCATCTGGGGCAAACAGACATGCCCGTTCATATCGCAAAAACTTTGCTCCCTGCGGGTACTGTGATCGGTGTCTCTTGCGAAAATTCAGACCATGTGAAGAAAGCAATAGAGGACGAAGTTGATTATATTGGCATCGGTGCCGTCTGGGGTACGACAACTAAGAAGCTTACCAGCCCTGTCATTGGCGTCAGAGGGGTTGGCTCACTGCTCCAGGCCTTGGATCGCACAAACATCAAGGCCGTTGCAATCGGTATGCAGAAATGCATACTACATCCATTGTGATGTCTAAAGACCTGTTCCCCAGGGGGAATAAATTCCACTAACGTCCTGAGAACCTTACATGGATCTGTATCAACCTCTGGGCACAGATTGGATGGTATCGCTGTGGTCTCGGATATTGTGGCATCATCAACACCACGTTCCGCTGCCCAAAGATTAAGGGATATCCTCGATGCGTGGGTTCACCATTTTGATGCGCAGAGTCGAGTGACACCAGTGTACAATGTGGGGAACATCAAGAACGGCGTTGTTGAACTTATGCAGGTGATACGGGACAAGCATCCACTGATCCATCAAGTAGGTACTCTCACGCATGATTCTGTCCTGTCCACTGACTGTCACACAGATCACAAATGTCGTAGTCACGAACCAATCCGCGAATGCTACCTTAGCCTTGGGTGCAAGTCCAATCATGGCTACTGCGCCTGAAGAGATGTATGATCTTAGCCGCATTCCGGGTGGTTTGCTCATAAACTTTGGCACCATCACCAACAAAGGTAGCATGATTCTTGCAGGGCAATACGCAAACGAAGCACAAAAACCCGTAGTTTTCGATCCTGTTGGAGTAGGCGCTACTCAATTCAGGAAAACAACAGCTTCAGAACTCTTGAATGCATGGCAAGCTAGCGTTATCAAAGGAAACGCTGGCGAAATGGCTTCTCTCGCTAACTCAAACGAAGTCTGACACATCTCACTTCTACGTGGATCTTGCAGACTTACATCATTTATCTGCAGGTACAAGCTAAAGGGGTTGATAGTGTTGGTTCTGGGTTCGCAGATCCGGCATCTTTTATTCGTGAGATAGCCAAGAAAGAACGTAAGTTTTCCGTGGATATCGCGAGTACACGCGTCTAAAAACCATTCGTCATAAGGTTGCGTCGCTGTCATGACAGGACCGACAGACTGGGTGTCCGATGGTGTCATTGTGGTTAAGTTGGAGAACGGCAATAAAATGCTCGGTGACATCACGGGGTCTGGATGCCTTGTTGGCACCTGCGTTGCTACGTTTTGTGCTGGTGCCTCACTTATGGCCGCTGCCCCTGGAACAAGCCCTGGCCCTGAGCTCGCGAAGCTCGTCAGGGGAAACATGTTGATAGGCGCTGTCGGTGGGTAAGTCGAAATCCGATCAGACAATTTCGTACAACAAAAATACTTACTGATTATCGTAGTGTTCTGGCTCTAACGGTAGCAGCCGAGTGTGCAGCAGAAAGAAGCGACGTTCATGGATCTGGAACATTCCTCCCAGCCCTTATAGATGAGTTGTACAACTTGAAGCCTGAGACTCTGCTATCTAGGGCAAAAGTTCAAGTATTGTGACCTTATTCTTACAGCATGACGTGTGGATGAATATTTATGCGAGCGAGGAGCATATTAGCGACAAATTCCTCATGCACGATCATCTATCTGGCTAATGTACAGTGGTGGAAAGAGTAATTTCATTTGGCACGTCCAAGATTCTGGAGAAAGGCATTGCATCAGTAGGCTGTAGCCAGTTCTTCTCGTCGTATTCGGCGTAAGGGGATGAGTCAATCATGTGGAAAGTATATGCAAATCTTGCGTGAGCACTAGTATTTCGCTCCGACTTATGAAGGACGCTGCCATGGATGAGGACGAGATCACCTAGATCAGATGTTCAGCCATGGACATCTAGCGCATATGTGATCATCTACCTGGCTCGCAAGGTTCTAGCACATAGCTTCCTTCTGACACGCCTTCTGACGCATTCTCCCTCGGGTTCTCGCTTATGTCAAACGAAGGAGGTGGTGTGGTGGTAAGCTGCTCAAAACCGGTACCACCCCCTGGTAAACGTATAAATCTCTTCGTGATCGGAGTTGTTAGATGGGATCCGGGCAAGAATGACAAAGCGCCATTCATGGGCGTGCACTTCTCAAGAGCTATCCAGAACCCGAGAGCACTTGGGGGTGACGTGTACTATATATGATATATTATGAGATAGCATGCAAACAGTGGGAAAGACTGATACTGACAAGAAACGTGCTGAATTGTCAAATGTCCAATTTTAGACTAGGATTCAATACCGGTGACTTGCCACTTACGAATCATTGTGTTCGGGCACTCCAAGGCTGGTGTGTTAGCTGCTTGAAATAATGTTACTGCATGATATCAGTTGCTCACCTGCGCCACCGGTTTGTGACTGTTTGAATATAACCATTGATTGCAGTGCTAATAAGTTTATATCAGTCTTCAGCAAGTGTGATGACTAAACATCCTTACCGACTGGATCATAGTGAAATCGCAGGTCGCGCACTAGAGCCTTTAGTCGATCATTTTCCAGAGTAACTTTCCGGAACACGGGATCCAATTCGTGAAGAGCTGACCTGAGTAAGGTGGATGTGAAGATTTGTGTGGATGATTAACGAACCGTGACCAATCTTATTTACTGTCTTTGCCTTATCCCTGGTAAGTTTCCCACTACTATCGACAGCATCTTCGTCAAGGAAATATCGGATCTTGTCGCCTGAATTCAGAAAGTAGTTGTCGCCAACGTGGTCCTTATCCGACGTTGTGAATTTGGTCTGCCACGCGTCCAGAGTCCTGAATGTTTGTGGTTTAAATAGTGCACTTACTAGGGGATGGTCCTCTGGTTTAAATTCATCAAGGAGCTCTTTGGCCCGCAACAAAAGAGAACTCGTCTGGTCGGGCGAGAGAAAGCCAGAGACAATCAAATACCTATGCATATAGGTCGGTGAGAACAGCAGGTCTCCTACATGTCTGACCTACCCATCCCTATGGAACTGACCGACATATCAGATATCAGGCGTAACAGAAGATTCAGGCGCACGGTTCAAACTAGGACCAACCTTGTCAATCTGCGCCTGCGAAAGGTATTCCAAAGGTTGCGCAACTGCCATAGTGAAACGTTCAAAGTGTTGTTAACGTTATTTACTGCCAGTGAACGCTGAGCGCTGATCACCAAGGGAGAATTCTCTCGATTTATACCTTGCACGCTAGATATACTAATGCGACTGGACCGGTGGGATCCGGTGAATTTTGATCTCCGCCGGCCGGTAGCCTCCTGCCACTCCGCCTCAGAAACTTGACCCCAACCACCACTTCTATCATTACATCAAGGAGTCCTGGCTGAGACCCATGGCACCAGCGCGTTCCACCAGACGCAATCAGCATGAACAAAGTATATCCTTACGCTCGGGCCAGGATGCATCGCCCACTGCAGATGGCCCCGGTGGCGACCTATTTCTCGAGCCCATGATGGGAACTCCCCTCAATGTGTACATCGAGAAGGAAGTGGAAGATAGAGACGCGCTCGTCGAACTCGTAACGGTAGGCCTTTTGTCACTTATCGCACAGATTGGATCATATGTATTTGAACTGTCGATGATGTGTTACTAAATCCCATCTTTGGCAGAAACACGGCGGCACATCATCACCAGGGTACAGTGGGACGCCGTACATTCTTGGTGGGTACAGGTCCTTGTCATGCCCGTCACAATTCATGCAACTGCATCCCAGTCGATCCGCATAAGGAATCAGGCCAGAACTTGTACCGTCAGTATGCTGGTAAAAAGGGTAAAATCGTTCTCCATTACCGCTGGATTCATGAGTGCGTTCGTGCTGGAGCTCTTCAAACGTTCCAGAACAACTGGGCCGGTTGCAAGGTCACTGGAACGGAGAAGTTTGTTTTTCTTTTTACCGATCGGTCTTCCTTGTGTTGAATGGCCTTACCAGAGTCACGCCACCTACCATCGTCCCGTCCCAGACTGATCAGACGCGCCCCTCCACATCTCAGCCGGCTCCAATACAATCCATGGCTCCCCATCCGCAAGCAATACCTCCCATGCCCCCTGGCGATCCCATGGTTCATCCGCCTCAAACGTCCTACGGTTATCCTGTGTACGGCCATCCAATGCACGCTCCGCCTCGCGGTATGCAGCCGCCAACAGCCGCCCCGCCCCAATCATGGCAAGCGCCGAATGCCATTGCACCACAGCAAACGCATATAACCCCACCTCAGACTACTGCGATGCTTGCCCGACAAACGCATTCATATCGGGATGAGCCTTGGGTGACGCCCTTCAATCAGCCCCCGCCCCATATGGTAGCTGGGCCGAGTGCGGCAGGTTACGATTATAGATACGGCGATGACCGTCCTGAATGGGCACCTCCGGCCAACGACTATCCTTACGACCCTGCTTCGGTAAGTTTTCATGCGTGTTGGCTACTGTTGCCATCTATATGATCAATCACAGTATGAGCATCCTTATGATCAGACTGCACCTTACATGGCAGAAACCGGACCGCCGACCGCTGGTCCGTCTTCTGTTCCCGCTGATACTCTTGCTGAGAAGCCTCGTGGTCGTAAACGCACTCGTAATACTGTAAGTTTTTATTTCATCTATGCCTGCATGGTATATCAATGTAACTTTATTATTATTAGGCGCCCCCCGCCGCCTCACCTTCCGCTCTTGTACTAAATCGCCGAAATCCCCCGGCACATTCACCGACCCCTCCAACGCGCGTGATTAAGAGCACGTACGGAGGAAACTTGTTTACCTCTGATGATGTTTTATACCTCAAGCGATACATCGATTACTGTCAAGAACAAGGTCTTGTGCTGAGGTGAGTACTTGCTGTAGGATCGCAGCCAAAACTAAATTATCTTCAGTTTGAGAGAAATCTGTGAGAGGATTGCAGTCAAAGTAAGTTGCTTACCCTTTGGTGCCGTTCAATTGGTCTGATGCTGCCGTGCATGGTAGGCGCCCCATCATACGTGAGCGTGTTTCCATTAACACGATATCCTTGATCTGATGAACGCCGCAGATTTTACTCTTGGCGCCGATATTGCAATAAACACCAAATCCGGTTGGGTGGCTACTCAATGGACACAGGCGACAACAACACGCCCCGCCCTGAAGGCGAAGCTGAGCCTGAAGAGGAAGAGCAATTACCGCCACTCGGAACTACGGGTCCTGGCATCATTGCGGCTGCACAGGCTCGGCTACAGCAAGATGCTGGCCGTCCACGCAATCGATCTCCGACTCCACCTCGCGCTCTTTTCAGGAGTACGACAGGAAAGGGGGTAGCTTTCACGGACGAGGACGTTGCGTTCCTGGTGCGTTTCATGGAGTACCGGAAGTAAGTTTCTCCATAATGTGTTTCCCGCGGTGGTTTCATGATGTATCTAGGTCCCAAGAACGATTTGATATGGTTGCGTTTTGGAAGGATGTTGCTACCAAGGTAATCGACTAGAAATATAATGGTTTATTTCTTGACTATTCATCACTTCCAAGGCTCCGCATCACTCGCGCGCATCATGGATGAAATTCTGGCGGCGTCACAAGCATGAACTCAACCGCACGGAAGAGGATGAACCTCTCCCTCAACCACCGGAGAAGAAAATGCGTTACAGCCGTGGGGATGACATCCTTCTTGCAAAGTACTTTTTCACAAAGCCGGAAGGGACGTCTGACAAAATCTTCCAGGCGTTTGGTCGTATAGTCAGTCTTCACTGTGGGTATTATATTGAGCTGGCTGACCTAGTATTTTCTAACAGCATCCTCATCATCCTTGGAAGGGATGGCAGGAACACCATCGTATACACAAAGCCAAGATTGATCACTTTATTCAGCAGTTGGGAAATGGCGAGAACATCGACATTGATGACAATGGGGAGGAACCTTGAGAGTCTTGCGTCTACTATAAATGTATCTTAATTCGAGGGTGTTTATGGGGTAAATAGGGAACTTACATTGGGGCAAGCAAGGTGATGTGACAAGTCGATATATGTGTTTGACAGTGTGCATGTCAAGGTCAAGTTACGTGAGCCTGAGTCCTGACATATTATTCCAAGATTTGCTTAAACGTTTATCCCAACAGAGGGAAGACAGTCGTCCCTTGGGCCTTGAGCTTTATCATTTATTTCCATTTGGCATTGACAGTACAAGTCAAAGGTTATCATTGGTGCTTACTATTATCAACGGTCATAACGCGCCAGTGAATTGGAATTTTGAACCAATCATAGATTTAAACACCCCCGACTACTGATTGTATGTGAAAAGATGACCATGAGAATACGTTACACGATAGACATACACACAATATCCCACGAAGTGCGGTACGTGAAGCCTCATGGGGCTCTTCTTGTAAGCCCTAAGTAGCTCGAGCCTGCTTTCTCTCACCAGAAGTAAGGGTCGACTAAACAGTACTTATCAAGATACCGCGTGATTACGACGAGGTAGCGCACAGTCGTAACATGTTTCGTGGGCACGACCCGCATTCAGCTGGTCTTGCACAAGTGGTTCATACAGAGTGTTTGTATCAAGGCAGAGCGAATGATGAGAATGGGCCTCCCACTCAAAAGCGGTGCATCAAGCGATTGGAGACCCTGTGACGGGGATTCGCTGGGGTAACCAGGAAGCTATGAACAAACGCCCATATGAATTAGAACTTTGGATGACCTCGTGAATTTTGAACTTCTTGATGATGGAACCGCGTGCACGCAGAAAAAAAACTATATTAGGTAGTGTGAAGAAGTAACCTCTATCGGATTGGTGCGGCGTCAACTCAGTGCATCGCACACACTGGCGCTCTGAGATCGGGGCGCCGGAGGGGTGGTGACGAACGTATTGGATTATCTGTAACAGCCTACTTGTAACATATTATGATATTAATAGACTTTTGCGGTAGAACGGAGATTTGAAGTGGTAGGAATTACAGTGGACAACTCACTTGGATTGGAAAGTTTAAGCTGAAGAGAGCGCCGAACTTGTTGTTCTATAAGTTGCCCGCAGCAGCTATAACACAAGGTCAGAGACAATGAAATGTTTTTGTTGTGGACAAGAAGAACAAAAAAAGAACGGAAAAGATTGCTGTTGTGAATTGTTTGTATGAATCAACAGGGCCAATCGGAGTTTTAAATAGTATTATCTCTTGTAACGGTTCCTCCCCGTTAACGACTGCTACTTGTCCTTTCACTCATCCTCATCATCAGTCATCGTGCCGGGTGTTCTTTCTCTTTGAACCGCCATCATGGCGAACGTAGCTACCCGTAAAAAGTCAATAGCAGCGAATCCCGGTCTTGTAATCGAAACTCCAGTCGCAAACAACAATATCCTCAACAAGGCAGCTTCTCAATCAACATCTCTCTACCAGCAATGCTCAGCCTTGCGAACTCGTTTAATGCGCATCCCTGGATTTTCCGATTTCTTTATACTGTCATCTCAGTCAGGTTCTCTTCGCCAATCCACCGATCCTGTCACGCAATTATGGGATTGCTTCTCACTCGGCATATCACTCTGTTTTCTTTACGAGCTTCTTCCTGGAAGAACAAATCCACCTACAGTCAAGACAGATCCTTCTATATTTGACGTCAGCAATGAACGCGCAAAGAAACACGCCATTGCAATCTTCATTATGAATATCAAGAATCTGGACAACTGCGAGCAGTTTACAGTGACGGATTTATGGGAGAGACACTCTACAGATGGGCTAGTAAAGGTGCGCGCCAGAGTTATTTCCATAGATCGCTCTAACACCTCATGATGACCTAGGTCGTCAGCACCGTGACCACCATTGTTAACATGTTGCCGTCCGCATTATTTGACGCAGCTCCTTTGTCACCGCCATTTATGTCTACACATGATTCAATTGACTCATTAGTGGGTGATGTGCAAAATACGCCCATCCCTGCCTGCCCACAAGATGCCGCCCGAAATAATATCATCAGGGAGTTGGTAGAGACCGAACGGAAATACGTCCAAGACTTGGAGGTCATGCAGGCGCGTGCTCTATATTTAAATTCAAGATTCGTTGTTTAAATTTGACAATAGAGATATGCTACGGCGTTGTCGCAAAGCAATACAATTGACCAAGACACCATCCACTACCTTTTCCCAGGACTGAACAAACTTTTGAACTTTCAAAGGAAGTTCCTTATTCGATTGGAGAGCACCGCAGAGATGGCGTGGCGAGATCAACGCTGGGGACTTCTCTTTCTGCAAAATGTGAGTGTTTTTCGATTCTATTTCTCTATTCATGATTTTTTTCTGGGAACAATAGGAAGAGGACTTTGCAGTGTACGAACCCTACTGCGCAAACTATACCAATGCAGTAGATCTTATGGTAGCCGAGGAGCAGAATCTTTCGGTGAGCTTGACGGCGTGGCAACGGAACATACCGCATATCCTAAAAATAGGAATTTCCATGTACTGATCCCTGTCCTCAGGTCCATAATAATTTGATCAACGCCAAATCGGAATTGCCAGCTTTTTTGATCAAACCAGTCCAGCGAATTTGCAAATACCCACTGCTCCTTGATGTAAGATAATTTCACCGATATCAAAATGCATCATGAATCTGACTGGATGTTTCTAGTCGCTTATTAAAGCTACATCTGCCACCGATTACCCCCATTTTGAGGAACTGCAAGCTGGATCCGCAGCCGCTAAGCGCATTACCGATAAGATTAACGAGGCACAAAGACGAGCCGAAAATGTACAGACAGTCAAAAATCTGGAAGGCCGCGTACAAGACTGGAAAGGTCATCATTTATCCAATTTCGGCACTCTCCTCCTCGATGATATATTTACCGTCACAAAGTCTGACGTCGATCGGGAATACCACGTATTTCTTTTCGAGAAGATCATACTTTGCTGCAAGGAGGCAGTACCTCCCCCTCAAAATGGCAAACGCGGTGGAAAGAATAATTCTATTCTTAAGAAGCAGAATGGTTTACATGCGCCTGCTCCGCCGCCCATGACTTCACCAAACAAACGAAAGGACACTCCTCTCCTATTGAAAGGTCGCATTTTCTTGAACAACGTCACCCAAGCTATTCCCAGCTCGAACCGAAATTCAGTTGGTAAGTCTGCTGGCCTTTGCAATCGTCTCTCACTGATAATTTTCTTCTAGCATCATCCACAGTTAACCCCCATTCCCTGGCTGTATGGTGGCGAGGCGATGATGATCTCGAGTTCTTCACCCTTCGTTGCCGCTCCGAAGAGCAACTGCGACAGTGGGAGGCTCAGATCAATCGTCTCATCAAGGAAGTTGCCAGTCGAAGGGCTTCAGAACGAAATTTCTCTCAACTCATGGCTCAACATAGCATTCATGCCTCCGTTCCTGCTGTGCATATGGCACGTTCACCGTCATATGTCCATGACCGTGGTTCTTCGTCTATGTCGCATGCCTATTCCCCACATAGCCTTCCACCCCATCCAGCCAGCGGTCGCCATCGTGTCAATGCGTACAGCGCCAGTGATGATGTCTCGGTAGTTGGATCTTACTCTAATGGTGGCCAACCCGGCTACCCATCCTCCGAGGGTTTCGAATTCGATCCAGAGGACGAGTGCGAGGATTACCCTCCTGCAAGTCTACCGTCATCCGGTCGTGGCACACCCATGGGTATGCATCGAATGCAGAGCATGCCCGTCGAGCCACGCGAGTCCGCTATTGTCGATGACCGCCCCCGAGCCAAGACGGAAGACATCAATGGTCACGTCATGTCGCAATGGCGGTCGACCAATGGCGTTTTACCTCTGCCACCTGGAGCCGGTCCCCCCATCCCCCTTTCCTATCGCCCTATGGCGAACAGGGTCAATTCTACTGCAAGCTTTGGAACAGACCGTCCGCCTCGAATGCCTTTGCAAGGCCAAATCAGCTCGTCGAGGCTCAAAGCCTTGTACGATAGTGGTGGTTCCCGTAGTGTTACAACGTCACCAGCTATGAATGGCAGTACTGCACTTCCGTTGAGCAGATCGCGGAGTGCTAGTCAGCCTAGCGCATACGTACCACAAGTGCCTGCGCCTCCTGTTCCTAGTAACGCAAAGTGGACTCATCGTTCAGAGGATTCTGCTACTTCTAGTAGCAAACGGGGTAGCGGATCGAGTCAGTCGACAGGTGGGGGTTCGTCGGAAGAGTCACCACATAGCTCCTCGCCGATCACTCCATTTGGATCCAGCGAATCATCTCTTGGTGGTGGTTCAGCTCTCCGATCTCCTCGATCACAGACGTTTGAGAGCATGATATCTAATGGCGCCCACCTCGCTTTTTCACCTCCAGTCAAGGTGAAAGTGCACTTCAACGAAGACATATTTGTCATTCAGGTCCCACGAAGCACAGAATATTACGACCTTGTCGACAAAGTCGGCAAGAAAATACGTCTTTGTGGTCCGCGCCGCGATGATATCCCTTTGCGGGTAAGATATCAGGATGAGGACGGAGATATGGTTTCTCTAGGCTCCACCGAAGATGTCCAAATGGCTTTCGAGTCGTTCCGACCAGGCGGACAGGTCACACTCTACGTGACATGATTCTAACCTTATCATATTGCATCGTTATCTTGTCCTCCGCTCTTCGACCTTCACATACATAATTTGCTGTTTCCCAGGGGGACTCACTTCTCTCTTTGTACATAATATATGTATCACTGGCATGTTCGCACCACATTCGTTCTATATGGTTTTCTCTATCGCTTTCTGACCCCCTTGATTCAGGTGCTCATCGGGCTCGAAGGTCATCGTATGTGGTTCATATTTCCTTGATAACTCGCATGGCTCCCTTCCTTCCTTTGTGTAGTACTTATGAAATCCTTGGGTATCGTATCATCTAAAAGTGGAGCACTAGTCACGTGTAATTTTTATTAGAATACTGCACTCATTGCTACGTTTCAAATACATCATGTCTGTACAAAGCTGTACGGGTATGTCTTGGCATCTAACAACGCACGGTCTATATGATAAGCGAATTGGGAAGTAACCATTGTCAGATATCACAGTGCATCAGGAGAGATGTCGCCCAATGTGTTGAGTTCCATTGCGCTAATGGCACTGTACAATGATTGTGTATCTCCACCATGCTCGGATTGAGAATCAATTGTTTCCTGCGATGCTATGTA